TTACTATTATTGAATTTTTGGTAATTTTTCATAATTTTTTTTTATTTTTATATAAAAAAAAATTATTCGCTGACATAATGTCCTCATGCAACAGCTTGGGCTGATATTTCCTTGGGCCTTGCCCGAGCTTGGTGGACCCCAGCTCTTACCAAGGCAAGACTTATTTGTTGGAGCCATTTTTGGAGGCCTGGGGCCCTTTTGTCTGGACTGAGCTAACTAGTGGAAGTTCTCTTATAGAAAATATCAATTGGACTTTAGAGGAAATGCCTTATAGTGGAAATGAGTATATAAATCAAGTGGTGTGCCAAAGATTTGAAAGACAATGGTGACCCTAGAAAGTTCTGATCAATTGTGATTTAATGAAACTTAAGTAATTTTTTCTTGATTTTGATTTCCTGAAACTTACACCACTTGATTAATAGTAATATAATATAGTTTTCATGAAACTTACACCTTGGATAGAAGTGGTGAGCAAATTTTTTTATAGAAATATTTCCAAAATGAAATTGGAGACGAAAGGACTTATCTTTCAAATTTGGATAATGACCTACCAACATAGGGCTCCATAATTATGAGTATGTCCCTGATTCTATTTCCAGCATCTAAACCATGTGCTTATTCATATTCAATTTTGTTATGCAATAATCTGAGAAGAAGAGGTGCTCTGATGTGTTCTTATTTAATCTCAACTTCCAATTCTTCCGCACACAAAAATGTTAATATAATATTGTCACCAATCAAAGAAAATTTTGTTATTAATTTATAGGGTAAATTACTGAATACCCCCTAAACTATCACGCTTGTCGAAATCTCCACCTTGAATTAATTTTTCAACCAATTTAGCACTCCTATTATATTGAATGGCCAATTTCACCAATGCCGTTAGCTTTTGACAATTTCCATCTAAATCTCTGTTTAAAAAGTCACATGTCATCACATGCTTCCCTGTTGAATTAAAAATTAAAATTTTTTTTTCTACTTCTTCACTTATAAAAATATCTAAGAAAATAAAGACACTCTAGTCATTTTATAAATGTAAATTTGTTATTTTTATAAGGGTAAATTTGTTATAAGGGTGAAAAATAAAAAATAAAGATGACCATATATTTTTTTCCTCTACTTCTTCACTGTTGGAGAGATCAAGCTGAAGCAAAGAAGGCCAGTGGGGTTCAGCTGCGGTGGTTTGGCAGCAATTTTCCCCCCTCCCCTCCAAATGGGCACCCAGATTCGACGCTTAATATTGGCAAAATTTTGTAGAGAATCAATTTAACTGATATCCCCCATCCCTTCCCAACGATTGGCAAAAATAAAAATAAAAATTGAAGCAGAGAAGAACCAAAATGATGTTGTTGGGGATAAGATTGAACAGAAGATTGTTTGAAAGCCAACAGTAGCCCCACCTCATATCATCATCACTCTGACTTTGTTCTTGTTGTAGTTGTTGAGGTGAAGACAAATTTCTGGCTCCTAAGGCCAAACTTAGGAGCAAGTGGAATTGAAAAACAAACAGCAAAAGAAAGCAAAAAAATCCCATCATGTACTAAATAGCTACACCCTCTTTGTTCTGATCTAATCTGTCGCCATCATCATTCTTTCAAAAAATTCAAAAAAAAGAAAAAAAAAAAAAAAAAAAAAAATTTTTTTGTTGTTGCAGATGGCTGATGAAAACAGTACAAACTATACAAAATTCATTCACCCTAATTTTTCAGCAGCCATGACTCTATTTTGGAGCAAACCCAGGGTTTCGAATCCACGATTTCAGCAACACCTTTTTTATGTTAAGGGAAAATTGTGAGATTTGAAATGGAAGAAACACCAGATCCTTGAGGAATTGAAGTGAGAGAAAGGGAGAGAGTTTCGGCACACACCCAGGTTGTTGCTGGGTTCTTGTGCTTTGTGAATTTGGCCTCTATGTAGGAGGAGAGAGAGAGAGAGAGAGAGAGAGAGAGAGAGAGAAGGAGCTGATGGTTGTTTAAGCAAAGGAGAGCGGTAGGAGTGGCTGGGTTTGGGTGATGATGAGATTACACTCAACAATAACCTCAACAGTAGCCAGACGTGCCACGTGATGTTTTTGACAGATATTTGGATGGAAATGTGAAAAAGCAAATGGCAGAGGTGAAATTGGCCAATAAATATAATACGATGGTTAAATTGACTGAAAAATTAATTTAGGATGGAGATTTCAATAAGCGTGATAGTTCAGGGGAGGTATTCGATAGTTTACCCTACTTTATATATATGTAATTGGTCTCTTTTAAAGATTTCTTTGAAACTATTTTAATTGTATAATGTTTATCGTAATTCACTTTATTTTATTCAATCATTTAAAAATATATTTTTAAAAAAAGATATTTTTTAATTGGTAAGTTATTGAAATGCACCACTACAAATGAAATTGCAGTTTAGTTTAATAGCTACAACAATTCAATAAATTGAACTATTGAACTGAACTGAAATGAACTATTGGGCAACCTTCGCGGATGCTCTAAGGGGTTTTCAAAGCAAATGGTCCCCCAATTGTATACAAGTTGCATTTTGATTCCTTAACTAAATTCTTCGTTCAAATGGTTCTTTAACTCTTTATTATTCGGCAAACTAGTTCTACCATCTAATTTTTTTTTATTTTATCAAATATAATTATGTGAGCAGCACATGCTATATTTTTTTTTGGGGTAAATAGGACTTTTGGCATCTAAAAAAATAGGGTTAAAAATTAATACAAAATTTCTTTATTTTTAAAATTAATTAAAAACTATATAAGAAAAAAACAACACCCCCCCCCCCCCCCCCCCCCCCCCCCCCAACCCTACCCCCACCCCCCACCCCCCGATCCTCTCCAATCTCAACTCCCCAACTCCCATCCCCTAGCCACATCCACCTTAACAAACCCTATACCTAAACACAACACCACCTCCACGTGAACCCACTCTCTCCTAATCTCTTCCTCCCTCCAATCCTCTAGCAGATTGTTTGGATTTGATTGATTTTTCATGTTTGGAAAAATGGTGACCTTGTTAGTTAGGAAAGATGGTGGCTAGCCAGGTCAGGGATGAGGATGGGAGTTGATGAGTGGCTGGGCTGGGTTGTTGTTAGGATGAGGATGGGAAGGGTGGTGGTTGAGTTGTGTCAGAGAGTGGTAGGCATGGTGATTAGGCTGGGGGTTGGGAGGTGGGAGAGGGATACAAATTTTTTATTTAAAAAATTTAAAATTTTAGTTTTAAAATTATTTAGTATAAGTTATTTAATTGGACTATTTTGCCCCTATATTTGACGACAATATTGACAAAATGTAATGGTGTTACCAATTCACCGGATAATAAAGAGTAAATGGACCATTTGAATGAAGAATTTAGTTCATTAACCAAAATGCCACTTGTGTACAAGTTGATGGATCATTTGAGTTGAAAATCCTTTTTTAAAAACACTTTTACACTTTTATTTATAACATACTTAGAGGCCACAAAAAAAACTGAATGAGTGTTTCCTAATCACTCTAATGGTGTGTTTACTAATCAAGAATTGAAATTCTCATTAAGAATTGAATTCTACATATGGAAGATTCATGTATTTACTTCACATCAATGAATTAAAAAGTAAGTGGGGCCCACACAAAATTAAGAATTCAATTTCTGATTTTGGAGGAATTCAATTCTTGGGTGGGAGGTGGTAATCTAATTCATGAAGAAATAAACCATTAGGAATTCATCTTTTTTACCCATTATATCCTCATACAATTTTTAAAATTCCAAATTTGCCATATACTTTAAGCCAACAATGAGGAAGCACCACTCTTACCCCAATTCCATATGATTTAGTAAACACCTTCAATAAGAATTCGGAATCTAACTCTCCTTAATTCATATGGTTTAGTAAACAACTTCAAGGCCTCGTTTGATTCACAGAATGGATTAGAGGGGAAATCACTTTCCATGTCATTTCCCAAGATATGGGAAATGAAAGATTCATTTCCTACGTTTGGTAATGTTGGGAAAGTAATCGGGAGATATTACCTTATTTCATTTCTCATGTTTGTTTTGAGTAGGAATGGAAAAAAAAAGTTTGTATAAATTTTCAATTATATCCATATTAAATAAAATAAAATGCATTTAATGATATATTGTAATTCTAAATTGTTAATGGGTATAAAATGGTTATGAAAAATGTTTATTTAATGTTAGCTCATTTTCCAGAACTTTCCCATGAGGAGGGAAAACAAAACCCAAGTTGGGAACTTGGGAGGAGGGCTTCACTTTTCCCATATTTCCCCATATGTTAGGCAACCATTTCATATGCCTGAACTTACTAAACATGGAAAAACAATTAATTTCTTATTCCCAAGCCTTATTTCCCATGAACCAAACAGAGCCCAATAGGAATCCGAAATCTAATTCTCCTTAATTCAATTCATTTTCAATTCAATTCTTTTTAATTAAATTACGTATTAGTAAAGATGTCACATTGAAGAGAAATACATTCCCCCGTGGTATGTAGTTAATGACAATTCCTAATATTGTTTCGATATACGCAAATTGAGACGACTTACTTTATGGGCATGTAAGATTGTTGGGTTATTCATAAATGAGTAATACGTGATTGATTCCACTCCCTAAATCAGCCATTGGGCCCATTTGGGCTCAATCGGCACTTTCTCCGGGTTCGTTGACTATTACAATCCGATCCGACAAGGCCCAAACTCCGTTCGGTCAAAGCTCCGAAACCTAACTACCAGATAAACAAAAGATACGTCTTCCGGTCCTCAGATACTCAGAGTTGAAGGGTTTTCGTGTGCTCCAACACGGAAAGCTTCGCAATCTCACAATAATCAGCGTCGTTAGGGTTAGTTTCATTTATAAAAAATCTATTTGTTTTTACTTATTCGATTGATGATCAAAATTTGAAAAATCAACCTTTCTTCCTTAGCTTGGAGTTCTTGTTTGAATTGGCGTATTTTCTTGCAGATCATTTATTTATTTTATTATTAGGGCTGTTTGTGAAATAGCATGTATTCGTCCAGAGGGGGCAATGCGTACGGACAACAGTCATATACTGGCCAATCTGCATATGGCCAAAATGTAAGCCTTTGTTCTTCAATTGTTGTATAATTTGCATTTCCTTTACTTTTTTTACAGAGTGTTTTGTATTATTCTTATTGTTCATCATCTAATTGCTCGAAAAGGGATAATATCAATGTTAAATTTGCAAGTTTAGGCATTTTCTTCTTCAGTTTCAGCCTTTGAAAGTTACCACGAGCATCCACAATACAGCTAATTTTTGTAAAAATGCAGAATTTTTGCGTGGGGATTTCTTGATCCTTTTCTCATTTATTGTAATATCTGTAGCTGGGACCTGCTTATGCTGGAAATTCTGCTGGAGGGCCTGAAGGGGGGTCGCAAGTTCCCATGGGTTCTCGGCATTCATCAATGTTAGTTGGCTCGGAGGAGGTTGATGCCAGTGGGTATAGAGCTCATCCTTCAGCTGCAGCTCATTATGGGGGACAGTATAGCTCTATCTATGGTTCAGCTGCTTTGAGCAGTGCACCTCAGGTTTGTCTATTTCTTCTAGAACTCATCTTGATGTATTTCTGGTAACCTGTGCTTTACCCAGCTAAATAGTGCTTTGTCCAGCTAAATGGTGCTTTATTTTCGTCGTGATACAAGTAGCAAATATTTAGTTTCTCTCTGCTACCTAGGACTTCATAACACTACTTATTGACCTGCCTTATAACGTTTGTGCTCCTTATAGAAATCTCCATGATAATTCCCCTTTCCGTTCCTTCTTTCGTATATTCTTATTCATATTTAGGAAAGCATTAAACATCGAGTTTGTGATAAACCTTTTCTATGTATGCACGTGCTGTCTCTCAATATCTTTAATGTCTCTCCAATTTTTCTCTTAAATGTATTTTTGTGGTATTTGCACTGCTGGTTTCACGGAAGTTACTGTTTGAGTAGAGTGGAAGTTCGCCATCCAAGCTTCTGTTTGATCTGTTGTGAAGTTCTTGTTGAACCATCTGGTGTCTAATTTCAAATTGTGTACAGGTTCCTCCAATGAGTACTAAAGGTTCTGGACCATCGGTTTTGGAAAGTCGTGGTGGTTATGTCCCAGCTAAACCAGAATCACCAAAGTTCTCATCTGGTGACTATATCTCATCTTCAAGTCATGGGTATGGTCATAAAGTTGATCAATTGTATGGTGAAAAGGCTCCTGATTATCCAGCGATAGACAGAAGGCAATTTGGTGAACGTCAGAGTGCGTATATGGGGAGGGACTTGCAAGGTGAACCAACTGGTCGATATGCTGATTCTGTTGGTTTTGGTCCTCAACATCAGGTTTTTCATTTTCATCTTTTAATATAATATTTTTGTTTATTTTTCTCTTACTTACTTTCCTCTTTGAATAAGACCTGAATGTATAATTTTCGCATCATATTCTGCGACAGTCCGAGATTTATGATCGAATTGATAAGGCTGTGCTGCTTCGTCAAGAACAACTGCTGAAATCGCAATCACTGCAGTCTGCTTCTCTTGACGGGAGTGCAAGGTACTTTTTTTCTGCTGACTTTGTATTACGCTTTTGACTGGAACTTGGTCTCCATTTCATGGTCAGATCACTTGTAGTTTGTTTTCCATCCCCATTAATGAATTGCAAAGGTCATTCCTACCTTTCTCAGTAACAAAATAGTCCGCATCTTAATAATGAGTCTGTGCACAGCTATGTTAGATGGTGATATATTTCTTATTAGACTGAGTAGCAACACATTTCTGGCAGACAAGCTGATTATCTTGCAGCAAGGGGTGCCGCTAGTCGTCATCCCACTCAAGATCTTACTTCTTTTGGAGGAAGAATGGATGCGGATCCTCGCAGTTTATCTATGCTTAGTGGTTCTTCATATGGGGGACAACCTGCTCCATCAATATTAGGGGCAGCTCCACGGAGAAATGATGATCTCATGTTTTCGCAAAGTTCCTCAAATCCTGGTTATGGAGTCAGCCTACCTCCTGGTAGGGACTATGCCACAGGAAAAGGGATTCGTGGCTCATCTCTTGAGTCAGATTATCCAGGAAGCTTGTCTCATGGTGGTCATCCACGGATTGATGAACGGAAGGATGACAGGGCTAGTTATCTTCAAGAATTTGAGCTAAGGGAGGAGGCGCGCCGTCGGGAGCGTTTGCGTGAGAGAGAGAGAGACAGAGAAAGGGAGAAGGAATGGGAACGCGAACGAGAACGTGAACGAGAACGAGAAAGAGAGCGTGAACGAGAACGCATTTTGGAGCGGAGGGTGAAGGAGAGAGATCGAGAGCGGAAACGTGCACTTGAAACCAGGCGGGAACGAACTCCACCAAGAGTTTCTAGGGATCGTCGTGGTTCCTCTTTAGCAAAGGAGGGGAGATCTTTGCGACAGGATTCGCCACATCACGAAGCTTTGCATAGGTGGATCTTGATGTTTTATTTTGCGTCCTGCTCTTGTTCTTGCAAATTGCTGCTTTGTCTCGCAGCCTTTCTAACTAACCTGGTGTTCTGTTATGCTGAAGGCGTCATTCACCTGTTAAAGATAAAAGGAGAGAATATGTCTGCAAGGTAAAAGGACCAGTGCAAGAGCATAGCCATTCAATGATATTGACAATTATTCCTTTCAAGTCTGCCTTTAGTCTTTTGTTTGGAATTGAGTTCTTCACTGGTTTCAATCGTGATGCCTTTTCTGTTATCTTTGGTTCAGAATTTCAGTTTCTAATCCCTGGGATATCCTTAACCTTCCTTACTCTTATTACCATGTTTCTCCTCAATATTGCTTCCACTTTGTCTTTTGGCTCTACGTGCAAATGTTTCTTTCTGTGTTCCTATGCTTCTTGTTCGCTTTTGTTTATGGTTGGCTCCATCACATTTCCTGGACTTCTCTCTTCTCACTATATCTCCTTTATCCTGTATGTTGGCCTTTTCTTGTACAGACCTCTTCATGTAGACCTTTGCTAACTCTAAACTGTCTGGATTAATTAAATCCTAAGCATGCACCAAATCCTCTTATACAATATTTCGTGGTTAGTAGACGTAGATGAATGGTTTTCAGTTGTGGTCGTTATACCTGTTGAAATTGAAGAAACTTGCCTTCTACAACAGGAAACTGATTGAGCTCTGGAAACTCGGAACACAGTTGTATTAGAATTTTTAACATGTAGACTGATCATTCAATGTAAACTACTGGGTTTGTCTACAACCTAAAATGTCTTTACGGTTTCACTCCTTTTGGTGACAATATCATCTATGTGCAGGTTTACTCAACCAGGCTGATGGATGTAGAAAGGGATTATCTTTCTATAGATAAACGATATCCCAGACTGTTTATACCCTCAGAGTTCTGCAAGGTTTGTCTCTATTTTTCGTTTCTCACTCAAGGTTTATGGACTCAGATGGTTAAGTACATAAATGAAGTGTGGCATTTTTATTGTTGTAGGCCGTTGTGAACTGGCCTAGGGAGAACCTTCAACTGTCTATTCATACTCCTGTCAGGTACTTTGCTTGTTGAAGCTGTGTCAGTTAATTAGTTTTCAGGAATTTTTATTTTAATTCAGGATATGGAACCCTTCGGCTCTATTCTTTATTAAAAGTAAAAAAGAAAAGAAAATGTAATTGTACGACCTTGTTGAGTGTTACAGTTTTGAGCATGATTTTGTTGAAGAAGAGAATGCCACTGAGCTGAAAGAGCGAGCTACTGAAATGTTGGATGAAGAACCTGAAAAATCAGGACGTGGAAATATAGTGTGGAACGCGAAGGTAGTTCATGTTTCTGTTCTCCCCTCTTGTTTTACCCGTTCTTCAATCTTATTATCTAAAATTTAGGTAGTTAATCTTGAGTCATTCCTGAATAGAAAAACATGTGGATAACTTAATTAAAGAGGAGGATAAAGAAAACTGAATTTTGAATTTTTTGGTTATACTCTCTGATTAATTTGCGTAGTCTCAATCTCTCTCTCTCTCTCTCTCTCTTATTCTCTCAAATTTTTTATTTTTCTTCTGCTGCAGTACAGTACACCTGACGAATTGCTTGCTTACTCTGTATTTTATTTTATATTTAATTTCCACTATTCAGATTATCTTGATGAGCGGACTTAGCAAAAATGCTTTGGAAGAGCTGTCATCTGAAAGAGGTTCCGATGATCGCTTATCACATATCTGCAATATCCTTAGGTTTGCTGTTCTCAAAAAGGACCGTTCATGCATGGCAATTGGTGGCCGGTGGAATCCTGCTGATGGTGGTGATCCATCAGTTGATGATAGCCCTTTAGTTCAAACTGCCCTAAGGTTTGTGCTGTCTGCTATCTTTTATAGAGATACATAAATAATGCTATTTTCTATTAGATTGAATGAGTTTTTCTTTGTAGATATGGAAAGGATGTTGCTAAACTTGATCTGCAGAACTGCAAGCACTGGAATCGTTTTCTTGAGGTAAAATTTACATTAGTAATGATTGTGATTGTTACCTAGTTGCAATCTTTTTGTATTTTATTTTTTATTTTTGCAGATTTCTAAATTTATGACTAATTCTTCAATTCCATTTGACATTTGCAGATACACTATGATAGAATTGGGAAAGATGGAGTCTTCAGCCATAAAGAGGTGACTGTAATATTTGTCCCAGATTTGTCTGAATGTCTCCCTTCATTGGATTCATGGCGAGACCAATGGCTTGCTCACAAGAAAGCTGTTGCAGAAAGAGAGCGTCAACTTTCTTTGAAAAAGGAGGTTTGTTGTTTTTATTGTAGTTCCCCTGGGTTTTGTATGGTTTTGTTTTGGGTAGATTTTTATTTTAATCACAGGCACACATTATTGATGGGTATGTAGGTTAACATGTATGCACACATTTACATTTCCTAGGAAAAAATTGTAGATAGGTTAACATGTATGCATCTCACATGCAGTGGTTCAACTGCGGGTCAATTTGTGGCCATGGTTAATCATCAGTCATGCACTTTGTGAATGATTCACAAAATTCTGTCAATTTATAAAATCTTTAACTAAATTATTGGGGATGCGTTTCTCTGTTTCAGTATTTATTTATTTCGGCATGCATGACAGGCATGATGCAGCCATGTAATCCTACAATGGAGCTTTTTAAATATGGATGCAACAGATGATTAAGAAGTTTTAATAACATTGACTCAGGATTAGCTACAAAAGCCTTTTTCTTTTTCGCATCTTCTTGATGCCATATTTACATTTAACCCTTGTTGATCATATATACTTTTGTATTATCCTCTTGTCCTTATTTTATTTTCTCAAAAGTTGTAACAGTAAAATTTATCTTGATTGGCTTATAGTTTACTTGTTTTTAAAATTAGTATGTTTGTTCTTGCAGAGATCAAGGGAGAAGGAAGTGCTGAAAGGTAATTGGAGTTGGTCTTCTAGTTGTGTATGATTTCACATCTTTTGTTTGATGTTCATCAATAATCATCTTTTGCTTGGTTTTTGGTTTAGATAAGGAAATGGAATCATCAAAACACAAAAGAGTTGACAAAGAAGATAAAAAGAAAGAGTCTGCATCCACTGGAGGGGCGAAGGAAGTTAAGAAACTGGAGCAAGATGGTACTAATATGAAAGGGAATGCATCTGAAGGAAAAGGTGACGTGAATGATAAGAAGCTTGAGAAAAAAGATGTGAGTGGAGGAGACAAAGGCAGGATTGAGGACAAAAAGGAACAGGTAGAAACTGCTGAAGTTCAGACAACTGGAACTGTAAAGACCGGGAAGAAGAAGATTATAAAGAAGGTTGTCAGACAGAAGGTTGTGGGTAAGGTAGCCAGTGATACTACAACCAAGCAACCTGACAATCTGGGTGATGGAGGGACAAAAGGAAATTCAGAGACTCCAGGTCAAGAGGAGGAATCTTCTGCTGATCCTGCTGTAGTGAAAACTTTTGTGAGGAAAAAAGTTATTAAAAAGGTTCCAGTGGAGAAGGCTGCTCAGAATGAAGATAATGTTGGCACGAAGGAGAAAGTTGAGAATGAAACTGGATGTTCTGAGGATAAATCTGATCCAAGTGGTAGTACAAATACCAGTGTGAAGACAATTGTAAAAAAGAAAATCATTAAGAGGGTGCCTAAACGGAAGGCGACTGGTGTTGAACTGAACGAAGGGGTTGCTAAGAGTAAGAAAGATGGTGATGGGGATGAAAAAAATGTTGGAGATGAAACAGAAAGTGTGAGGAAGCAAACAGCAGATGCAGAAAAGCCAGCAAGTGATGTTGTGGAAACAGAAAAAAAAGTTATTTCTAAACCAAAGGCTTCAAAAACACAAGTCAGTGACAAACAAACTGATATGGCGAATTCAAGTAAAGCAGATGCAAAGGATGTTAAGGAGGATAAGAAAGATGAAAAGGGAGCTGGTGAGAAGAGTGGCTCTGTGACTAAAGTGGAGATTGAGCCAGACGCACAAAAAATTGCTCATAAGGATAACCATAATGGCATGAAGAAAAAATTGAAAGATGATGAGAAAGAGAAAAAAGACAGAGATGGAAAAGATGAGTCTAGAAGCAAATCAAATAAAGAACTGAAAGAAACGAGAAAGTCTGAAGAACCTCCTCGACACCCTGGATTAATTCTACAAACAAAGTGGAGCAAGGATTCTAAAGTAGGTTGATTATAGTCTGAATATCACAGTTTTCTTTACTACATGTATTAAATATGTTTGCATGTTCACCTCATCTAATATTCCTTGCATGTTTGCTCTAATTGTGTGGTAATCTGTGACAGCTGCGATCATCATCACTTTCACTTGATTTACTACTAGATTATACTGACAAGGACATTGAAGAATCAACGTTTGAGGTATGTTCTCTCGTGGCATCTAATGTTCTTCATGTCTGCCTTAATTCTATGACTGAATTTTGGATCTGTGTCTACTGGTTCACTTGTTCTCTTTGCGTATTTCTCATTATACCTGATGCAAAATAGAGCTAATTGTTTCCTTGTAAATCTTTCCCTCCTTTTCCCTTATTTTCTCTCCATTCTCTCAGCTTTCACTGTTTGCTGAAACGCTTTATGAAAAGCTTCAGTATCAGATGGGATGCCGTCTTTTGACATTTCTCCAGGTTGGTTTAAGACAGTTAATTTGAATATTGCATATAATTTGATATTTGATATTTGATATTTTTTATTTTGTAATGATGCATCTTCATTTATGTTTTTGTAGAAGCTGCGAATAAAATTTGTGATGAAAAGAAACCAACGTAAGAGGCAACGAGAAGTAGAAAAAGTTGAGAAAGGAAATGATGAAAAATCACCAACGAAGCGTCCGAAGATAAATGAGCTCCCTGTGACGAACCAGCCTGCTAAGTCATCTGAAGCATTGAGTTCATCTCTGCTAGATAGCGAGAAAAAAGATGAAGAAAAAACTGTTATTGAGGAGAATAGTTCTGTTGATCATGTTGATGAGGTTAAGATGGAGCATATAGCAGATGATGAAGAAGACCCAGAGGAGGATCCAGAAGAATATGAAGAAATGGAGGATGCTAGTCCTCATCCCTCTAATGAGAATAATGAAGAAGGGAAAAGCAATGTGATTCCTGTGCCTGGAAACGAGAAGGACGAACCCAATGTTAAGGAACAAGCTAACACGAAGGCCGCAGAAACAAAGGCCAAGGCCGAAGCAGATACAGGTGAAAGAAAAGAGGGGAAGGTGGATACAGGAAAGAAAGAAACTCCCAGGGCAAAGGAGGTTGTTGACAAGGAACTATTGCAGGTATACCTTTCAGTTATTGTTTTAGTTTGATTGCCGAACAGTTTCATTCTCTCTCCATCAATCGATTAATGTCATCCTTTTTCTTTTATACTTTTCCCATCTGAAACAGGCTTTTAGGTTCTTCGACAGGAATCAAGTTGGCTACCTTAGGGTAAGTTGCAATCTTCAATGTATATATTCGTTTTGTTGCATTATTAGAGAAACGTAAAGAGCTTGTTGCTTTTTCAGGTTGAAGATATGAGATTGATAATCCACAATTTGGGAAAATTCCTTTCCCACAGGGATGTCAAGGTGAGAATTATAAAATTTTGTTTTGTTGCTTCATTTTGTATTTAGTTTATTCTTATCTTTGACAGTTTGGTCATGCTTGTTTTTTCTGCATCAGGAACTTGTGCAGAGTGCATTATTAGAGAGCAACACCGGAAGGGATGACCACATTCTTTACAAGAAACTGGTGCGAATGACTGACATTTGAGATCTGAAGAGTATTTGTTTCCGAATTATTTTGTATTTTGGAGTCAGATTGAATTTTTGCATTTTCCTTTGATGACTGTTAAAAGGAAAGGGAAAATGAACTTAGAGATAGGGTTTTGGATGTTTACAGTTAAATGATTGCCCTTGTGTTTGCATTTACCGCCTCTTTATTGATTGAAATAAGAACACTATTACCATTCTTAATGTGTTTATCTTCAGTAAATACAGCAATTTCAGTTTATATTCTCTGAAATTGATCCATCGTACAAGTCTGGTTGAGTAGCAAATTTTGAAATTTTAATTTGATAACTGCCAAAGTTAATTTATGCTGAGAAATTCTAGCACTGAATTAAGGAAAAATTCTGAGAATGAAACTCTTGGGAGGATTCTTGATAAAACAAAATCTCTTGGGAGGATCCTAACACAAAGCTTTTAATACAAAGCAGCTAATCAGTAAAATATGAGATAAAATAAAGAAAAGAGTCGGCAGATTTCATTAAGTTGAACAAAATTCAGCAAATCAGTTCTTTAGCCCAGTAGGTTAACTGATTATTGGCCACTACAAGGGAATATAATAAAAATTGGAAATTTTAGCTATTAGTTAATAGCTTGGTTTAAAGAATGCCAAGACCAAGAAGAGTTTTCATTGCTTGCTTTTTCACTACTTTCCCATACACCCCTCTTCCCAGCTTCAAAGCTCTCTCCATTTCCACAACTCCCCCACTACCTTTCTTTAACTTCTCCACCACCATCTTCAACATCCTCTCATCACTTCCCACTGCTTCCGCAATGCTATCGACCACCGAATCCATCGGTGGAATCCGTCTTCCCCACCCTCTCGCCGACTTCTCTGGGCTATAAGCCTGAGAGCATGCATCCCAAAATGATGCTCTCAAGTACCCTTTCTCCCTTTCCCTCACCGTCCATCTTCTCATGCCTTCCTCCAGCCTATAAACTGCAGCACCGGCATCTACCCCTCTTTCGAGACCCATCTCAATCTCTCTTATGTCTTGCCTTGAATACAAATCCTCCTCAAACTTGCACCTCTTACAATCACACCTGAACCCCCATGTCTTGCACATTTCATTGCGCTTGTCCAATGGAGAAAGCACATCAAAATATGCAAATGTTATCTCCTCCCCAGCCTTGACATCTCTGGAAGCATGAACTATTAGATAATCTCCAACATGCAGACGCCTTGCATTGGGAACACATGAATGGTTGATGAATGAAGCCAGTACCCATAGCCCGACGCCATAATAGGCACTGTTCTTCCCCAAAACCTTAGAAGAGATTGCATCCTCAACAAGAGAATTGACATCCAAGGTGCTTAGAATCCTGTTCACATCAAGCTTCTCATTTGGGTAACCACCAATATGCTCTGACTCAGGCTTAAACAGATTGATCTCAGGGACCTCAAGCTCATCCTCATCTTCACCACTTGACAATGTACTGATCAAATCCCGGGTTCTCAAACATTTAGCCGCTGAATCTATAACTTTTTCAGTGAAGTTCTTCCACATGACCAATTGAGCATTCCCATCCAGATTTTGATCCGGCAAAATACCCCTCTCTGTGGCAACTGCTTTGGTGACCAACACCAAAGTTCCAGCATCAATGTTCCTTGTTGCAAACAGGCCTCGCCCTCTAATCTCAGATTTCTTTATCTGCACTGGTCCAATGTACTCAGCAGGCTCCAAAGGCTTTCCGCGAAACCCATTAACCACCCATTCAGAGAGATCAAACGCTCCAGTTCTCGACATCAACTCAAGCTTCTTGCATTTCTGCAAGTACCCACTGAGGCTAACAGAGCTCCCATTAGCCTGAGGATCAAGCTGAGCTGTTTTGAAGCATTCCAATGCCATTGAATACCTGCTCAGATTCAGCAAAATCTTACCTTTGCAGAGAAGAGTCTTGAAATGGGTACTCTCAATTTTCAATGCCTGATCGCAATCCCTCAAGGCTTCTGCAAAATCCCGGAGTCTGGATCGTGCTTCGGCTCGGTTCGAGAGGGCTAAGCAGAGGGATTTATGGAGCTTGAGGAGATGTTCTGGGTCTTCAGGGGTCTTTGAGACCTGGTCTTGGCAGAGGCTGATGAAGTGAGAATATGCTTGTACGGCCTCCTTCCATTCTTCTCTGAGAAGGAGCTCTGTGGCTTTGGATCTGAGCCGCTGCATTTGCTCTTCTACCATTACTAGCTGATCTTGTTGGGTTTCTCTCATTTCTGACTATGATGACTAATTTGGGTAAGCGAGGAGGCTTTCTCTTTGGTTTTTGAATTTGACATTATGTAACGGTCACAAGGCCGGCCTTTATTATTTTACATTTTTTGTAACGTTGAACGGCTATGCCGGTCTCGACGGTGTCGTTACAGCCAGTAGATAAAGCAAACAAAAACTAGAACCTGATTGAACGGATATGTTTGTTGGCATCTTAGCCAAACCATCGCTTTTGGTTATTTTGTTTCTTAAATTTCAATTGAGCATGATATCTTGTACAATACGAATGACATGTTTGTAGTACTTCCGAAAGGGATAAAAGATGCTTTTGATATCGTACTTTTAAGTCACAAAAGCTCTAATTAGTTGGTTTAAAAATCAAAGATGCTTATGATATCGTAGAATTCAAAAATTACCTCTGAATGCTTAATTACTTGGATTTTCAATAAATTTTTAACACTCTTCTAATAAATGTGCTTATGAAAAGGCGGTTATAAACAAATATGCTTCTTACAAAATTATTTTCAAACGAGGTCGAAGACTTGTAGCTCAACTCTCGCCTCTATCTCATAAACAGTAATTTCCTACTAAAACGACATGTAACACACTGTCGTTCAATTATATAACTTGATGTCGTTTCCCAATCTATTCGATTATCCTTTAACTGATTTTCGGTCGTTGTTCTTCAATTTTATAGTTCCGTCGACGATGAAACCGAGCGAAGATCATGGGGCCCACAGGAAGATCTTACTGGCGTCGATCTCAGCCATGGTGGCGGAGACGACGACGTTTCCGATAGACCTGACAAAGACTAGGCTTCAGCTGCACGGCGAGTCGGTGTCGGTGGGATCTGCTCGGCCCACCAACGGGTTCCTAGTGGCCTCGGAGATCGTGCGGCAGCAAGGCCCTCTTGGGCTGTACAAGGGATTGTCTCCTGCGATTCTCAGACACCTCTTCTACACGCCAATTCGGATCGTCGGGTACGAGCACCTCAGAAGCTCACTGAAAACGGATGGTGCGTCCCTCTCTCTCCCCGCTAAAGCTCTCTCCGGTGGGCTTTCCGGCGTCGTTGCTCAGGTAACTTGCTTTCTTATTGTGTCTAACTTATTGGGTTGGGTCCCTTTTCGAAAAAAATAATTGGGATTTGTAATTTGATAAGTTTTTGGACTTGGGAGATTGAAAGTTTCGTTAGTTATTTTTTGGGTCAAAAGGGAAATTGGAAGTAATACTGTTACCGATTCATTTTAGAGAAAATTGGTAAGTTTAAAAATGCGAGCTTGTTCGAATTGACAATGAGAAAATGAATGCTTGAGCTTTGAATTTGTGTGCTCTGTAAGAAAGTTCGGGGCGTTCAACTATAGAATCTATCGAACTTTTCTGAAGATTATTAATGCAGTTTTGTCACATTTATTCACATTGAATTTGCTTCAATCTCATACTTTGACGTGCATATGAATTTATATGTACAAAACTTCACTGCATTTTACACTCTTGATATTTAAATGCAGCTTTTTCCACATGATAATCCATGTTAGGTTGGTCTACTTGGTTGTGCTGTGCGTTTCTTTGCCAATCGAATGGTCCAATAATTGATTAGGCTGACTGCTTTGTATTTTCTTTAACTCTGTATTTGCTTTGAAAGTAATAGTGTTCTTCTGTTTACTGCTAGTAGTACAGTTGGTGGCAAGCCCCGCAGATCTTGTTAAGGTGAGGATGCAAGCAGATGGTCGTATGGTGAGCCAAGGCCTTCAACCTAGGTACTCAGGGTGCTTTGATGCTTTAAACAAGATCGTCCGATTGGAGGGCGTTGGAGGACTTTGGAAAGGGGTTTTCCCTAATGTCCAAAGAGCATTCTTGGTGAACATGGGAGAATTGGCCTGTTATGATCAGGCGAAACATTTTGTTATCAAAAATCGAATTTCGGACGATAACATATATGCCCACACTTTGGCATCAATCATGTCAGGCCTTTCAGCAACTGCTTTGAGTTGTCCAGCCGATGTGGTAAAGACAAGAATGATGAACCAGTCTAGAAGCAAACAAGGGAAGATTATGTACAACAATTCCTATGATTGTTTGGTGAAGACTGTCAAAGTTGAGGGTTTAAGAGCATTGTGGAAAGGGTTCATACCTACATGGGCAAGGCTTGGTCCTTGGCAATTTGTGTTCTGGGTCTCATACGAGAAGTTTAGACAAATTGCAGGGTTCTCTTCTTTCTGATGCATCTTTTCATCCCTCTCTCGTTTCAGATTCCGAGTGATCATACTGGATGGTATTTATTTTCCTTCTTCAAGTTAGAAGGATGCCTCGCATGTTTAGGTGCCAATATTTGGTACTTACATGTTGTTGTGATTCAAACATCAAAGATTAGAGTGGTGATATAGAGCAAGCAAGCTCGAACTTGTGATTCGGAATTAACAATTTCGTGAGTTTTCTTTCTTTCTTTTGAGCTGTTCCTCATTGACAAACAATCAAAGATTATTGCCTTCATAATTTGCAATGAAGAAATATTCCTTTCTCAGTGGTAGTTCTATTGTGTTTGAAATTTGTTTCCTTCAATTGCATTTTGCATGCTGTCATGTCTTTTATGCCCCAATATATTTGGAAAAAAAGAAAAAAAAGGGAAAATACAAGATGTTGAAGTAGCAATTAAGCTCTTGGGATCCCTTTGATTGAAAGTCGATTTGTAGGCATAACACTTAGCTCCTGACAATTTCTCTTGCAAGTTAATTTGGTGATTAACTTTTAACTGTGATCTTGATAGAACCTAATAAGTAAGAAACCAAATCCTGCATGGAAGTTATGAGCCTCAGGCTGTCTATCGTTCGAAGTTACAAGCCTCTGAATTGGACCACTCTCTCATTTCACCAATTGCCTGCTTGAGTTGTCTCCTTCATAATTGCGTTTCACCCCTGAGCCTAGAAACTCTCAAGCAATAGGGATGATTGGGGATAGCAAACTAGTACTATCCCTGTTATAGTCAAGTTTTTTTTCTTACTCTTGGGGAGATAAGTTTTTTTTTTCTTACTGTTTGGGGTGGGTGTGGGTTGTGGTTGGGGGAATGGTATTTCCTTTGCGAATTTTAATGAAAACGAATAAACTGAATCAATTAAAAGGTTAGATGGATCATAGATGAAGCAAAAGCAACTTGTACAAGCATCATCATCAAAAATTGCAACTGCCAAGGCAAAACATGAAATGGGAAAGAATTAAATATCTGCAATGAGTGAGGTTTGGTGGATAATGATTCATGTGTATGAAATTACAAAAACACCCTTGTCACGTCATCAAAGTTAACAGACTTTTGGATGAAGTTGACGGCAGGAGGTAAAGTGGGTCACCTAGGCTCGGTCAAGTGATGAAAGTGGGTCATTTTAAGTTTGAGAGGGTAAAGTGGGATTTGATTGGAGTTTCAAAGGGCATTGGTGTAATTAAGCCTTCTTTATTTTGCTTATCTCACTCACCATAAGTTATATACATATACAGTCCCCTTTTATTGAGGGACACTCTTTAGGATACCCTACAAATTTTTTTTCCAACAATCCAAACTATATATTTTTTAGGTCTTCATTCATAGATCATCTTTGGGAAAAAATTAGACAAATCGGAAACCGTTTAGACATCTAATTGTGTCCAACAAAATCAATGATCACAGTGCTTCAAAAAAGTACTAAAATTTTAATAATTTAATTGAATGGTCAAATGATATCAACTTCAAGTGATTTTTTTTATATAGAGATGATCTTTGAATGAATATATACAAAATAGACAGTTTGGATTAGTGAAATACAATGCGAAGTACGCCCTACAAAGGTGTCCTTCAAATAAGCTTAGTGAAATACAATATATATTTATGCATTTAAGTTATTCTCTTATTTGGATGTCTGCACGTTATTATCGTGCAGATGTTATTGTAAACAATCTACTATACATTATATTCCATTGAGGGTGTAGGGTCCACTCTACATTGTATTTCACTAATCCAAACTGTCTATTTTTGAGATAATCATTAGACCATCTCTACAAAACATCACTTGAATCCGATATCATTTGATCACTCAATTGAGTAATTGAAATTTTAGCACTTTCTTGAAGTACCGTGTTCATTGATTTTGTAGGATACAATTGGATGTCGAAAACGGTTTTTGATTTGTCTAATTTTTGCAAGGATGATCTATGAATGTAGACTTAAAAAATAGATGGTTTGGATTGTTGAAAAAAATTTCTAGAGAACCCTAAAAGGTATCCCTAAATAAAAGGGGACTGTATATATATTTATACAGTTATTCTCTCATTCGAATGTCTGCACGTTATTATCTTGCTGATGTCATTGTAAACATTTGCAGGGAGGGGTAGTAGAAAATACATGGCGTACATATGATAATAACGTCCGGACATTTGCATAGGAAAATTTCTATATATTACATATATATTTTATGTAACACAAGAATAAAAGAATTTCTGTATATTATATATATATATATCCAGTAACCCAAGGATCTGGGTCCCCATTCTCCGGCTAGTGTATGATCATGCAATTCACATCGACCCCACAAACATGAAAATTAATGCCAAACACAAATGTGAACGTATTTCCAGAACAACGAACTTAAAACTTTATAGCATACGCGTACAGACAGGTACTAGAATTAACATCCAGTTGGTATCCCTTTATCAACAACATTCATTCAATTTATTCATTGTTTGTTTATACATGCACACATTTTTCAATATACTCAATCAATAATGCACGCACACAAATAAGAGGGAGGATTGCAAGTGGTTATAGAGGGGTGTGACAATCGCTATCCTGTGTATGATGACTTTGTTGAAGTGCTAAATAAGCGTTCACGTGTTAGCTATACGCAAAAAATGACATAGTTGACAGGTTAATATTCAACTTAAAAAATCTTTAGCCTCCACACTCAAAAGATGACACAGAACTTGTGCTCAAGATCAGGATTTGATAAAAAATCAGTGGCTACATCATCAGAAAAAAGTATTGAAGCACTGCTCCCATAATCAAAGAAACACAACCCAGTTGATCGAAGCGGGCGGGTGATGTGGATGCCCAGAGACCACAAGGACATTGCAGTGGGGACATGTTGAGTAAGTTTGCAGTGGAGGACATATTGAATATGGTACCCATTGAGAGGTGAGAGCTTCTTTGGTATACTCGATTGGACTATATATTTCCAAAGCAAATTCTCAACTGCCAAGGGGTGTGACATAAATCATGTATTAACTAAATATTTAATCAAGGCAGCTAGCTAGCCAAACTGATTATTTATAGAGAAATTTCCATGCGCGTGAAAATCAATATGCAAAATCATATGTACGGATATGGTAAACGTCAATAAATTCATTTGATCAGCCATAAATCCACTGAAAAAGTATTTTGATAACCACATGGGGTCCATATTTATAATTCTGGCTGGTAATTTTATTGCCCTGAAAAGCTTTTTAACCACTTTTTAACCACTTCAACACCATTCATTCAATTCTGAAATAGTATGCAGAGGTTATTATGAGATAATTCGATTCAATTCTGAAATCGACGTATTTTGTACATGTGCACACTCCATCACAACATGAATTTCGAGTTTTTGTATTTAGAGAGTGTGAATTTTTTGATAATTAGAGTTTTGGAAATTTCGTACATCCATCGCCATCACAAATGTCTAAGAAATTTAATTAGCTAGGTTTTGTGGCAAGTTTATCAGTTAATTGTGACCCTCATTTCTCCGACAAGTGCTACTATAAGATAAAAACCGAGGTATTGGAACTTGGATCTTGTGCCTCTCAGTGGAAGTTGATAATCATTGTGGGGGTCATTAAGCCTGTGGATGGACAGGAGGTCCATTTGTAGTGAAAGGGCATATTGGTCACGAAGAAGCAATCTTTCTGGTACACATTTAATTCTTTATTCATATCGTCCGACGTCCTCTATATATATATTGGCCTCACCCTTTATGATGTTCCAACAGCTTTCTTGGATTCCAGAATCTCAAACTATACTAATTGTGGGAGTGTGAGTGTGAGTGCTGATCAGGTAGGGCTTGAGACTAAACTAGATGGGGAGGTCACCATGCTGTGAGAAGGTGGGTTTGAAAAAAGGACCATGGACTCCTGAGGAAGACCAGAAGCTCTTGACTTACATCGAACACCATGGCCATGGAAGCTGGCGTGCCTTGCCTCCAAAAGCAGGTAATTATTTTAACTCACAACTAAGAACCCCTTCACCTTCATTTATAATTCGATCCATTTTTCACTTTGTTTGGGGTGCATGCATGCATGATATATATATATAGGGCTCCAAAGATGTGGGAAGAGCTGTCGTCTGAGGTGGACCAATTACCTGAGGCCCGACATCAAAAGAGGGAAATTTAGTTTGCAAGAAGAACAGAGTATCATTCAGCTCCATGCTCTTATCGGAAACAGGTAATTAACAAAACTTTAAATATATATATTTTTTTCTCTAAACAAAAATGGCAAATATGTCTCCTAATAACTCAATTTATTTACTAATCTTAGGTGGTCGGCTATAGCAACTCATTTGCCCAAGAGGACGGACAATGAGATCAAGAACTACTGGAACACACATCTCAAGAAGAGACTAACCAAGCTGGGCATCGATCCCATGACCCACAAGCCGAGGCACCACCACGGCTCTGGCAGCGGCCACGCTAAGGACGCTGCCAACATAAGCCACATGGCTCAGTGGGAGAGCGCCCGCCTTGAAGCCGAAGCCAGGCTCGTTAGAGAATCCAAGCTGCAGGTCATCTCCACCACCAACCCCAACCACCTCCTGATCAGCAGCTCCTCCGACGCAACCCATCAAGGACACGTCATCAACAAAGCTCCGCCGGGTCTGCCGTGTTTGGATGTGCTCAGAGCATGGCAAGGAACATGGTCAACAAAGCCCACGGTTAGAAACGTTAACAGCACAATTATTTCGGGTGGTTCTATGATGTCCATGGACGACCTCGAGTCTCCAACATCCACCTTGAACTTCCCACATATTAACGCACTTAATCCTCCAATGCAAAATGCCATTAACATTAACGGGCTCAACGAAAATCCGGTGGTTCCATCCGAGGTATTGCAGGACAATGTTAATGTTACATATGGTTGTATGGATGCTTGTGCTGCTACACCTGCATGGTTTGTGGAGGAGGGTACGTTTAGGTCAGGGAATGAGGAGGAGGTGGGGAATGTGATAATGCCAGCTGGAGCTTCAAATATCATGATGGAGGACTTCACTGATGTTTTGGTTTACAACTCGTCGCTGGCCGGAGAGATCTCTGATAACGGCGGCAGCAACTTTGAGGAGAACAGGAGCTACTGGGACAGTATACTCAATTTGGTGAACGCTTCATCGTCTGGGTCGCCTGTGTTTTGATTTTTGAAAGTCTAGAGTTAGGAGATGTGACTCAGTCGTAGCAGCAATGGTCAATGATTAGTTAGCAACTAATTAAGTTGTAATAAGGAGCAGAGTAGTTGTTTTTTAGTTTTAAATAACAGGTTATCTGATCAACGAAAGAAAAAATGTAACAAGTAATTAGATGTTATTAATATGGTAGTTCGAAGGTCACAATAAAAATGGATCCGGATCCTCTGCTATGATTTTCTCTGCAATGATCTGCTTTACTTTTGTTCTCCATACGCCACTTTATTAAAATTTAATCAATTGACTTAAAAATTGACACATCATCCTTCAGATAAAAATCAGAGCAGACGATCTGGATCTAATAAAAATTCAATTATGTCTATTAAATTGCCATGATAGATTAGTTGGCCGTTAAATTTATTGCTACTGCTCTTCATGTTACTATTTTCAACAGATGCTCGTAACTGTAACCTGAAAAACGTGATAAATTTCATAATGTGTTTATTTATATAATTTATATATATATATATATATATATCAGTCCCCTTCTATTGAGGGATCCCTTAAATAATTTTATTTGAGGGACGCCCTTTAGGGTACCCTACAATTTTTTTTCCAATGATCAAAACCATCTATTTTTTAGGTCATTATTCATAGATCATCCTTACAAAAAATTAGACAAATCGGAAACCGTTTCGACATCCAATTGTGTCCTACAAAATCAATGAACACGGTGCTTCAAGAAAGTACTAAAATTTCAATAACTCAATTGAATGGTCAAATGATATCGGATTCAAGTGATTTTTTGTAGAGATGATCTTTAAATGTGTATCTACAAAATAGACGGTTTGGATTAGTGAAATACAATCCGGAGTGGGCCCTACAATGGGGTGTCCCTCAAATAAGCTTATTTGAGGGATCCCTCAATGGAAGCTCTCTGTATATATATATATATATATATATATATATATATATATATATATATGGGGCGGATCTGTGGCACTATATTTTTGACACAAGTTTTGAGCCATTAGATTACTCCACCTTTAATGGTTGAAATTAAATCTGACATGATAAATAATTTTAATGTTTTAAATAAACAATCATTAATTTTATTTTCTCTCTCATAAAAATAAAATAAAATAATTTTTTCTCTCCTCCCTTTTTTTGGAGGAGAGATAAAAATTTGGACGTGGCTGTAATTGAGAAATGGAGAGAGAAGGAATTTGGAGAGAAGTGGTTGAGTGAGTTCGAGACAAAGTATGCATTCCCTATCAATTTCCCAACGGGGTTTGAGATCCAGGCTGGGTTTAGAGATAAGTTGAAGAATTAGCAAAGACTTCCTTATGTCAAGCCTTATGACAGGAAAGAGTCTGTCCGCATTCGTACTTGTGGAGGGATTGAGAGGTATGAGAAACGGGCGGTTGGTATTCTTCATGAGTTCTTGAGTTTGACAGCAGAGAAGATGGTTGAGGTTGAAAGGTTAGCTCATTTTTGGAGGGATTTCGCCATGGATGTTAATGTGCGTGAGCTTATCTTGAAGCACCCTGGAATTTTTTACATATCAACCAGACGTAATAGTTTAACTGTTTTTCTTAGAGAGGCATATAGTAAAGGGTGCCTCATTCAGTCTAATCCGATATATGATGTTCGGAGGAAAATGTTGGACCTTGTTTTCCTAGGGAGTCGAAATACTAGAGAAATGCCAGCTCAAAAGGAAATCAAGGAATTCAAAGTAGATGGGGATGGTATAATGGATGGAGACTAGGTTATCCCAATGTTAGAGAACTTGGAGAATGGAAGTTGAAATTGGTAATTCAAGGTTTCAGGAATACAGTCAGATTTAGGGATGGAATTATGGATGGAGACTGGGTTATCCTTGTATGAAACATGTTTCATCACTTAAATAACTTGAGTTGAGCCCTTCAGTCAAGAATGTGTGCCCTCACAGACCACAATGCGGTAATTTGTAGTTCCCAATTAACAGGGAGGAGAGAGAAAAGATTACGTTTCCAAGGAAAAAAAGGAGGAGAGATAAAATTATTTTATTTTATTTTTATGAGAGAGAAAATAAAATTAATGATTGTTTATTTAAAACATTAAAATTATTTGTCATATCAGATTTAATGTCAACCATTAAAAGTGGAGTAATCTAATAATCCAAAAATTGTGTCAAAACTTGTGTAAAAAATATGGTGCCGCGAATCTGCCCTAACTCAATAAAAAGTACAGTTCACTCTCCCATACATTTATACTATCATTAAGAACATTTTGTTTGTGTATCGTTTTGAGATATGAAGCCTTATTCATAACCAGAAGTACAAAAACTTGTATGAAAAGGGAATAATACTGTTTCGTTATTCCCGATCAATCATAGACTGCCATATGAAAAAGTTATCACGCATGACATACCGTGATTGGCCAAAAATAACAAAATAGTACTATTCTCATTTTATGTAAGTGTTTCTCGACCAACAAGCTCAACTTTTAATTAATTGCTTTTCGGGCCTTGAGTTCAAGCCCATCCAAAAGTCACGCCTCTGTATCCGAGTCTCCAATGGAGAAATCAACCCGTTTGTAGAACCATGATCAGATCAAACAATAATGAAATTCTAAAAAACTTCATAGCATTTGGTTTTCGTGTAATGGAAGAATCAGTTATTCTTCAAAATGTGTGAATTTTGCAGTTAGAGAGGGATTATCAATATAGTGTTGATAAAATTATCAATAACATGTCAATGACAGAACATATAAACCTGTTATCGATACATTATTGATCTTTGATATGAAAGTCCTCCGTTGAGAATTCATGCACATGCTAATTCATATTTGAACACACACCCAAATCAGCAAACAATTGATTCCATCTGATCTCACGTTGATAGTAACACAAATATGACAATGAACATATATATTACAAATGAAATCCTGCGCATCTCCTAAACCTTGTAACATCACTCCCTTGTGCAACTGCCATTCCAATCCCAGTCCTTCCCTCAATCCCAACACCTCTATAATACAACCTCCACTCATCTTCCTCCCCATCCATCTGAACCAAACATGGAGATCCAACCCCTTTGTTATCCCATCCACAATCCTCAGAGGCCTTCAAAACCACCTCATCATCCTTCAACCTTGTCCAATCCTTCAACCCATCTGGGGACACAGCCAAACCAATGCTGCTCCCACCATCACCACCAACACCTTCATATGCCATCAAATACTCCCCATCTTTCCTGTTCCTCACTACACATGGATTCATTGCTCCCAACTCATCAAAGTAACCACTTCTTCCTCCCCCTATTATTTTCCCCAATTTCACCCACTTAATCCCATCCCTTGATCTTGCCATCCCAATTGAGTAATTTCCCATCTCCAAATCAAGTGAATGGTAATACATTCTAAGATCACCACTTTCATGGAAAACAACATGAGGTGCAGCAATGAATGAAGAATCCCACTCTCCTTGCAACCCCACATCAAACAGAGCCCCACTGTGATGCTCCCCTTCAATTCTAGCCCAATGCCTCCCGTCTTGACTAATTGCCAAACCAGGCAAAGACTTGGAAATCTTCCCAATCCCACCATTTTTATCACTGATCAAACCATCAAGAAGGAACCTTTCTGGGTTCTCCAAATTGATTTCTTGAGAATGATTAGAAATATTCTCTGCCTCCTCAGCACTGTAGCCAGTGTAATAGAGCCAATAAACAGCACTAGAAGCTCTGACCTTTGAACTGGACATGACCACTACCTCAGAAGGCCTAATGCCCTGAGTATCAAATGCCCACCAATCTTTGCCGCAATTGATCACCGCACCCACATCCTGGCTCGATTGAACTTGTCCAACTCCTCGTTCCCAATGAACCCCATTGCTTGAAACTGCTAATCCAATCGAATCCGAACCTGGGTTTGGATTTGAACTGGACTTCCCATAGTACCACATGTACCATCTCTCTTCCTCATCACCCAGGAACCTCTTCACAACTGGTGACCCAACTTCTGCACTGTCCCATGAATTTTCAAAGCCCAAACCCAACACCAATCCTTTGGTATTAGAAGAAGAAAATGAGGTTGATATAGGAGAAGAGAGTGCATCATTTGAAAAGGGCGTTGATGGGTTTGTCGGTTCTGAATTTAAATTGGGTTCAACGGTCGAATTCTGTTCTTTCTCGTTGTCAGTCGTGTCCGTGTCTGGCTTTATGGAGCATCGAGTTATCAGAGAAATGGCTCTGCTTCTAGGGTTAGAGTTTGGGAGACAGAGAGCGTGTACGTTTGGTTTAGTGTGAGGAATTGGAGAGGTTAATGTAGTCGGGTGGGTAGCTATTCTCTGGGTAATTGGAGTTGAAAAAAAGTTAACGGCTTTCATTGTTGTAGCAGAAGCTGCTGCTAGTGACGCTGCATCCATGGCTGCCAAGGAGAGGAGGAGGAGGAGCTCTGTGATAATGGATTAGGTGATGTATGAGCTGCTGAGACCAATTAAATGCGGACACGTTTTCAAAATTGAAAGGCTCTGAGTTGGGGAGAGACAGGGAGGTAAGAGAGACAGAGTTCAAATGAGCCAGAGCCACAATTTCAGTTTTGACGATACACTTTTTATTTTATTTTCTCTCGTAACCGAAGTAAAGGGTTCGTCATGCCTGTCTTTTTCAAAGGCGTAAAGCGAAGTGTTTTCTGAAGAATAACATCTTTCGTCGATCTTGACTATGGAAACAGTGAAAGGAGAGAGTATTGGTGCATTGCATTTACAATGGTTACTGCTTTGATCACCATTATATTCGCACAAACTTTATTTTTATTTATTTAAAATATTACAAAAAAGTAATAAAAGCAAGATGTTCTTACACCATGAACACAAGGAAGGTATATGGAGTGATCTTTTTGACTCCTTTTACCACCAGCCATCTCAATGATCAATTGAAACCGCGAGCAAATTGATTTCCAAATTGGTAAATCACACATTGCTAAATATAGTTTGTGTCAAATTCCAAATGGGCCTAATTTTCAATTCAATCAATCGTTACAAGGAAGGTATATGTTATTTTTTACTTTGCAGAATATCTTATATGTCGGTTATTAGTTTTTTTTTCTTTTGAAATATTTAATTTATGTAATTTACAATTTACATGAGCTATTCCAAATATTGAAAATTTCAATTTCTGTTATTTACAAAATTTAATATATATAAATTTAACGCTGAAATATTCAATTGTCAGAAATTGAAATGATGGAAATCTAAATTCCATCATTTTAGAATTTTATGTAATTTTTAATTCCTTCATCCAAACTGAGCATAATGTAATTCCTCCAAATTTATACATTAAAACTTAGAGTGCTGCTAAACGAACCCTAAAATTAATTGAGTACACTTTATGATCTAAATACACCCTAATATTTAAATTAAAATGTAAAATTAACTAAGTACACCTTATTTAATTACCAAAAATACCCCAGATACACCCTAATCCACTCTATCACATGGCAGCAAACCCATTCGAATCTGGTAACAACATTCATTAAGGTCAAGTGGCATACTAAATTATTCGGATATCATGGCTAAGAAGCTTTGATTCAAAGGCAGTAGAAAGCCCCTTGTTTTCAGTTTTTTAGAATTTCCATACACAATTCAAAAGCATTGCATTCGTGGGTTAAAAAACTTAAGGATTCTTGTCTGTTGATTGATGGTTATGACGATGTAAGGTTTAGAATGCATAATGTTGATTGATGGTTATCCCTGAGGCTAGGGTGTGCACAGATGATTTTTGGGTGTCCACAGATATCACTAGCCTTCATCTTATGCACACGTGTCCTTCCCAAATTAAGAAGATGGGGTCCAATTTCTTGATGAATATTCCAAGGCCCGGCTAAAATAAACCAAACAATATTTGGGCCCATTCATTATGAGATCCAAAAACAAAGAGGGCAAATTGTTAATATGCCACAAATTGGAGGGCAATCGCATTCAACCCCTCATCTCTGCTCTAGTCTAAAAAATTCTCCGAAGTCGAGGCCGTCGTCACTCGGGCAGCAAAGGCAGCTGAACTGAACCCTCCGCAGTCAAAACTCCAATCGGTAAGATTTAAGAAATTAATTTGGTCAAAGATCTTTATTGGGTTTGTTAATTCGCTTGTTAATTTTGTAAAAGTGTAATTCTTTAGGTTAATTAATCAAAAAGATGGGGAAGGACGCGAAGGCAGGAGGAAAAGGGAAGGGAAAGCAAGCGGCGGGTGGCAGCGACGAGGCTGGCTCTAAGGGAAAGGGAAAATCTGGGAAGTCTTCTGATGGGCTGGGCACTTGCACTTACGTGAAAGCAAGGCACGTCCTTTGTGAAAAGCAAGGCAAAATCAACGAAGCCTACAAGAAGTTGCAGGATGGTTGGCTTGAAAATGGCGACAAAGTGCCTCCTGCTGAGTTCGCGAAGGTAGCAGCCGAGTACTCGGAGTGCCCATCTGGGAAGAAAGGTGGCGATCTTGGGTGGTTCCCTCGTGGCAAGATGGCAGGCCCTTTTCAAGAGGTGGCTTTTGCTACCCCAATTGGTGCTACCAGTGCGCCTTTCAAATCCACGTATGTGTTTCCAAGTTCCAATCTTTCAAATTTTTTAAAGCTACCATTTTGGCCAATTGGTTAGATTGCCCTGTTTGCATAGCTAATTAGCAATATGTGTGCTGTTGTTAATAGATTGGATTGGATTAAATTATAGGGCATAACCCATGTTGTAGGCCACATCAGTTTGCCTATTGATTGTGGTTGGCTGCTACCATTTGAAGAATCATTTGTAATTCATGCCACTCCATAGATCTTGTTTTGAGTATGTACATTGTATAGTGATATGTACTGTTGGATTATCTGCTTAAAGATATCCTAAAATTGAACTCTAATTGTGCTCACTGCCAACACAGTTAGCTGATTTTGTTGTTTTGGGAAATTTTGCAGGCATGGCTACCATATTATCTTGTGCGAAGGCAGAAAGAATTAAGACCTTGATTTCTGGTGGAGCAAGTCCGGAACTTTGGCCATATGAATGATGTTTACTAGTTAGATACTGGTTTGTATTTTGGGCATTATGTTTAACGACTGGTGTGAAATCCTACTCTCTCTCTCTCTCTCTCTCTCTCTCTCTCTCCCATGGCAGTGATGGGACTATTGCAACATGTTTTTGTTCAATAATATTTATATTTTTCGATCGAGGCAAATGATAATTTCCTGTTTTCTGATATGATCAAATGCAATCCATAAGAAACATGTGTATAATGACTATGATTCATTTGGTATCATGATAGTTAAAATGGTAGTTTCAATTTTGGAAGTGGTATGTTGATGGGTAGATGGCAAATGAAAAGGATGAGCTGCCTTTCGCTGGGAAAAGCATACATTCAATAAGGTACATTAAATCATAGTTAAATCCAATATCCAGGCATTCAGCTCTCTTCTAACAAGCAACAATGGCAGTGCAAAGTAAAGAATACTTGATTTACATTCAATAGCAAAGTCATTCTACCACATAACTCTATCAACAATCTGATCCAAAACAAAATGACTTTGTCGCATTACATTCCAGAAAAACAGCAGCTACAACTGATCATGAGATTCATGACTACTGACTAGCTTAAGGCCCCAGCTCATATCCTCGCAATGTCTCACATGAGGTACAAGCGCACCTGTATCAACCCCTCTCTTCGCTTTGCAGTCATAAAATGGGGGAGCATGGAAACAAGGCTCCATCGACATGACCTGACGGCAAGGCGGATTAGGCATTGTTTGATTTTCAGGCTTGTACAGAATCCATGGCTTCAGGCCACCAAGACCTTGAGCCACATATCCGAACGTTGACCATGCACTTGTGACCAACACATCACACAAACTGAGGAGATACATTTCAGCCCAAGCTTTTCTGTCATGCAGATTCTTATCTGTCTGCTGATGCCCTTCATGGCTTGGCTGAAAAACCCCAATTAAGTCCCCATTAACAGTTGGGTGTTCCCAGTACATATTCCTCATATTCTCAGAGTATCCTGAGGTTAAAGAAGTAATTAGCACCGATTTCAGTTTTGGGATCCCCGATGGAGCTGTGACAGCGGGTTTTTGCTTATCCACTTGAGGCAGCAATTTCTCCTTGAAAACACAGGCATAAATTTGATTCATCACATGCTGAAGTGGGCTAGGGCCTGACTCAAAAGTTCTAACTTGAATGCCAATCCTTTCATCTGCCTTTGCTAAGTGAGCTTGATAGTACCTTGTGATTAGCCCCCATACATGATTTGAGGGGTGGAAAAGATACCTACCCAAGTGGTGGAAAACAGTTTCCTTCTCTGGGAACAGCTTTTCAAGTTCTTGCTCAAAAGAGGGCATCAAGAAAAGTGATGGGACAAAGTAGTTATCTGTTCTCATTATCAACCAAGGGACTTTCCCAGTAAGACTTTGATATTCATCACAGAAAAAAAGCTTATCTTGCTCATCATAATCATGAGCCAGATGGAGATAGAGAAATGATGGAACTAATTCTGATGAAGTGTTTTTCTTGTTTTTCAACATGTTCCCATAACAATGAGGAGATTTCTGATCAAATTTGTTGAATTTTTCTTTAATGGAGAAGTCTTTAGAGAGCAACCATGAGTTTTCAGGAAATGGTTCACAGAAGAGATCAGCCATGTCCTTCCCAGGGTCAACAAGTAGGACTCTGTTTGTGAGCAGAGCATAGAGGAAAGCAGAGGTTATGGTCAGTATCTTGTTCCCCAAGCCACTGTAGGATATCCAAACCACATACTTACACTCTGTTGAACCACCAACACTACTGTTGCCCTGATCACTAGACTTGAATTGTGCCATTGCTGTTTTGTAGGATTTGGTATGGGGTCCACATTTTTTATGAAGATGTTCATAATTTCGTAGTCTAGAGAGAAGATAAGAAGATGGTTTGTGGGGTGAAATTTTTCGGTATAAATTGGATTGGTACCTACTCAGGCAAGAGCCTTCATCGAACCCAGGAGCAATTAGTCCATCGTGTAGCGTGTCTTTGGGCATCTGGGTGTGGTCAGAAAAACCATCTTCTGCACATTGTAATTGTAAAACCAGAAAACAAACAAAATGAGAGTGAAATGGCTAAAAAGATGGAATTTTGATCGTAATCCACTTTCAACAGCAGAACCAAATTATAAATATTGCATGTAGAAAACAGAAAATGAAAAATTCAACGTATGAGATTTTTTTATTTCTTCTCTTACATTTTTTTTCTCAGCCGCCAAACGCAGAAAAAAAAAGTCAAACAATTGAAGGATATTGAGAATTTGAATATGGTTACCGGATTTGGACGAAGAGGTGTCGTTAGGAGTGAGTCTTTGTATAACTCTGGCGTCTGCGAAGCCTTTGATCCGATCGGGAGGTGGGCTGCGAAGGACGAGAGAGAGGGTGACCAGAACAGGGAGAGAGACCAAAAGAGCCGCCAATATCTTCATCAAATTCATTGTAGTAATTAGCCCGGATTTCAATGGGGTGACCAGAGTGGCTAAGATGGTGTTATAGGGTGATATTCGCCTCCTGCTCCTGGATACACTCAGATCCATTAATAAATCAGAATCTCTCTCTGCAATTGGATTTCAACATGACATGGCTGACAAGCACCATATCTCTGCCTGGATTATTTTCATTAATGAGCCCACAGAGAGAGAGAGAGAGAGAGAGCTGTGTTGTGATGTGTTTGTTGTTGAGGAGCAGGAGGAGGAGGAGGGAGTTTGGACTGGGAAGACTGTTTCGGGGGTTAGAAAAGAGCGGGTTTCGTTTCGTCTTCAACACTCCAAACGTGGCAGTCTGGCACATTTCATTCTCCTTAGGCAGAGCCCAGCCGCAGGTTGTTTCATTTCAATTTTCTGTGCCAATAAAAGTCAATATATTTGAATTTTTCTGCCGAAAATATTTAACAAAAAACAATACTCTTTCCACATAACGAATGCAAAATACTGCAATCATTTTATTTTGGCTTTGGGCCTTGAACTCGAAAATAATCAAAGAGGAAAATGCTGCTATCAAAGTAAATTCTTATTATGGCAGAAGATCTTCTCAAATATATGCATAATTTATGTGATGCCATCTAAAATATCATTGTTATGATCTAACGAGAAACCAACACAAAACCTAAATCACTAAACTAAGTCAATCATTCCATTCGATTAGTTAGGTCGGATTCCAAGTGTTACATTTACTGAAACACATTCAATTAATATAATATTAAATAGATTTGTTAATAACTGCGTGTTGTTGACTCATTCACTTCTTCAACCGTTGTAATTTATTGGAGATTATATCATATTACCAACACGTGATGTTATTAATTCATTTGTATTATAATATGTATATCTATATATTAATATCATATTTTAAGTCCGAAATAATTCTCAGGTATGACTGTCACATCACTGCATGGTAATGTAATGATCACACCTTTCAATTTCCGAATGCATAGCATTCATGGTTATGTGTGCAATTAAATGATAGTATATGTATCACAATAAATCTGAGGCATGCGTTGCATGCATACAACGGTAGTGATGCATGTAAGTTTATCTCAAGTTTCATTTAAATAAGTTACGTTTATCTTCATTTTGCCCTCTCCCAATATCGTTTAATCATAAGAAAATATATTTTGATGATGCATAACCTAGAATGGATGTTTCAGACCAAAAAACAAAAACCTAGAATGGATGCAAAGCCCAAGAAAAATAAACAGAGAACAGTATGGGCTGGAGCATCCCAGCCCAGAATGGTATGAGTTGGATCATCCCAGCCCAGTGGAGAGGTTCAGAAGACAAGACAAAAACGACGAAGTCATGGAGACAAAGCCCAAAAAGCCCAAGCTTAAGTTGGCGAGTTTACTCATGAATAACGAATGGCGGTGCTAAAGAACGGCGGCGGAGGGAAACATCACCCGCATCAACATCCCCTGGATTTTGGGCATTATTTTATCTTTTATTTTTACCAACATAAAACACGCAATGCTGAGGCTGAGGCTGAGGCTGAGGCTGAAGCTGACGCTGACGCTGACGCTGATGAGGGAACATCTCCTTGCAAAATTGCATGTGCGTAATCCCGAGGGGGCACCACCGACCGCATCATCAATGCCAGACGCTACGCTTCACATACAAAATTACAATGCAACAAAAATAAATACAGGCTGCTGCTTTTCAAGAGCAAGCCACCCAACTCTCCAATGGTTACCGTGATGACGCGTGTAGAGACTGTTTCTTTTTCGCATTCTGCTGTGTCACGGGCCTGCATGTAATGTGTTCTTTACTTTTATTTTCTGCATAAGAAAGAGGTGGGGAAATGGCGGTTTCGTAGATGGGTCTCAGAAAAAAACCCATCTGCCTGCATTAATTCTTAGTTGGGGTTTAAGTAAATGAAAAGCAAAGGTATATTTAACATTACTTTATTAATTTTACTCTCACTTTCTTCATCAACTTCTTTGTTACTTGATGATTTGACTCGCTCTATGTGGGTGCACGTGTAAATTATAAACAAATTACTGCAGTGAATGAACTAATGAGATTTTATTGAGTTCATTCTCTCATTGGGTTTTTTTGCTTGACTCCATTTTGTCAATGTTCTGCTTTATCTGCTTCATGAAGATTTGCTCTGTTAGTTCAGAAGAGCTTTTATTTTTCTGTAACATAAGCACTTCTGCAATCAACCATCAAGAAAGATGAAATTCGGGAAAGAGTTCAAGAAGAAAATGGTGCCTGAGTGGGCAGAAGCCTACATGGATTATAATGGTCTCAAGAGGATACTAAGGGAGCTCAGAGAATACAAGCAGAGGAAGCACTCTAGAGACTTATTAGACCACAAAATTGCTGCTGCTCGTGCTCCTCCTCCTAACAGAATCATCAGTGGAATAGAGCTACAAATTAGCAGTCTCCAGAACACTAATGGTGATATCGAGGACCAAGTGATAGATGTCAACACATTGCACGGAGATGGTTGCAGGCAGTTTTACAAGACCAAGTTCCTGAGGCAGTCTGAAGAGGGTGGAGAAATTGAGGTAGCATTCTTCAGAAAACTCGACGAAGAGCTCAACAAGGTCAATACTTTTTACAAGGACAAGGTGGAGGAGGTGAAGCAAGAAGCAAATCATTTGGATAAACAAATGGAGGCTTTGGTTGCACTCAGGATTAAGGTGAAGAATCCAAAACAATATGGTTCGAATTCAAAGAGACATAGGAATTCTTCAGTGCCGCTGACAAGTAATAAGTCAAGTGCAGCTGACGCTTCAGGTAAATGCAGAAGTAAGATCATTTTGTGCTATATATGCATGTAGATGCTGGATAGAAGACTTGCAAGCTGTGAAAATATAACACTTAATCACTGAAACTGGATGGTTTTCCTTGGGATTAACACTTAATCAGGAGTGGTTAATTATGAAGTTCTGGTTGATGATCACAGTAAAATATTTGTCAATGAGATCATCTAGTTAATTATTACAAATTAAAATTTCCTGCCAAATGTGCAGGAAATGAGCCTATGGATTTGACATCTGAAAATGAGCAGCATCAGCGAGAACCGAGCCCCGGTGCTTCAGAAGTCAATCCAACCCATATAAAAAATCCTGGTAGTGATGACAGAGAGGTGTTGAATATCTATGACTACAAAGAAGATCCTCTGGAGGTTCTTGAGCATGTGAAGATTAAGAATACACTTGAATCTCCAATATCAACCATAAAAGGTGTTTTTAAAGACTCCAGAGAAGAAGAGTTGAGCTTTGGTAAAGAGGAGCTGAAGAGAGTGGAAGAACGACTAAGAGCTGTGTTCATTCAATTTTACCATAAGCTTCAACTGCTTGAGCACTACAGGTGATAAAAAGTTATTGTGTCAACATGAATTCCACTTTGGATACATTTTCTTGCCTTTGTTTGGGTTGTCCAAGTATTATGTACTTATACTTTTGCAAATGGATGAACCAGTTTTATGAACCTCTCAGCATTTTCGAAGATTATGAAAAAGTATGAGAAGGTAAGACATACACTTCAAACCAAATTGTGTCAGAATTCTGCGTATATCCTCTTGAAACAAAGTATTCTGATGAAAAATCCATTCTAATAACCACAGATCACATCAAGGAGAGCAGCCAGATCATACATGCTAATAGTCGATAACTCCTACCTTGGCAGTTCTGATGAGGTTTGTCGTATGTATTTGCTGATCTTCTGTTGTTAATCATTTCAGCATTCATAATATTCAATATATGCAATTGTTTTATGAATATCTTCTATTCAGTTACTGTTGCATTACATTTATTTATAGGTTACTAACCTCTTGGAGAGGGCGGAGGCTACCTTCATACAAAACTTTTCAAACTCAAATCGCAGGGAAGGTATGAAGTCATTGAGACCAAAAGCAAAAAGAGAAAAGCATGCTGTAACATTTTTCTCTGGTAAGTATTGGTAATGCCAATTAACCTTTTTGATCAACCATTTTATACAATGATGACTGCGCAACATGTTTTTCCAGTGCTTTATGCAAGTAATTTAAGTATGAAAAGGAGGATTTCTATCAGTGTCGCTAATTAATTCCTATTTTATTTTGACTTTCAGGTTTCTTTTGGGGTTGCTCAATTGCACTAATGGTTGCTATTATATTAAGAATAGAAGCTCGAAAACTAATGGATAAGGAGGAGGGTGCACAATACATGGAAAATATTTTCCCACTCTACAGGTAATCAATAGCCCTCTGGTATTCTACTATGAAAAGTTTTACTATTCATTTGACCCGTATTTTCTCTAACACGTAACGTAAGTGGGTTTCCTTGCAGTTTATTTGGATACATCACTCTACACATGCTCACGTATGCAGCAGATATATACTTCTGGAGGCATTATCGAGTCAACTATGCCTTTATATTTAGTTTCAAGAAAGGAACTGAGTTGGGTTACCGAGAAGTTTTCCTCCTTAGCTCTGGTCTTGCAGTTCTTGCATTGGGTGGTCTCCTGGCAAACTTACACTTGGACATGGACTCAAGTGCTGAAAAATACAAGACACTCACTGAATTGGTTCCTTTGGGCTTACTTATTGTAAGATTTTTAAATGTAGCTGAAGTTTTCTTTGTGGAATCCTTTAAGCTTGATTTTCAAAAATTATTTCTGCTGTGTAATCATTTTTTTAAACTGAAGTAAAGCCTGGTGCCTTTGTTTTAAAACTTCCTTAGTTTGTGCAAATTACAGTGTTACCTTTCTCTCTGCAGTTGGTCCTTGCCATCACCTTCTGCCCTTTCAACATCATATACCGTTCAAGTCGTTTCTTCTTCATTCGGTGCTTATTCCGCTGCATATGTGCCCCTCTTTACCCGGTAATGCATGGGGAAACAATCCAAATAGAAATAAGTAGACAATGGCGCTAAATATAAGTAAGTCTTACCCTTTTTTTTGCAGGAGACATTTCCAGACTTTTTCTTGGCAGACCAGCTTACTAGCCAGGTTTTAAAGCTTCCTTGTACCTTTATTGGCTTCAATTAGTAATAACTTATGACGCAGTTTTTACTGAGATCTTTGATTCTGTTTGGTCTCAGGTGCAAGCCTTAAGGAGTTTTGTGTTATACATTTGCTACTACGGTTTGGGAGAATACTCAAGGAGGCAAAGCAAGTGCCATAGTCATGGTGTCTACAATACTTTATATTTCATTATTGCTGTCATACCATTTTGGATGCGCTTCCTACAGGTCTCATTACATTTTTACTATCTAGTACGTTCTGAGGCGTGTGCTACTTTTGTCCATGATGGAAATATTTTAGCTTACAGTTTTCATACTAATCATTGAAAAATCACCTCTTCTGTGCGGCAAAAAGATGAACTGACAGATAGCATATATGTTGTCTTGCAGTGCATACGTCGATTTTGTGAAGAAAAGGATGTGAAGCACATGTGCAATGGTTTAAAATACTTCTCAACAATTGTTGCAGTTATTATAAGAACTGCTTATGAACTAAAAAAAGGAAAGACATCCTGGATGGTGTTGGCTTTGATATGCTCGGCTGTTGCAACAACAATGAATATGTATTGGGACATTGTAGTAGACTGGGGCCTTCTGCGAACAAAATCAAAGAACAAGTATTTGAGAGATAGACTTCTAGTTTCACACAAGATCTTATACTTTGCAGCCATGGTAATGCAAGTGACTGATGAATTCTAGAGTGATGTGGTTTTATGTTACAGTTTCTGCTATTAATTCAATATGCTTATGGGAATCCATTTCAGGTCTTGAATATAGTATTGCGACTTGCTTGGATGCAGTTGGTGTTGGAATTTAAACTGAGTACCGTTCATAAAATGACAATATCAACCATCATCGCATTCCTAGAGGTCATTCGTCGTGGCATCTGGAGCTTCTTCAGGTATTTTTTTCCTCATGAAATTCAACATTGAGACTTTCTACAGTTTTGAAACGTATATTTTGGGAAAGCCTTGACCAATTAACGTGTACAATTCAATCAGATTAGAGAACGAACACCTAAACAACGTAGGCGAGTACCGCGCTTTCAAGTCCGTCCCTCTTCCTTTCAGTTACTACGATGAGGACGCAGAAAAGGATGACTGAACACGATACAATCTGCCTCCCATCATGCACCAGATCAGAGTGTAATCTGCAGTTTTGAGAGCTTCCACAATTCTGCACTGCTAGCCTTCGGTGATGGGGAAGAAGACGGTTTAGGCATGCCAGGTAAATCATTAAGATGCAACAAACAAAGAACACAAGTATGTCCTGTGGTTGATTTTTGGCAATACCCAATTAGCATAGGCTCATATGGAATTGCCTTGTTCGTTTTTAATCCTGAACAAAACTTCTCTGGTTCGTGTTCATATGAAATTGTATATATGGAAGTTTACGACACGGAGGTTGGAACTATTCTAATTCTAGATAAGGTCAACTATCAAATTTTTTTAGATAAGGTCAATACCCAATTAGCATTTACGATTTTCCCAACCAAAAAAAAAGACTAAAAGAAATACAAATGCAACTGCATTCATTAATAAATAATTTTAAAAAATAAGAAAAATTCATTATTATACCCAATATAAGGAGCCAAATTATAAATAAAAAACTCTATATGAAATGGACTTTAGAAACACACACAAAACTCATTTATAACATAACAAAGAAGCTTCTAACTTCTTATAAATTACAACTGCCATCGATTTCTTGAAACAAACTCAATCCCAAAACCACATAATAAAACTCAAAACACTTAATAGGGCATTAAAATAATTTAATAATAAAAATTAAATTCAATAAGGCTAGCTGTCATTTTTTGGGTTTTTTTATAGTTTGTTTATGGAAATTGGTGTAGGGTTTATCTAAATCACTTGTGCTAAGAATGAGTATATAAATATCTCAAAAAACAAGGGGGGCAAAAAATGAAAAATCAAAGGTTGCAACTTCTTGCCTCCCAAAAGGCCAACACTGATTCTGATTTCCATTCTTTGTAAATTGTAGTTTCTTTGATTACTCATGCTTGCCTTGGTCTTCATCATAGTTGAAGGGCAATGGCACTGACTTGAACGCCCTGTACTTGCCAACGTTGTTCAGATGCTCATTCTCCAACCTGAAAAAACTCCATATCCCACGACGGATTATTTCCAAGCTGGCCACAACCGCAACCATTGTTTGTCCATGCATGAAAGAAACATTGAAATTCAGAACAGTTTGCAACCAGGCAAATCTCAGCAACACATTCAACACCTGCATTTTTTTGTCCAAAAATAGTCAGAAAATACTAAGCACAACCTGCAATTGATCAAGTTGATTCTTGCCTGAAGGCGTGTTTCACATTGCAATATAAGCATATATAAGTTTGACAAGAGAACGTTACTTGATATAGCTAGTACTAAGTTTGACAAGAGAACGTTACTCAATATAGCTAGTACTCACCATGGCTCCGAAATATACACTTTTGTAAGGGATCAAGAGTTTGTCTCTTAACCAGCGGTTCTTGGAATTGCGTTGCAGAAGTCCCCAATCCACAACAAGATCCCAATATGTTCCATAGATTGCTGCAACAATTGAGAAAACCCCAGCAAGAATTTTCCAGTTCACTTCATTTTTAAGACTCTCTAGATTGTATGCTGTCCTCATGCCAACGGCTACTATTGTAAAGAAATATTTCAGCCCATTGTAACCTTGCATGGGATCTTTCTCTTCAACCAAACGGCGGAGGCACTGCAAGAAAATGGAACGGCAAACAATTCTAAGTGTCTGGCTGGGGCGGATAATGAAGCTTAGGAGGACATTTGCAAGAAAAGAAGGGATAAGCTGTGTACCTGAAGGAGACGAGACCAATACGGAATAAAAGCAACGATGAAAGTGAAAGTGTTGAAGACATCTTGTGATTTGCAAGTGTTTTGTCTGAGTTTGTAGTCTCCCCAACCATAATAGCAAACGTAGAATTGCAGACTTCTAATGGCTTGCACCTACAAGAAAACAATTTATTGACACTCAGTTATTTCAAACAGAGAGAAGAAAAACAGGAAAATAATATGACTGCAATTGTGATTTAGGACTAAGGAGGATCATTTTACTGACCTGGCTAGTTAACTGATCTGCCAAGAAGAAATCCGGAAGTGTGACCTGAAAAAGAAGCAACATTTTCAGATTATTAGACCATCCAACTAAGTTCATTCAGTTTCACTTAGAAGAAGAAGAAAAGAAGTGTCTTAGATTGACTTTAATTACCTTATACAGAGGAGCACAGATACAGTGAAACAGACAAACGAGGAAGAAGTAGCGACTTGAACGATATATGAGGTTGAAGGGGCATAATAATATCAAAACTACAAGCTGCATAAAAAGAATTTAGTTCAGTTTATGATCCTAGACCAATGCAGCTGCTAAAATGAAATGGTTGAATTTATGATCTTACCAAAACCAAGAAGAGAGGGAGAAGTTCGGTTAGCGCTTTGTAATCTTTGGTTTTGGGGTCCATCTCCATGTCAAGATTTGAGAGCACAGAAGCAAGTGCTAGCACTGCCAGACCAAAACTGAGAAGAAGAACCTCTCTGTAGCCTAACTCAGTTCCTTGCTTGAAACCAAATATGAAAGAGTAATTGACTCTGAACCGCCTCCAAAAGTATATGTTGCCGGCATACATAAGCATGTGCAGAAAAATGAATCCAAACAAGCTGCAAGAAAGTTTAACATGTCGAACGAATTGAGTACTATTTTTTGGTTGGAAACGTGGGAAGAAGAGTAGTAGAGCAAAGGCCTAATTATAAGTACCTGTATAAGGGAAACATGTTATCCATGTACTGGGTTTTTCCTTCGTCAAATTCAGGATTGTTGGCATTGTTAATATTGCGAGCACGCACCATCAAAATAAGTGCTAATATAAGAGCAGCTGTGCAGCCAGCAAAGCAACCTAAAGATTTCCAATAAACGGATTCAAGGGGAGAAAATTGATACCAAAACTGTCCTTGTTCAGTGTAAAAAATTTAACTCTACTGATTTAGCTAGAGGCCTTACCCATGGCAAATGTTATCCTATGTCTTTCTATCTTTGCTTTTGGCCTTAAGACGGCCATTCCTTTTCTGCGATTTGAGTTTGAGAAATGCTTGATGAACGTAGTTTCAACCCTCTCCATAAGCTTGGTAACCTGCAGCGGTGGCAAGTGCCATATCAGATTAGAAAGAACTTTAGGCATTTGGGCAAAACTACAATTTTATTTACTGTGCCAAGCTTCAGATAGCCTCCAAATAAAATCATAAGAACGTCAGATCATGTAAGAGAAATTCGTCCGACAAAAAATTCGCCTACTAGACAAATTGCCGCAATAGGTCTTCCCTAACAAAAATTCCCCGGGATAGGTCTCTGCCGTAAAAAATAAGCTGGGTAAGTCTATCCTGACAAAAAATTCACCAGAATAGGTCTATCTCGACAAAAATTCGCACATTTGGGCAAAGCAACAATGTTATTTGCTACGAACATAAATTCATAATCCTTTCAACATATATCTTAGAAAGATTTAAGGTTGAATTGTCTTTCCAATCTTTAACATTATGCATGAAGAATTCTCACCTCCTCAGAGCTGCCAAGGTAGGAGTTATCCACCATATTCATGTAAGGTTTTGATGCATCTCTTGAAGTAATCTGCAAAAGTAATGGGGCTAAAAACATAAGTAATACAGACCAAAATTATCCACCAAAGGACATACTGACGAATATTTTACCGATAAGAGATCTAAAAGCTTAAATTTCTTTTATTCTTCCATTCTATATGCATACCAATCACCTAAATATTGGCATAGAAGTTAATTGAAAACATTCTTTCAGGATTTTATGGTGTTGAAAGTTATAACTTATACTGGGTGGGGAAATACCTTGTCATATTTCTTCATGATCTTTGAAAAAGCCAACGTATTCAAGAAGCTGTTTCATTCATGGAAAAAATAATTAGCAACACAGATAAAAATAAAAAACAACCAAACTAGGTACCCGAGTTTGATCTTACCCATAGCTCTTTAGAAGCCGAAGTTTCCGGTAAAATTCAATGAAAGCCCCTTTAAGCTGTTCTTCAACTTTCTTCAGATTATCTCTGCTGAACTTGAGCTCTGTCTGTGGAGGCACATTGAGGAAGACTTTAATGGTCGAACGCGGAGTCTCAACAGTGTGATTCATTGTCACATAATTTAGTATGTCCAGTGGTGCAGGTCTAGTGTCTCTGATGTTCTCTGTCTTCTTTTCTTGAATCTTGACATTCTCTGTCTTTTTTCCATCTTTTTCTTCGTCACCAGAATGTTCCTCCTGGCTATTTGATACACTCTCTTCGATCACATCCATAGCCATGGCTGCGCGCCCTGCACACAATAAAACGACATAGTTTTAGACATAAGCAGAATATCAGCGCAGAAAATACACATATCATTACAACAAGCACAACATTACTTACTGCTTGCTCTGACTCCGCGGGGAGTGGAAGCTGCCAATGCAGCTGTTGAAGCAGCAACATCGGAAGCAAGACGAGTCATCTCCACTGACCAATCAAACGGCCTCTGCGGGTTCTCCACTTTGATGCGAAACGCGATGAAAGCATCCATTTGCTTGTTGAGCACAGCGGCTTCCTTCATCACCTCATCCACCTTTGACCTATAAAACTTGTCCACTTTATTGAACTCATCATCAACCTTTCTAAAATACTCCAACTCCTGCACGCCCCCTTCCTCTGCAGCCATTAGAAACGTAGTCTGGTAGCTCTCGGAGCCATCACTTCTCACAGAGTTCACAAGAATGGCTTGGCTTTCGATGTCGACAGGGGATATGGAGGATGGGCTTTTGGGTTGCTGCTGGCTGTGACGGCTTTGCGACGTGAGACCACTGAAGGCTCTGTACAATGTGAGCCTTCGCTTTAGGCGGTGACTGCGCGGTGTGGTGGCAGCTGGTGGAGGCTTGTGTCTTTGCTTGCTGCGTTGGATTTCTTTTAGGAGGGATTTTAGATAATCATAATCCATGTATGCTTGCTGCCATTCTGGCACCATTTGTGTTGCAAACTCCTTCCCAAACTTCATTTTTTTAAAGCTCTGTGAATTATTAGCTCTAGAAATTAAGTCACTTGGTTTTCAGCAACTTTTTTGAGTGTGAAAAAACTGAAAAGAGCCCCTCAGATTGGTGCTTACTTAGCTAAATTGGGTTCCTTTTGCAGGAACCGCGCAGAGCAAAGAGCGAGTGAGAAATGTCAAGGACAATGAGCCAACGAGGTAATTGGGTTTTCTAAGACGTACGTAACATACATATATATATATATATATATATAGATCTGACTACAATTAAATATTTATGCTCTTGTTTGTTTTTGGGTTGAAAATTTATGCAAAGAAGTTTCAAAATATGAGTGAGTCATACAAGGCGATAAGGTCTCCGTTCTAAATACAGAGTGTAGGGTAGGCAGCCAAAATAGCCGAGCAGGGTGAGCTCCAGTGTTGCTTCATCCCCTAAATTATTATTATTATTTTTTTAAACAAAGATTTTCTTTTTTGTTTCCCTGCCCTTTTTGGTCAATTACAAGAAAGTAAAATGGTTTGGGGTTGCCGTAGTCGTTGAGGCAGTCGCAGTTGACCAGTACACGTGGCGGCCCCGTGGCTTTTGTACGGAGGAGAGCTTTTACCTGACCTTTTCTTCCTTGTTTATAATTTCTGTGTAACACGTTCCCTTAGACCTCTAGAAAGTAAACCCCCCAAAATATAATCAATATTAATATGCAGAGGCCCCCATCTGCATGCTTGTGTCTTGTCGCGGGGTCACTCGAAAATGCCATTTGAGCTACCATGACATTGACATATATAATATTGGCAACTCAATCGATTGTCTCTGCAATGCATGGTTTGAAAAATGAAAACGTACATGTCCAGCTAATATGCTTTCACATTTACTTAAAAAATGATATTCTGCTTTCACAATTAGAAACAAGATACCATTATATTTTTCATATTTGTTTACCAAATTTTGTTCACCTAATTAATAATGTTTCGTGACAACGTTTAATTAGACCATACTTACATGATAAGTTCAAACAGTTTAAATAAAGAAAAATTAGGTATTAGTCATATAATATTTTCAGTGCGCAGTTTCTGGACAGTTTCCTCTTATAAATGGGTCAAATAATTTATGCCACGCGGCGTTTATTGGCGGCTAATCTTTTATGTTTTTTACTTGCCTTTTACAAATCAACGTGCGTTATATAACAGTCCTAGGGTGAATATTTTACTCAAACTATGATGCATCCAACGAGTTTTTCTACCACTTCACATCACCAAATATATTATTTTTCACAGTTTTCCAAATTTCTTAAATAAGAAAAAGTAATTGGCCTCATTCTCTTTTAAGGACTCTGACCACATCATATACAAGTAGAAATTTCTTTTGAATTATATTTTTTTATATTTTCTTTCTAGTTCTTCTGATACGCAGGAGCTGGTCTCTAAAATTTCATAATCTGGCAAGGGGGGGTGTTTTTTTTTTGTTTGGTGTTGATTTTTTTTTTTTTTTTTTTGGGGGGGAGTTTTAAAGAAATTAAAGAATAAAAATCAATGAGAGTGTAATTGAATGATTTGAAATATATATATATATATATATATATATTTGGTCTGAGAATTGGAAATTCTTTCGTTGTGTGCATTTGGCCAAAATCTACTAGAAGCAAAACATTAGGAACATGAAGCTATGAAGTGTCTCCACGTAAGATTCCGAGCCTCTATATTTACAAACGGTGCATTTACTTGCATTTCACAACATCTAAACTATTCCAAAAATCAAAGGTTGCATCTTGTTGCCTCACAAGAGGCCAACACTGATTCTGATTTCCATTCTTCGTAAATTGTAATTTCTTTGGCTACTCATGTTTGCCATGGTCTTCATAATAGTTGAAGGGCAATGGCACTGACTTGAACGCCCTGTACTTGCCAACATTGTTCAGATGCTCATTCTCCAACCTGAAAAAACTCCATATCCCACGACGGATTATCTCCAAGCTGGCCACAACCGTAATCATGGTTTGTGTATGCATGAAAGAAACATTGAAATTCAAAACAGTCTGCAACCAGGCAAATCTCAGCAACACATTTAACACCTGCATTGTTTTGTCCAAAAATCAGTCAGAAAATATTAAGCACAACGTGCAATTGATCAAGTTGGTTCTAGCCTGAACGTGTTTTTCACATTGCAATATATATAAGCATATATAAGTTTGGCAAGAGAACGATACTCGATACTCACCATGGCTCCGAAATATACACTTTTGTAAGGGATCAAGAGTTTGTCTCTTAACCAGCGGTTCTTGGAATTGCGTTGCAGAAGTCCCCAATCCACAACAAGATCCCAATATGTTCCATAGATTGCTGCAACAACTGAAAAAATCCAAGCAAGAATTTTCCAGTTCACTTCATTTTTAAGACTCTCAAGACTGTATGCTGTTTTCATGCTAACCGCTACTATTGCGAAGAAATATTTCAGCCCATTGTAACCATGCATGGGATCTTTCTTTTCAACCAAACGGCGGAGGCACTGCAAGAAAATGGAACGGCAGACATTTCTAAGTGTCTGGCTGGGGCTGATAATGAAGCTTAGGAGGACATTTTCAAGAAAAGAAGGGATAAGCTGTGTACCTGAAGGAGACGAAACCAATACGGAATACAAGCAACGATGAAAGTGAAAGTGTTGAAGACATCGTGTGATTTGCAAGTGTTTTGTCTGAGTTTGTAGTCTCCCCAACCATAATAGCAAACGTAGAATTGCAGACTTCTAAAGGCTTGCACCTACAAGAAAACAATTTATTGACACTCAGTTATTTCAAAGTTCAAACAGAGAGAAGAAAAGCAGGAAAATAATATGACTGCAATGTGTGTTTTAGGACTTAGGTAGATCATTTTACTGACCTGGCTAGTTAACTGATCTGCCAAGAAGAAATCCGGGAGTGTGACCTGAAAAAGAAGCAAAATTTTCAGATTATTAGACCATCCAACTAAGTTCATTCAGTTTCACTTTGAAGAAGAAGAAAAAAAAGTGTCTTAAATTGACTTTAATTACCTTATACAGAGGAGCACAGACACAGTGAAACAGACAAACGAGGAAGAAGTAGCGACTTGAACGATATATAAGGTTGAAGGGGCATAATAATATCAAAACTACAAGCTGCATAAAAAGAATTTAGTTCAGTATATGATCCTAGACCAATGCAGCTGCTAAAATGAAATGGTTGAACTAATGATCTTACCAAAACCAAGAAGAGAGGGAGAAGTTCGGTTAGCGCTTTGTAATCTTTGGTTTTGGGGTCCATCTCCATGTCAAGATTTAAGAGCACAGAGGCAAGAGCTGGCACTGCCAGACCAAAACTGAAAAGGAGAACCTCTCTGTAGCCCAACTCAGTTCCTTGCTTGAAACCAAATATGAAAGAGTAATTGACTCTGAACCGCCTCCAAAAGTATATATTTCCAGCATACATAAGCATGTGCAGAAAAATGAATCCAAACAAGCTGCAAGAAAGTTTAACATGTAGAGAGAATTGAGTATTATTTTTTTGGTTGGAAACTTGGGAAGAAGAATAGTAAAGCGAGGGCCTAATAAGTACCTGTATAGGGGAAACATGGTGTCCATGTACTGGAGTTTTCCTTTGTCAAATTCAGGATTGTTGGCATTGTTAATATTGTGAGCACGTACCATCAAAATAAGGGCTATTGTGAGAGCAGCTGTGCATCCGGCAAAGCAACCTAAAGATTTCAAATAAACAGATTCAGAGGGAGGAAATTGATACCAAAACTGTCCTTGTTCAGTGAAAGAAATTTAACTATACTGATTTAGCTAGAGGCCTTACCCATGGCAAATGTTATGCTATGTCTTTCTATCTTTGTTTTTGGCCTCAAGACGACCATTCCTTTTCTGCGATTTGAGTTTGAGAAAAACTTTATGAATGTAGTTTCAACCCTCTCCATAAGCTTGGTAATCTGCAGTGGTGGCAAGTGCCATATCAGAACAGAAATTCATTATATTTCGACATCGTCATAGAAAGATTTGAGGTTTAAATTGTTTAATCTTTCTTCTCTTTAGCATGATGCATGAAGAATTCTCACCTCGTCAGAGCTACCAAGGTAGGATTTATCCACCATATTCATGTAAGATTTTGATGTATCTCTTGAAGTAATCTGCAAAAGTAATACAGACCAAATGAAATACTGACAAAGATTTTACTAATAACATGTAATAGCAAACATTTTTTCAGGAATTTCTGGTGTTGAGAAATACCTTATCATATTTTTTCATGATTTTTGAAAAAGCCAACGTATTCAAGAAGCTGTTTCATTCATGGAAAAAAAAAATTTAATTAGCCACACAGATAAAAGAAAGAAAAATAAGAGAAAAAAAAACAACCAAACTGCTCTTCAACTTACCTATAGCTCTTTAGAAGCCGAAGTTTCCGGTAAAATTCAATAAAAGCGCCCTTAAGCTGCTCTTCAATTTTCTTCAGATTTTCTCTGCTGAACTTGAGCTCTGTCTGTGGAGGCACATTGAGGAAGCCTTTAATGGTCGAAACCGGAGTCTCAACTGTGTGATTCATTGTCACATGATTTAGTATGTCCAGTGGCGAAGGTCTAGCGCCTCTTAAGCTCTCTGCCTTCTTTTCTTGAGTCTTAGAATTCTCAGTCTTTTTTCCATCTTTTTCTTCATCACCAGAATGTTCCTCCGGGCTATTTGATCCACTCTCTTTGATCACATCCATAGCCATGGCTGCGCGCCCTGCACACGAAAAAACGACGTACTTTTAGACATAAGCAGAATATCAGCGCAGAAATACACATATCATCACAATAAGCACAACATTACTTACTGCTTTTTCTGACTCCGCGGGGCGTGGAAGCTGCCAATGCAGCTGTTGAAGCAGCAACATCGTAAGCAAGACGAGTCATCTCCCCTGACCAATCGAACGACCCCTGAGGATTCTCCACTTTGATGCGAAACGCGATGAAAGCATCCATTTGCTTGTTGAGCACAGCAGCTTCCTTCATCACCTCATCCACCTTAGACCTATAAAACTTGTCCACTTTATTGAACTCATCATCAACCTTTGTAAAATACTCCAACTCCTGCACACCCCCTTCCTCTGCAGCCATAAGAAACGTGGTCTGGTAGCTCTTGGAGGCATCACGTCTTACAGAGTTCACAAGAATGGCTTGGCTTTCAATGTCTAGAGGGGATGTGGAGGATGTGCTGTTGGGTTGCTTGCTGTGCGGGCTTTGCGACATGAGACCACTGAAGGCTCTGTACAATTTAAGCCTTCGACTGTGGGGTGTGGTATCTACTGGTGGAGGCTTGTGTCTTTGATTGAAGCGTTGAAGTTCTTTTAGGAGGGATTTTAGATAATTATAATCCATGTATGCTTGTTGCCATTCTGGCACCATTTGTGTTACGAACTCCTTCCCAAACTTCATTCTTTTAATCCCTGTGATTTGTTAGCTCTAGAAATTAAGTCACTTAGTTTTCAGCAAAGAGTGAGTGACAAATGTCTAGGGCAATAAGAAAATGAGGTAACATATATGTATAACGCGATAAGCCCGCACAGCCAGCAACCCAACAGCCAAGAAGTCTATGCCAAGAAGTTTCAAAATATGAGTGAGTCATGGAACGCGATAAGCTACTAGGTCCATTGCAAATAGCTGAGCAGAGTGAGGTCGACTGTTGCTTGCGTCATAAATTTGAAGAAAAAAACAGTTGTTATATGAGTGAGCCATAAAGTTGCGGGCCATAACAAAAGAGTGAAAATGCTCTTACGAGCCACAAAAAGATAAAATACTTGATGTTTTAAATGTGAATGTAACGGGAACCCCACCACCACCAGTCACACGTTAATTAGTTATCAAACATGCCCTACATTATTTTAATTTAGGTGCGTAGTTTCTGGACAATGGTCCCATGCATGGATGGGAGCCATTAATGTTGAAGAATCTTCAAAGGTGCGCTGCTTCTTGCATACTGAATCAGGGGAGGTTCTTGCATTAAGAAACCAGGATGAAATACAAGAACATTACACGAAGAATATAACCTATTGATGCTCAAAAATGGTTCGGCACTTTTGAGGCCAACTTAGTGATGAGGTGTGATGGATGATGGGTGAAGGTGAGGACCTTCACCAAGTGTGTGAGGATTGGAGCAAGCGATAAACATACATAAGACAAGATATACGTGGTTCACCCTTAATGAATGGGCTACGTCCACGGAGAAGTATATTCTCATTATTATAATATTGTGTATTTGCATTTGTACATGGGGTTGGACCCAAATATAAAAGTAAGAAAGGAGAAGGCCATGACTAAATATCAAGCCCAGCCCAAGGATCCTTTTCTAAGGGGAGAGTGGTCTCCTTTTATAGGTGATGGGGAGCATTCACTTCTTGTAATATTCCAATGTGGGACTCTTTGCTTTGCCTAGAGTTGCTTCTAGTTGCTTGGTCAAATATGGTATAAACAGAAGTCCCCCAAGTTCTCAAGCAAAGAGGTACTCCTTGGTTGAGGACTTGCAATTTTCAATGCATTGACCGAGCAACACCTTAGTCTTCTTCCAAGTAGTGTAGTGTCGATGGTGCTGAATGATGACGGGGCGCCGAAGGCGTCGCTCTCGTCGGATGATGGCAGGGTGGCGAAGGTGATGACGGGGTGCCGAAGGCATCGCTCTCGTCGGATGATGACAGGGTGCCGAAGGCATCGCTCTCATCGGATGATGACAGGGTGCCGAAGGCATCTCTCTTGTCAAACGATGACGGGGTGCCGAAGGCATCGCTCTCGTCGGATGATGGCAGGGTGCCGAAGGTGATGACGGGGTGCCGAAGGCATCGTTCTCGTCGGATGATGACAGGGTGCCGAAGGCATCTCTTTTGTCAAACGATGACGGGGTGCCGAAGGCATCGCTCTCGTCGGATGATGACAGGGTGCCGAAGGCATCTCTCTTGTCAAATGATGACAGGGTGCCGAAGGCATCGCTTGTCAAATGATGACGGGGTGCCGAAGGCATCGCTCTCGTCTAATAATGATAGGGTGCCGAAGGCAACGCTCTTGTCAAATGATGACAGGGTGCCGAAGGCATCGCTTGTCAAATGATGACGGGGTGCCGAAGGCATCGCTCTCGTCTAATAATGACAGGGTGTCGAAGGCAACGCTTTGTCAGATGATGACGGGATGCCGAAGGCATCGTTCTCGTCTAACGATGACAGGGTGCCGAAGGCATCGCTCTTGTCAAATAATGGCAGGGTGCCGAAGGTGATGACGGGGTGCCGAAGGCGTCACTCTCGTCGGATGATGACAGGGTGCCGAAGGCATCTCTCTTGTCAAATGATGACAGGGTGCCGCAGGCATCGCTTGTCAAATGATGACGGGGTGCCGAAGGCATCGCTCTCGTCTAATAATGATAGGGTGCCGAAGGCAACGCTTTGTCAGATGATGACGGGATGCCGAAGGCATCGTTCTCGTCGGATGACGACATCGTGCCGAAGGCATCGCTCGTGTCAAATGACGGGGGCCGAAGGCATCGCTCTCGTCTAATGATGACAGGGTGCCGAAGGCATCGCTTGTCAGATGATGACGGGGGTGCTGAAGGCATCGCTCTTGTCAAATGATGACGGGGTGCCGAAGGCATCGCTCTCGTCTTGTAGAAAAAGCTTACCAATGTTTATTGCCGATGGCTAATAGTCTTGGATTTTTTTTTCTTTTGGAGTATATGCCGATGATCTTTTCCAATAATTATTGCCGATGGCTAATAATTTTGGGTTTCTTTCTTTTGTTTTTGGTTGTGTTGTTATGAACGCCAAACGCCATAAGTGGGCCTTTGAAATTTAGTGATTCGGCAAGGGAGCGACTCGTGGGCCTCCAGAGGTGTCTTGACTTCGATATGGCCCTTGCCGTTCGGCAAGGGTAGCCTGGAGAAGGGAGTTTCGTGAAGTCAAGGTGCTGGGCCCGTTTGTTTTTGGCGTGAGGCCTTGGGCGGCATGGCCTAGGATTTTTAGAAGGTGAGAGAGCAGAGTCTCTTTATCAGACCTGCCGTTCGGCAGTTTGTGCACAGGAAGGCAAAACGTCTTAGTTGCTTTCAGCAAGGTTGCCGATCAGCAAGGGTGATTTCGAAATATTGGAGCTGGGTTCTTGCCGAGTTCCCTGGTGTTTCCACTTGAGTGGGTTTGAAGTTAGACCTTCGGCATCAGGTTTTCGTGAGCTCCTTTGCCGCCCAAAGCCCTTGCCGTTCGGTGAGGAGCTGGGAAGTCATGACTGGTGAGTGAGTGCCCACAGCTTCAGTAGGCTGTTAATCTTTGCCAGGGAGCCGTGAAGGTTGTCGAGCTGGGCTTACAGTTTTGAAAAGCCTGGTCCTTGCCGTTCGGCAAGGGTGAAGAGGAGGCTTTGTGGTTACAGCTTCGGCACGACGTGGTTCGAAGGAGAGGTCGAGTCTTCCATTGATTCCGGCGTGAAGCCATGGTGAGGCCCTGGTGAGACTTGGTTGTCCCTCTTCCTTCGGTACGTGAGACTTGGTGAGTCCGACGTGATTTGAGCAGATTTCGCAAGCTCCCTGTGTCGGCATGAGGATGTTGAGAAATTTCTCAAGAGTGTGTATGCACAGTTCCGGTAGAGTGACCAGGAGGCTGGTTTCGTGGAGGCACTTTGATTTTTGGAAGGAGCCATCTTGCGAGTCCCCATTGCTTTTGCAAAACCCTTACCGTTCGGCAAGGGTGGATTGAGTAACTTTTGGGAGCCTGCGGTGGCTTCAGCCACAGGGCCTTGGTGAGACCTTTGTATTGGCTGTGCTGAAAGGAAGCTTCTTCAGCAACGTGGTCTGATTCGAGCTACGGGGGTTGACCCATGGTAGTTACTGATCGGTGATACTGAAGGTGGGAGTGGCTGTGCCTTTTGAAAACTATTATCAACCTGTTGTTCAGCATGTATGACACCATGGTGTCTTGAGAGCTTTCGGCAGGTATGGAAACTTTGTCCTTTACGATCTGGCGCCACCCTACCGATCGGTAGGGGTGTCCGATGGTTTTGGAGGTCTGATGGGCTCAATTATCTTGATTTGCCGAACGGTAAGACAAGTGAGAGGGGCCTTGACGGAGTGAGCTAAAGATGAATCAACTCCAGCAAGTTTAGAAGGTTTTGGAGCCATGACAGGGGCTGTCATCAGCTGTGAGTCATAATGTACCATGTCCTACCGAATGGTGGGTGTGTTGAGTAATTTATTGGCATGGGTGCCAAACGGTAGCTCATGAAAAATAAGCAAGGTGGAGGTCTGGGAATATTAGTTGGCTTAATTCTGCTTTACCGAACGGTAGGATGATTTGTGCCATTGAAAAGGTGGCTCCCAGATGAATCATTGCCCAACGTTACTGTTCAGCAAATTATGCGGAACACAGACCAGACAATATATGTTGGAGATGGGCTGAAGATGAAACAACTTCAGCAAGTTTAGAATTTTTGACTAAGTGAATGCCTTGAGAAAGCCAATGGCATGGCTACCGTTCGGTAGCTGGTCAAGCAACATGGAGTTGGATGGCTACTCAAGGCTTTTGGGTGGCTTGATCAATCCCCTGGATGGGTGTGTCGTTCGGTATGTTGACCTTTCATGCAGATTTTTGGTGAAAATCTCGAAAGTGTAGTGTGGCAATCTCTGGTCTTTCCCAATTTTTAAGGTGCCGTTCGGCAGGCTTTGGTTTGCCAGACAGGAGTTTTCCGAAAGCTTTTGCAGAAGTCAAGTCCCCCTGTGTAGGCAAGGCGGACTGGCGCCGGGAATTTAGGCAGCCCTTTTGGTTCGGCCACCTCGTAAATAACTTTGTGAATGCCGTGACAGGTCTAGGAGGAGAGCCCGCGTGAACTAGAGCTGGGCTCCGAAAACAGTCTGCTTGTGAGTTTCCAATCAGCAAGCTTGGCTCTGCCATCTCAAGTCTTGGTCCGAGTGTGCTGTACGCCATGTGCGTTTGTTTTGAGACGCCAATTCAACGAACGGCATGCACCTTTTTTTATTGTATTTCTTTTTAATAGCCACTGACTTGAAGATGGGTGCGTAGAGAACTGTAGGAGATATTGGCATCATGAATATTCCTTGCCATGTGTCGTACTGCATATGCTAGTGCATGTAAAGCCATCCAAAGTTGGGCAATATTCTGGACCACAAATGACCCTGATAAGATCTTAATAAAATAACAATAAGATAAAAAAGATAAGGACTATTCCACTTATCTTTTTTTTGGAGAAGGATGATTGTGACGTGCTCATATTAATATCCTTTTGAATGGTAACCGATAAAACCAGAGGTTTAGATATCTTTATCAATTGTTTGCATGGTGCCGTACGGTAGGACTCTCTTAGCTTTTTATGTAATTGCATGGCTGAGTGCCTTTTGGTGGTCATCATCTTGATATTCGCCATGCATGTCGGCAGACCTCCTCAGTAAGGTATGCAATGCGGGCTCCCTCCAATAATGCTTTCCAAGGAATATGCCGAACGGTATGGCATGTAATGAAAAGCTAGGGTGGTCTCTGTATTTCCTCTTCTTCTGACTATTATATTGCAAGGATTTATCTTCTGCATGTTACTCTCTTGACCCTCATGGTTGCTCCATTATGGTATTGCCGTTCGGCAAGTTAGGTGATGCTGATTGTAGGGGTGCCAAAGGGCACTGCCGAAGGTCACTGCCGAAGGGCACTAAAAAGGGGAGAGTGACAGAAGCTCTTTGTGTCGATTCCCACAGACGGAGCCAAACTGTTGACGCTCAAAAATGGTTCGGCACTTTTGAGGCCAACTTAGTGATGAGGTGTGATGGATGATGGGTGAAGGTGAGGACCTTCACCAAGTGTGTGAGGATTGGAGCAAGCGATAAACATACATAAGACAAGATATATGTGGTTCACCCTTAATGAATGGGCTACGTCCACGGAGAAGTATATTCTCATTATTATAATATTGTGTATTTGCATTTGTACATGGGGTTGGACCCAAATATAAAAGTAAGAAAGGAGAAGGCCATGACTAAATATCAAGCCCAGCCCAAGGATCCTTTTCTAAGGGGAGAGTGGTCTCCTTTTATAGGTGATGGGGAGCATTCACTTCTTGTAATATTCCAATGTGGGACTCTTTGCTTTGCCTAGAGTTGCTTCTAGTTGCTTGGTCAAATATGGTATAAACATAACCAGGGGAGGTTCTTGCATACTGAATCAAGAAAAATAAAGCACTGCTATTGTTTGGAGTTAATATTTTACTTATTTAATATTATACCTCATTTACTTATCGCATTGCTATGGTTTGGAGTTAAATTGTTAGTTTTAATTAGTTTTATGAGTTTTTGAAGCGATTAAATCTGCAATTTGGAGTTTAAATGGAGAAGAATCGAATGATAGAGGTCGTTTGTCAATTACCAATCAGCAAATTATTGGAATGGTAATTACGTGGCACTTGTTTGTCAATTGTTAAGTTGACGTGCCTAAGCGAAATCAAATTGGGAATTTCATTATATGGGCTAATTTTGAGGTTGACGTAGGAGAGCTTTCCAAGTAGCTTTGGGAGACTTTTAGTTTAATTGATTTTTATTTATTTATCTCCCTTATTGAATAAGGAAGTCCTAATAAAGTTGGTGCCTATTTGGCATTGATTATTTGGGCTAAAAAGTGATTTCTGATAAAGTTTTTGAAGTCTACCGACCTCGTTTGATAAAAGATGAGATAATCACTTTTGGGAGAAAATAGCTGTCAATGACTGTGATTTTGGAAAGCAACTCGATGGCTGATTTTATTTCAGCTTTTGCACAAAGCAAAACACGGAACTAGTGGTGTTTAATGAATTCTAATGAAGTGCCTATAATATCCTTGTTAACTTTCATAATTTACATGATATATCCCTCATCTTCTTCCAGACCAGAACGTTCCAAGTATTCCTCATCTTCTTCCCACATAGACCATCTCACAACGTTTCTAAAGTGAAAACCTCTCAGACCTTACCTTCATAACTTCCTTAAATCCTCCAATAAACATTTTGATAAAGCAACCCATTCCAACTCCTCCCATTTTCATCGACAAAGCATTATTGCACACAAAAAATTGAAATCTTTGAATAATTTGATAGAGCAATAGAGGGTTTTTAATCCCTAAGCTTCAATCAGCCAAAGAGAGGCATAACTCTCTCTATCTGCCACAAAGTCAAAGCATAGTGGAGACCACAAAGCACAAGAGAGGGTTTTTAGAGAGATAGAGACGACGACTTGGAGCAAGAATTGCTTTGGAGCAAAGATCAAGTCTTCAATTGGGTTTTTTCTATGATACTATTTATCATGGTTTTTATTAGAGTAGTCATGAACTAATTCCTTTTGCTAAGGCTATGTAATGCCCCGATCCAAAAATAAAGAATATTCCTAAATCAAGGTGCGAGAATTGAATGAAATAAAATAAAAAGATTGAAAATTTGGTTAAAATATATTACCCTTATATAAAATAATAATAATAATCTTACAAGTGTACAAGATATAAATAAAACTTTAACACTTTAAACTAATCCAACTTCTGAGGGATGAGCAAACCATCGTTCAGTGAGTATATTATGTAATATGTCAGTCAAGCAATGTCATTTTAAACACTCTAGAAAATATAATAAAAAGATACACAATCCAAATCATATCACATCATTACTTCATATCTTGGTTATCCTTCACAAATTGAACCCAATACGTGTCCCCTATTGGCCTCACTGCCCTATGTCCCCGTCTAGTACATTTATCTTTTGGATACCTTGTCACTGAAGTTTTCATGTTCCATGAATAGTATATACTTCACAAAAACTCCAAATAATATATATTGTGTGAAATATTTCACAAATTAAACATGCTTGACTTGAAAATAGAGAGAAATTTGTAAATAGAATAAATCCATGATAATCCATGATTTTCACATTTATCACAAAATAAGAAATTTTAGAACACATTAAATAACTCACTCACCATGATAAGTATGAAATATTACAAAACAAATACACACGTTCTCCATCTTCTCTCTCTCTCTCTCTCTCTCTCTCTCTCTCTCTCTCTCATAGGAGAGGCTATGGATGCAACCAAATAATATATATATATAATATTTTAAACCACCAAAAAGATAAGATAGAAAAGTAAGGGAATAATGTGACTCTTCCCCCTTTGGCCAATGATATCACAACATCACTTGTTACCAGCATGCAAGGTGACATGTCAATGATAATTTGATTAAAACCAATTCCAAGTCTCTGCACATGGAAAACAAGAATGGTGTCATCTTTCATCTAAAGGAATAATCTCATACTAGGCTTAAGATTTTATAACATTTAAGTCTTCATAATAAATATTAAATAAGGAATAGCCATATTAATTAATAATTAATATGTACTATGAATATTTTTTTAAATAATAAAAAAAAGGGTTCTCACATGCTACATGTAGCCTAGCCATAAATACTCAATTTTTTTAGTCAATGTTAATTCCAAGTATTTTCCCATGTTAAGTGTCTATTACTATGTTTAATGCTTTAAATGTTTGGTCAACATTTAATTGTTTTGATGCTAAATTGACGATAGAGATATCCAATTTAGAGTTTGCTTCTTGTAATAGTTGTCATGGGTTATATAATTAGACAGGGATGTTTGTCATGACTTATGTGGTTGTTTTGTAAGTTTTCCAAGGAACTTAATGGGTTCTTATTATCTTTATTTCATTACTAGGTATAGAGTAGACTGGTAATAAGGATACTTTTGGTATAACCAGGGATGGAGTATCGAACAAAGTAGGAAAAATTGACTGTCAACATGGAGATTTATTAGGATTAACATGCTAAGGAAATTGGGTAGAATTGCATATGGTGAAATCGGAAGCTCTAGTGCTCTCATAATTTGAAACTCACCACCTTATTTTTATATGCTTGCTTTTATTTATTATTTTTAGTTAATTAATCAATTAAATCTCATCATTCAATCGTTCAAATAAGATCTGGGGTTAATCACAACCGGTACTTAATAATTTAATCACTCTTTGTAGGAATGATACTTTACTTAACTATAAACTACTTGTGCGATTCGCACACTTAGCGAAATTGCTCAACACTCACCCAGAGTTGAAAATGAGGAGGATCCATAAGACTCAAATCAAACCAGTAACCATGGTGGAGAAACAGACTCCAAGAGCTAGAGGCAAGAAGCACCAATAAATGAAAGGGCATTAACGTTCATCATCCACCCTACCATGAGAGGTTTCAGTATGCTTACAGAAACCCACATGATCCACAGCACCAGGGAATGACATATCCGCCCAAAGAAGTCAACTCCACCTCCACCAAATAGAGATCGACAGTAGATCAAAACCAGTGTTAAATATGCAAATCAACCACCCCAAGGACCAAAGGCCACCGATTTAAGAGATCTATACAAGAACGAGCGTTTGTTGGCGGCTCTCTTTCAAATTTTTTCACTTTCATTTTACAAATCAATGTGCTTTGTAACAGTCCTAGTGTGAATATTTTACTCTGATAACAAATCTTCCTACCACTTGACATCACCGAATATATTATTTATCACAGTGTTCCAAATTTCATAAATAAGAAAAAGTAATTGGCTTCATTCTCTTTGTTTAAGGCATGCAATGACTCTGAGCACATCATATTAATATAGAAATTTATTTTTGAATTATTTTATTTTATTTCAATCTCTAATAGGTGCTTATCTGGTCTCTACAATCTCATCTCATAATCTGGCAGCCGAAATGGGTGTGCATTGATTGACCCTTGCCTCTTTTTGTTTTCTTTATCTTTTTTTTTTAAGTTTTAAAGAATAAAAGTCAATGAGAGTGTAATTGAATGATTAGGAATTTTTTGTTGTTGTGAGATTTGGAAATTCTTTAGTTGTGTGCATTGACCAAAATCTACTAGAAGCAAAGCATTAGGAAGCTATGGGAGAAGGGGTGCCCCCTCACAAAGAGGGTCACGATGACTAGTTCTAGGGTACTATCTTATCAAAAACACAAGTCTCTGCAAAGTCGTAAGACCATGTATTAGTCTTCAAGCAAAGCATTTGAGGCCAAAGGGATCTAACTTAGTGGAAAATGACATTAGCTTGCGGATCAGTGGTCATGTTCGAATCCCCATGACACCTTAGATGTATATGTGAGAAACCCACTCCTTTTGCAGTTTTGACTAGTGTTTATATTTAACCGGAAAAAAAACAGCGAAGCATTTGTGAAAGCCCATGTGAGGAAAGGTGAAAGGCATTTGTTTCTGTTTTTGTTGGAGAAATGTGAAAGGCTATAAAGCCCATAGTGAGCAACAACATATGATTTGATTTCTAAGAGCCTTAATAAAGTCTGCAATCATACAAAGGCCTGCTAACCCAACATCGAAACCCATTTCCCAAAATGTTTTCTTTGCTTTTGGTAAATTTGGGGCCTGTTTTTTATGTTTGTGTTTTTTTTTTGTGGTCAAATGTTTTTTATGTTTTTGGAGCTCAATTTGGGGCCATTTCAGACAAAAAGCCGTTAGCATTTTGATTAACAGTTGATAACGCATCAAGAGAGCCTATCCACAAGCAGAAGCTATAAATCAATCAAACCCCAGACAGATATCTGAAACACAGAGTTTGAAAATTCAGAGAGAGATAAATCAAACAATGGTCACTCTCTTCACTTTATCTTCTTCATCCTCCACTTTCCTCTTCCCTACTCCAAGAACAAAGCTTTCCACAACACTCACACACTTCTCGTTACCGAAGACACCAACCCATCTCAAGAAACCTGTCCTTGCTGTGACCTCTCTTTCTTCCCCATTGCAATGCGATCCATCACTCCCTCCAGCTGTTCAAACCTTCTGGCAATGGCTCCGAGACGAAGGCGTGGTCTCTGCCAAGTCCCCTGCAGCAAAGCCTGCTTTGGTCCCTGAAGGCATGGGGCTCGTTGCCCACAGAAACATTGGTAAAAACGAGGTCGTTTTGGAGGTCCCCAAGAGGCTCTGGATAAACCCAGATGCCGTTTCAGCCTCCGAGATTGGAAATGTTTGTAATGGGTTGAAGCCTTGGGTGTCCGTTGCTCTGTTTTTGCTCAGAGAGAAATACAGAGACGACTCCAAGTGGAGGCTTTACCTTGATATTCTTCCTGAATCCACCAATTCAACTGTGTTCTGGTGGGTTTGGCTGATTAATTGCTTAATTTCTACAATTGGGAATTTTGTATTTTCCTTTTTATGGGTTTGAGATTTTGGGGGTTGATAAAGAGTTTGTGTTGATGGTTTCAGTGCAGGTCAGAAGAGGAGCTTGATGAGCTTCAAGGTTAGCCACTTGGATTGCAGTTTTTTTTAGTAGTATTTACAACTCTGTTTAGCTTCATTGTACTACAAACCTATCTATACTTGCAAGGACATATAGTGTACATGATTTAGAAAATCAAAGTTTAAGCTTTAATCAAACATGTTATGATGGTTTTTAACTTGTTACAATATAATCTTTATGCCTGGAATTTGGGTTCTGTGTGTAATCTGGAAGCTAGTAAAATGAATGTACATTTTATATAAAAAATGTTCTTGATTGTTGCAATCTTTGGCTGGAGTATGATTGAATTGGGTTTGGCAGGAACCCAACTTTTGAGCACAACAATGGGTGTAAAAGAGTATGTGCAGAGTGAGTTTCTAAAAGTGGAAGAAGAAATCATCCTCCCTAACAAGCAGCTTTTCCCATCTCCTATCACACTGGATGACTTCTTTTGGGCATTTGGTATACTCAGATCCAGGGCATTCTCGCGCCTCCGCGGTCAAAACCTTGTTTTGATCCCACTTGCAGACTTGGTAAGGCTTGAGACTTCCCAATACAATCAATCTGTGAGCTAGCTCCAGTTAATATGCAAGCAGCTTGTTTCCATTGATATTGAGTAAAAGATATCTTTGATCAGATCAACCATAGTTCCAGCATAACCACAGAAGAGCATGCATGGGAGATCAAAGGAGCAGCAGGTCTTTTCTCTTGGGATTATCTGTTTTCTATACGGAGCCCAGTTGCTCTCAAGGCTGGTGAGCAGGTGAAGTTTTTCAGCTGCTGTTTTTTTTTTTCTTATTCTAGTCCAGTGATAGTCTGTACTCTGTAGGCCTCTCATGCTTCTGAAAGTGCGGTCTTTTTTTCTTCCCTATATGGCATGGACGCTAACCATTTCTGAATGATCCTTGAATTAGATTAAATACTATGGTTTGTAATGAGACTTCTCAACAGGTTTTCATCCAATATGATATAAACAAGAGCAATGCTGAGTTTGCTTTGGATTACGGATTCATAGATTCTTCCAATGCAAATCGCGATGCATTTACCTTAACACTGGAAATATCCGAGTCAGACCCATTTTATGGTGACAAGCTGGACATTGCTGAGTCTAATGGTTTGGGAGCAACTGCATACTTCGACATATTTTTGGACCGGTCACTCCCACCTGCATTGATTCCATATCTGCGGCTGGTAGCTCTTGGAGGTACCGATGCTTTCCTCTTGGAATCTATATTCAGGAACACTATCTGGGGACACCTTGAGCTGCCTGTGAGCCCTGCCAACGAAGAGCTCATATGTCGAGTGGTCCGAGAAGCCTGCAAATCTGCTCTTTCTGCCTATCCCACCACCATTGGAGAGGTATGCTTTTATTTGTGCCCATTCTCCTTGTGGCACCGGAACTTTTCTCTAAGGCTTCAAGCCAGTGGTGTAGGCTTGTAACAACTGAATGCACATTGTTTCATTGCAGGATGAGAAGTTAAAAGAATCAAAACTGGATCCAAGGCTTGAGATTGCAGTAGGAATAAGACATGGAGAGAAGAAGGTGCTTCAGCATATTGATGGGATTTTCAAGGATAGGGAGTCAGAACTACGTCAATTGGAATACTACCAGGAACGGAGGCTCAAGGATCTTGGCCTCTGCGGGGAGCTAGAAGACATCATCTTCTGGGAGCCCAAGTAGGGAAAATTCATGTCACTGAGAAGTCATAAGTAGTTCTAGTTTACAGTTAAACTTGCTAAAAATACCAGAATTCTGTGAAGGTTGGAATGAGAAAATGACGGATCCCAGAAGCATATCCCAGATTTTTTTTTTTTTTTTTTTTTTTTTTTGGCTGGCTTTTGGTTTGCTTGGACTCCTTGTGTACTTATTCTATTTTTTGTTCTTGGATTTTAATTATACCTTTATTGATCAAACTAGATGAATCCGTGCAGAAGCGTCAAATTCATGTGGTAATTAATTGCATCACTCATTTTTGTTTCTCATGAACGGGACAAACTTTTTCGACCGTGCTTGTGTTAATTATAATTTATAGAACTGAACGGCAGTGAATTCATGTCAAGTTGTCAAATACATGAAGAAAACAAACAAATTTATGGACAAATTTAAAGATTGAAAACGAATGAATACATCTTTAGAAGCCCAAATTGGGAACTCAAGTCTTTTTATGCCGTTTCCTACAAAACTCTCATGTGTGTGTGTACATGCTTACTAATATGAAAGCCAGTGCCTCATGGATTTGTTGACCACTCCCTTAAAACAATTGTGTTGAAGGAGGTTCCAGATTTGATCGCTTGCAGTCACCCAACTTCACTTGAGTTGCTAGGGCTAAGCAAGTTGTCACAATTTGTTCCCTCGCAGAGGCACTCTTGAGGATTTGCATAAAAATAATCTTCCTCCTTCGGCTTGTCTGCAATAACTCGACGTCGAGTTGGCTGTCCCATTCTCTTCTCATGAGTGGATCGTACAGCAACTGAAAACTCATTCCATGAAAGTGTCCCATTCAGATGCATGTCCAACAACTCCACAAGTCTTTTCCTATCTAGCAAGATGCTTTTCTTAAACCCAAGGTACCTGCACGAAATATAATTAGAGGTGTGTATTTCTTTGGTATTTTATAAAACAAAAACCCATCCCACCTTGTGAGAGTGTTCACATACCTTCGGTGACCTTCAACAAGTTTCGCCATGTTCCCATCATACGTAGGAACGAAAGTATTACTAGCTACGGAAACTATAAAATCCAAAGCAGCCATTTGAGATGAATGATTCTGAAATTGTTGCAACTCCTCCGAGGAGAGAAGACTTTCTTTTTTAACCTGAAGTAAACAAGTAAGAAAACATTATTTTACGAAGACCACAACAAGTACATAGCCAGTATGGACATAAATATTTTAGAGTCAAGTTGGACCCTTCAATGGGACCTCTCAGATCCTCTGCTTTTATCAAATAAACAGGTAAATGACAATGGCTTCCCCACTGGTTAGAACTTGAGTTTGAACAACAATTAGCTTTTCAAGTATTCAGGTAAACCCATCAAAGGGCACCCTCAACTCCAGTGATGGACCTTGACCACCAAAAGAGTAGGAAAGGTGTCTATATGACCTAAGTCTTGACAAGGTATTACTTATGATACAAGGATAACCAGAATTGTGGCAAAGCACACATGTTACCACTCAGCAAAGTTACTAATATCAGAAGTCCCAAATACGCAAAAGTAAAAAGGCTACAGAATAAAGCAAACGAACTCACAATTCGTGGAAATGCAGCTCTTAACGGGGCAAGTCTCCTTTCACTACCATAAATCTCACCAGCTGCTATATAGATCTGTGTGTTCTTATGAAAATCCAATGCTTGCAAAAGTAATGCACTCTCCTCAGGTGTCAGAGGACACAAACCGTGTGATCTCTTCTCTTCAGACACTATCTCTTTCTCTCTCCACCAAGGATATGCATATCTGAATGAAAGGTATGCCAACAGACATTGTAAGTGAGTACAACTCAATATCACCAACCTTGGTCATAAGAAACTTGTGTAAAGTAGACAAAAGAAAACTTTAGCCAGGATGATTAAAGGTAATAATCCTGTTCCACCAAGAGCCTAAGGCACAAGAAACACAAGGTGGGAAAGAACAGAAATCTATGAGTCATGCATTTTCTTTGTCAACTGTTGTATCATCTACTAGCAACAGTAATATTTTCTTGATATGAACAGTATTGTTTGAAGCATATGCCTGTTTAAAAATCAAGCAAGCCAAATAAAAATTTTACTCATGACAAGTGTTCATCAGATTTTCAAATAAGCATTCAAAAAACTATTGTCAAATTTTAAACATGACAAACCTCAATCGTTTGAGCTCCGCAGCTTCTTCCTCAGTGCATCCATGAGTGCAACCTGAGAAAGCCAACATGTCCATCTCATACCTTAGATGCAAAGCCACAAAAGGTCCCTTCTCCTGGAGTATACGAACCAATTTGTACCCCAAAGTCTCAATCTGAGGAGTGAACTTCAGTGCCTGGAAATTAACACGACACCTGAGTTTCTGAAGATCAAGAGGTATCCAATTGTTTGCCACACGTGCATCCGTTCTGTTAAAGTGCAACACCTTATGCTTGCTAATAAGTGGCAAAATCTGCATACAATGGAATCAAGGCACTGAATCAGGACGCATCACTTAAAAGTTAAAACTTCTGCATAATGGAATCAAATGCATTCAATCAGGAAGTAGAAAGAATAGATAAACTCACTTAGGCCCAAAAAACAAAAAAATAAATTAGATCACACTACAATTTGGAATATGTTCTAATTACACATCTAAATTAGGCACAAGTGAATGCATGCAATGCATAGGATGACAAGGAGCTAACGTAATTTAAAGAAAGTTGTTAACTTCATAAGCAATATATTCTTCACCCAAAATAAACTGGCAAGCAAGTATACAAACCTGTTCCAGATAATATTTTTCGTTTGACCAACTAACAGGAGGCATCTCGAATGGTTTATGTCCATATTTCCTACTAAACATTTTCGGCAGTCTTCTGACAATTCGGACTTCATCTCTCAGCGAATCAATGAAATGTCTTACATCAAAGATATCCTCAAAATTACTGCAAAAAGAATACTAACAGTTGAAATCCTAAAGCAGCAATTAACGGAGTTCGTTAATTCACAGTTCCGTTTAGATAAATGATTATACCTAGGATCAGCCCAGAAAGATGTCTTATCAAGCTCCGGAACAACCAATGTGAGATTTAAAAGCCGAGCAACAGTCACCATGTCACAGATCTGAAATGCAAAAGTTGCTATCAATAGCTAGATATGGGATAAAGGAAGAAGGAAAAGAAAAGAAAAACACAGCACAAACCGCAGCACGCATTTGATTCAAGCCCCCATTGCAGGAAACTCTAAGAAACCCATTACTTGTATAATTTCCTGCAAAAAATCAGGTCATTAGGCCTATTTTTCAACTTCATATTGCACATATTAGCCTTACCACACACAGAGCATGCATGAGATTGCTTCTCACATATGTGGGAATGTAAAAAAGCAACAAACAAAAGATGAACCATTATTGGTTGAAGAAAATAATTTTTCCATAACTTAGGGTAATTTGTGGGCAACTTCAACAGAGTACAGTACATTTACCACACAACCTATTTCATAATTACTTTGAAAGAATGAGCTTCTCATGAAAGCCAATTTTAACTTTCAACAGTAAACGGAGTTCCAAAACTATAGTTTTTGTAAGCATTCATTTCATACGTCACTGATACCACCACACACACCTCTTAAACACCGCAGGCCTGGTGCCAACAAATATTAGACATCAATCTATATAAACACACCTTACCCTAAAAATAAGAATTCTCCATTCCATAACTAAAAATAATCCTATCCACTTATCCTTGACCTCAAATTCTCCAAATTTATACACAGCGATCCTGCATTGTCAAATGGGATAGCAAGCGCAAATTTCATGTGCCAGAACTCTCAATTCACGAACTAAAACATTCAAATTCATGCGTACATAAAAACACTAGAATGTGCAGCCCTCAACTGAGGGAGCCATATCCAGGTGCACTACTCTCTAATTATGAACTAGAACAATCGCATTCAAGCTCAATACTAGTAACAGTAACAAAGATACTCTGCACTATTTGAACAATTTTCAGTATTTAAAAAAAAAAAATCTTTTTTAATCTAAAAACTCACTTGCAGGGAGAAGAGGCGGCGGCGACGGAACCGCCGGAAGTGGATCCTGCGTAATTGCCGAAATACGATTGGTTATATTGGAGAGCAAATGTGGATGCCATAGCTCACCAACCGCCACTAACTGAACCAAACACGTCCAAAGAAACAAGCTTGAACACACCCGGATGAACCACACCTGTAGACGCGTTCTCGCAATCACCGGCGCCGGAAGCTTATCGCAACGCACCTGTATGCCACCCTCAGATCTAACCTCCATTCCTCTTTCACACACCACATCGCCGTTTCATCGATCAATCCCAAAATTTCCAAATGCCCGATGAAGTTCAGCTCATGAAATCCCCAATCTCAAGCACACATTGTCAAATCAACACACTTGGGAACCTTAGCCCTAGCTCGGCCGAAGCCTAGATTTTGAAACAGAACAAAGAACAGAACTTTTGCCAAGGATCGGTGGAGAGAGAGTTAGGAGGTTGAAAATCACGAGTAAAATGGATAACCCAATTAAAAATCTCAACAACCCAATGCAACCGCCAGACACTTTCTGATTTCCTTTCCTTTTTCCGGGAAAATCTTCTTTTTCTCGGCTACTTGCTGTATGAACTTTTTTTTATAAAATAAAAAAATAAAACAATACGAGAGGAAAATCATAAAAAGAATATTTGTTGGTTGGATTCAGGTCTTTTTGTAGCGAAAGCGTTCGAGAGAAAGATCCCACCCTCCGGTTCTCACGAGTCCGAATTGTTCCTATCACAATACATACACTGCAAATTACACAGTTTTACTGGAATTTAGTTGTGCCTGCTGATAAGTGCTGTCATTTTTTTTTGGGGCAGTAAGTGCTGTCAAATTTGTTTTTTTACCTGTAAGATTGGATCGCTTATTAAAGTATACAGTGCAAAGAGGAAATCCTTGATCTGCTTTTTTTTGGTCTCAGATTCTCCTCCTTCTAAATTAAGGAATAAATTATAATTTTTCTATGTGACATAATAAAACAATAGGATAAAATTCAAACCACCAACCTGCCCATATGTTTATTTTTCTATGATGCAGTTTGATAAGGCATGCATGTCTTTTGCGATACATAAAGTCTACTATCAGCCTCCATTTTAATGATAAGATATGCAAATTGATTGATGAATTCAAGGTATTTTAATAATTAAGCCAAATTAAAATACGAGGGTTAGGCTTAGGAGTCTTGGAAATCAAGATGATTAGAAAACTAGTGATCCCTTTTTGTTGATTGGTTATAACTTATATTATATATAGCATGCGCCAATCCCTTTGCCGACTAACGAAGCATCCGATGATTTTGTGGAGTTTTATGTGCAATTCTGGTTTCGGTTTTCAGTTTTTTATTTATTGTTGTAGCTTTGTAATCAGTCCATCTTTTACTTTGTTAGTTAAATAAACAAGTTTAAGTTCTAACAACGGGAACATTTTACCGTCGTACATATCGGATTAAAGTTCGACTCTCATCCTCTCATTCTACGAGTGTTGTGAAAAAGAACATTACTTTACACACGCTTTCTTTCAAGACAGTTGACATACAGCCATAAAACTGTCAACGGACAGTTGAGAATAAACACAGTTGATAACTTTAAGGAAACGCTGCCTGGTCTTATAATAGTGTATGCGCATGAAAAACATGAAACCTTGTTGTGTCAATTCTGTTTTTGGGATTTAGGAGGAAGTCCCTTTTGGAATTTTCAGATAGTTCATCAATTCCCTTTTTCTCAATGCAAAGCTTTCCTTTCACGAAAGGTTTTGACTCTCAGTTTTTGAAAACGTGAGGCAAGTGGGCAAAAAAAGCAGTGGCTGGTGAGTCTGTGAAGCAATTATAATTTGTATTGTGTACTTTGTGTGCGTGGAACGTAGGCGAAGTGCAGAAATGTCATGAATCATGATGCTTGTATAATTTAGGGAGACACTGACAAAGTAACAAGGACAGTGCATCATCATATATTTTCCCAATTCAAAGTAACCATGATCGGAATGTTCAATTTTGAGGTTCTCTTTCAAGAATCATTTATGCAAGAAATCGGCTAAATTAAAAAGTGTTTATCAGTTGATTATCCACATCTTCGTTTCCGTTTGATCTAATACGAATCTAGATGATTTTTTATTTTACGGATGACCTATGAGTTTATTATGACAATGACAGTGAAAAGCACCAAAGCTTATTCAGTTTAAGAAAGGTACAGACTACTACATTGTCAATCCAGATTCCAGAATTGAAAGCTTGACAGCAAATTCCAAATTAATGTAAGGATGATGAAAATTAATAGTCACAGCCAAAGCTTTAATTTTTTTTTAATATGCTGTATTAAATACGCAGTAAATGCTGATAATGATCTAACACTTACATATGAAGACAAAGCACATCTGACCTTGCATGCATTAACACTGTCATAGGAGGCAAGCTGGATGGCAATTTTTGGGAACCCTTGGATGACTGATCTAATGGATTTTGCAGGCAGCATTCGTATTGTAAATTGCATCTCAATATAAAATCCATGTTTCTTTTTTCCTTTTTCTTTTTGTGGAAATACATGTTTCTTTCTTAAATATATTTTGAAATTCTTTCATTACAAAAATATGTTTTCAACTTTCTCTTTGCTGAAATCTATTGTCTTAGATAAGACGTGAGTTAAGCCAGTTAGTCAAACTTCCTTGCATCCGACCCGTTTAGTCCTAATACCATCATATCACATTTTAGGCTGGCCCCTACATTGAAAAGGGCTGCTATTTGCAAAGTTAATTCTATCTTGAAATTGGGCCAAATATTTGATTCTGTCAAACTTGCCCAAAAATATTTTTTTTTCCAAAAAAAAAAACAAAAAAAACCTTTTGAATTACGTGTCCCAGCGAATCAGAGAGAAACACGTGTCGAGTCTGACCTAAAAGCCTCACAGGCCCAACGGCCCAAAGCGTGAAATCCACACTTGGATTCCAGATTCCGACTCTTCCCCGAAGAGAACGAAGATCGAAAACCCCCCTTTCTCCCAAAATTCTCTCCGAGTCGGAGTCCGAGTCCACTCTGAGTCACTCACAACATGGCTGGGTTGCGTCTGCTTGTTGCTTCTGTAATCCTAGGGTTTCTGTCGTCTACATCGGAATCTCTGCGGTTCGAGCTGCAATCGGGCCACACCAAATGCATCGTGGAAGACATAAAAGCCAATGCCATGACGGTCGGCAAGTACAGCGTCGTCAACCCTAACGAAGGCCACCCCATTCCCGATTCTCACAAGCTCACCGTCAGGGTACGCTTCAATTAATTTCTTCAAATTTGGCTACTTATTTATTTATTAAGAAAACAAACAAAGATTGAATTTTCGATGTGAAGGTGACGTCGCACTATGGGAATAACTATCATTACTCTGAGCTGGTGGAATCGGGGCAGTTCGCATTTGTGGCGGCGGAGGCGGGAGATTACATGGCCTGCTTCTGGGCGCCTGATCACAAGCCCCAAATTACGTTGACCATTGAATTCGATTGGAAGACCGGCGTCGCCGCTAAAGACTGGTCCAATGTGGCCAAGAAAGGCTCTGTCGATGTAAGCCTTTTCCTTTTCTTCACATTTACTTGCTTATTGATATACGTTTTTTTTCGACATAATCCGCGATTGAGTTATATTGTTTTTACAACGATTGAATTTAGTTTATGTTCATAATTAAGTTGGTTTCCTTGGATGTTTGGTAACATGGGAATTGTGAATCAACTCTGATTGATCTATGTATTATTGTCTGATTGCTTTTCTTAGTTTCTCTGTGTGTTGCTTGAACAATATATGTTTTATTGTGAATCAATCTAAACCATTGTTAAGATGGATTTTGTTTGAAATTTGTGGTTTCTCACAAGGAAGAAAGCATGTATTTTTGTAATAATGTAGTAAATTTTCTTCCCCAAATGATTTTGTTTGCAATTGTGAGAGTTGAGATGTAGAGACCATCTTATGCCTTTTTTTTCTTCTTAAAATTCCAGGTTATGGAATTAGAGCTTAAAAAGTTGTTTGATACTGTTACTTCCATTCATGAGGAAATGTTCTATCTCCGTCAAAGGTGAGCAATCGTTCTCTTTCCTTTGAACATTTCGTGGAACACAGATATTCGTCATTTCGTCATTTTTTTTGGGCTTAATGTTTGTTTCAGGGAAGAAGAAATGCAGGAGCTTAACAGAACAACGAACTCCAGAATGGCCTGGTTTAGTTTGCTCTCGCTTCTCGTTTGCTCATCGGTTGCAGCTTTGCAATGGTGGCACTTGAAGACCTTTTTTGAGAAAAAGAAGCTCATCTAATTTTATTCCAGAGAGAGGCATTGCCAGAAAAGAAAGAAAAAAGAGTATTCCAGTTCCAGAGAGGAGTTTCATAATTCCATCTTTTAATGCTTTTTGTAAAATATTTTACAGAACATTGTACGTTGGAATATAATAATTATCAGATCAGATTGTTAGATGAAGTAGGACAACCAAATCTTGACTACAGCACAAGAGTTGTTTTGAAGTTGATAATAGTTCCAGTAACATGCAATGACTGATTACAAGTTTTAAGTTAATTCTCGTATCATTTTCACTCACAGGTGGTTTCTGTTTTTGTATCAGCTCTGCCACGCTTGAAAATTATCTTCGTGTTACGGAATTCATACCAATTTAACTTCTTCTCTTATCTTCAAAGTATCCAAACTTATAACATGGGCAACCTTCAGGTTTCAGTCCAAGGGGGATGGCTTCAAAGAAATTTGGCCATCTGGATTACAGTCTGCTAGTTTTGTTACTCCTTATTTGTTTATCTTGCTCTAAGCTTTGGGCATGTATTTTGCGTTACCTGGGGCTTTCTACCCATAATAATTTCGTAATTGATTTGTCTTGGTGAGTTTACTGAATAATGACTCTGAAAACCCCCAAAATAAGTGACGAGCTTCTCGTCTATTAGTTGGAAAAACTGATATCGTATCATTCCAAAGCGGAGAACTTTTATTCAATTATTAAAGCAAGACAAGACAAGAGAAGATAAGATATAATCTTGTCTAACATTATATCTGTTCTCAACATCACTTAAAATGGCTACAACAAATTACAATTGAAAGATACGAAAAGGAGATTATCCAGTCAAAACACGAAAATCTCTATATATATGTTAATCCGACGAGATTTTCTGGATAAGTTTGTTCAGACAAAGGCACACTGTTATGCAGAAACAGAGGAAAATACCTCCTCCGTTCACAATAAGAATCTGAAGCAGAATACTGTAGAACAATAGTCACAATTGCAAGCTTTCTCACTTTAAGCCTATTCACAATCCCATCTGCACATTTTGGGACTACAAGTGACTGGCAGAGGATCCCTTATGTACCTGACAGCGCCATCACTTTCAAGTTTACGTATTAAATATGTTCCAGTGATGATCTGCCTGTAAAGTTTTTTCCTTTATCTTCTCAAGCCTTTTGAGAATTTCCAAGAAAGATGGTCTTTGGTTCATGTCAGCAGCCCAACACTGCTCTATTAACCTGTAAAACATTCAATGGAAAGAAATAAACAACTCGCAATTCAAGTTTCAGTACTTGTATTAAAGCATGAGGGTATTCAATTTAAATTAGCAACGCAAATGCCACTCTTTCTGAATGACGAAAGGTAATTGTATGCGGAATAGCATGAAAGAAGGGAACGTTTTGGTTGATTTGAAATTACAGTATTAACTTACTCTTTCAGTTCAGGGGTGTGCCCTTTTCCATGAAACAATGGCCTGTGTCCTTCCGCCACATATTTGGCTGCTTCATAAGGCTCGTAGTTTGATAGCGGTGGGTCCCCTTCAAGCATCTGCACCAGTTGAGAGTGTCATAGATCAGGACTGGAATAAATCATTTTACATCTTACTGTTTTAAGGGTGAATCTGAATTTCATATCTTGCACAAAGCAACATTACCTCATATAATATCATTGCAAAAGAGAACACATCAACCTTCTTATCATATCTCCGGTGCTTAAAAACTTCAGGAGCCATATAGCGGTCTTTCATTGGTTCCAATGCAAAACACACAAATATTTTTTACTTTCATGATTTATTTTATTCAACAGCAACTTTAATTCAATCGTAAATTTCCAAAGACACTCACAACTTCCAGTTTCGCCAGTCATCTTGTACACATCATGAGAATTCTGAACCTTGATGAGCTTGCTTAGTCCAAAATCTCCAACTTTTAAATGGTCTGCACTGGAATTGACTAAGAGAACATTCCTGCGATAAAGAAACAAAATTTAGAAGTAACAATATAAAATACGGCAAGCAAGCCACGTGTTTACAGGGATGGAAACAAGACTGGAGAAATAGAAAAGGAAATCGTAAATTTGCACAAATCCATAATTTCTTTCATCCTATGAAGATAATTCCTCTAGGCCATTCTGTTTGAACAGTTATTAATTAAAAACAACATATGCATACCAAATTCTACACATATCAACTCACCTTGGTTTCAGGTCTCGGTGAATTATGACATTTGGCTCGTTGTGAAGATAAGCCATGCCTCTGGCCACATTGAGATTTAGGAACTCAGATTAGCAAAATTATCAAAAGTACTAAATTTCATATTAGTTAAAAGTTTTGGCCAATCATAAATTAAAAACACATTTTCACTTCTCTCATTCTTGTTTTTCCCATATTAACAAAAACAGCATATTATGAGAAAACTAGAGGCAAAAACCAGCCCATACTTCTAACAAGAACTTCCTGCAAAAATTAAGATAATTACCTTAACTAGGAATGGTTGTTATTTATTTATTCTGAAGCAAGCTATAAGAGCTCTCTGTTTTAGAATGAAACACGAAGACTTATGCAAGTGTGCTCTTGATTTAATTATCTCATGAAGACACAATTTACCACCAAAAGATCGCATATTCAGTCTTTATGGTCACAACCAACAATTATGAACAGTGTATTTAAAATATTTGAAATCTCCCAAAGTCCATAACTACAACATTTTTCATTTCCGAGAAGCACAGACGTGTTAGAGGGAAAAATTGGGAGAAGCAAATAAGTTTGATGCATGTGCTAGTATGACTCCATCTCTGCACTTTCCAAACAGCAAAAGATGTAATGATTACTATACTGAAGAACTAAATTTCCTGTGCAACTAGAACTCCAACCGGATGACAATATCAGCCATCTATCTCTCATGAAAAAAATTATTTCATAATATCTGCAAAAGATTTCTTTAAACTAAGGCAATAAGTTGATTGAAGTTCCATTAAAGTACCGGGCAATGTCTAAGGCAAAGTTGATAGCTGTTGAAGGACTAAGTGCACCCTTTTCCTTGAGGTATTGATGAAGATCACCCTACAACAGCAGACAATACATTATTTAAGAAGCAGTTTCTTAGCAAGACAGATTAAAGACCACCACAAAGAATTTTGACAGAGAGAATAAAAAACTCGGAACACAAATTGAAGATACACAAGTATACCCCTCTTAAATATTCCGTTATTAGCATAAGGGGCTTCTTCTCAGTAACAGCTCCAAGAAATTGGACTATATTAGGGTGACGAAGCTTCATTAGCAAATTAACTTCATGACGGAAGTCCTGACTGTATCAGGAAAGCAAAGAACAAGTCAGAAATTCACAACTTTTTAATATGATGGAAAAGTGAAGGTAAAGAAAGATATGCTGATTGTAATTTCAACATTACATGTTTCATGGAGGAGGTCACCTCCCAAAAAATTTGATATACGAAAAGTATCTTTTGATTGATAAAGTTGTCATGTCTATGAAAGAATGATGCATAAATTGTTTAAAGAGCCTTAAAAATTAAATTATGAGTTTGATTGTTCATTTGTCAATCCAACAAAGTTCATAAAATAAATTAAAAGTAACATAACGAAGGAGTATTAACTCAAAAGAAAACTTCCACAGCAACTAAGTGGTAACTACTTTTTTACATAAAAATGAAGTTGAACTTACATCACCAATCTATCACCCGAAAGGGATGGAAGAATGCGTTTGACAGCTACTGGTGTTCCACGCCAATGTGCTTTTAAAATCTCACCAAAAGAACCCTACAAGTACCACTGATCAAGTTGAGGTTGTATCTTGGCATATGGCAGAATGCAGATAGATTATGGAAACACAGGAGCTAGTACGGTAATAAAACTATGAGCTGACCGCAACAACTTCAACTTGGAAAAGAAAGGGAAAATCCAAGAAATCATTGGCACAAAAGAGCAAGAAACTACATCGGAGGAAATGGGGTCTGACTTTTAGGGAGCTCAAAGGAACCTACTATATTTAGCATGTGAAACAGAGAATAACTAAAGATATAGTGAATTTTTCATAACAACAGAACATTTTAAAATAAAAACCACACATGTGAGAAACCAGTATGAAGATTTATATAGCACTGCGTTACAAAACGAATCAAATATTTAAACCGTACGATATCTTTGAATAACGTATAAAACTCGTCAATTGAAAAGAAATTCAGACCTTTCCGATGGTAACTGAGCTGGAGAAGTCGAGCTCAGACGGTTCAATTTCCCAATCACACTTGTTGGGCAGAGGGGGTGGCACCGGTTTCGGTTCGAAATGGCTTCCATTTTGGCCCTGCACACTCAAACAGAGAATTAGAGCACACAAAACCAAATAAAACGGAAAAACTCCACTCTATGAACAACAGACTTACATAAGACAAGCCACCATACGATTTTAGAAGCTCAATCATTGTATGCTTCTTAGCTCCTTCTGCATCAGCTAGAGGCTGCCATCAACATTAACAAAATTAAAACCTGATAATACTTAAAAAATTACAATTACACATAATTAAGCATTGCAATTAATTAATTAATTAAGAATAATAGAAGGTTGAAGATCAATACGGTGTTTTTCCAGCGATCTTGGGCGTTGACATCGGCGCCATACTCAATAAGGCAATTGGCGACGTCGATCCAGCCGTGGAGGGAAGCCACGTGGAGCGGAGTGCGGTTGTCGTAGTCGCGGGCGTGGACGAGAGAGCGATCCTCCTCGAGGAGCTTGCGGACGGCGGCGACGTCGTTGTGGTGGGCGTGCCAGAGTATGAGAGAGGTACGGCTGACGCGGGCCTTCTCCTTCTGCTTGTCCTTGTCGGCGGGCGGCGTCGAAGCGCAGGGGCCTCCAGAGGAATCGGACGCGCTGGAGCTCATGAGTGAAGTCGGGGCGGATCGGAAATCGGAATGTGAATGGATTCAAGTGAAGTGTGGCCAGCCAAATGCTCTTATTTTATTTTATTTTTAACTATTTGTTTTTTGGCTTCTTGTCTTCTTGTTTTGGTGCTGAAGAGAAGGTGGGACGACTTTCGCAGTCGGTTGGTTTCGTTGGTTATGTTTACTTACGGTAACGCTAGGCTTATCACATTTATATATTGCGTGCTTTGTGTTGTGTTGTGTGTCACTCCTTTTCAACATAGATAGAGCCTAACAATACAATAAGATCTACCTTTAATAGAGAAGTAGTGCATAAATGTGACCTAGCATTTTCTTTACTTATTTTATAAAAAAAAGGGGCAAGTTTGTGGGAAAATATTAAAAACTGGCTGCTCTTACTTTTTCAACGGAATCTCATTCTTTTCTCACTTGTTTTATCTTTTGGCTTTTTGTTACTGTGGCCCATGAGAATCATGTGTTATTGCCATTTTCCTATTTGGACCTTTTTTTTCTTTCCTTCTTAGTTTACTGTCTCAACTAACTAGCCTAGACGTGGCGTGAACTAACTGAGCCAGAATCAGGGAATTACACAAAGATGCTGATTAATTCAGGAAAGGGCCAAGTCTTTCTCAACAGGCGCTGGGATATGGGAAACTATGTGCTACAGTCGCAGCATAGCGCGTTTGAGATGCCTTGGATAGTTTAACAAAGGAGGCTACCATCTAACACACGTCTGCTTCTCTTTCAAATTTTTGTTTTATGTTCTTTGATTGTATTTGGGTCAGTGAATTAATACGGCCGCCAAATATGAAATATGGGTGGGAGTTGGGGAGATTGTTTGGATCTGGAAATTTCTTATACAAATCCACCTCAATTTGGATTTTTCACCTAGAATGAAAATTCGGCACGGTATTTTGCTCAATTGAGTTGAAAAGATGAAAACTGAAGGAACCCCAGAAGTTAGAATCAATATAAAAATTACAGTTTACAGATCCGGGGCATGTATTAGAGTTGTATAGGAGAGTGGTTTGTTATAAATATACAATTCCAAGCAGGAACTTGCATATCAAGTAATCTTTATGGGTCTTGTTGGTCTTCAAGGGAGCGCTTCCGAGCCCTGAGGTTGAGCTCCAGGCTTTGAGGCAGAGGTGGGCTTCTCCCGCGACGGAAAAGAACTGCAAGAGCTCTCATTTTCTGGCACAGATCGAATACCTACATTTTAAAGACAACCAAACCATTGTTACACTTTTGCAAAGCAAAACCATCATCCACTGCTAAATTTAAAGATGGCTCTCTGTTTCTTACTGATGAGGCCTCTATTTCTGCAACACCTTCACAACCTTGGCCGCCTCCTTGCAACAAGTCACAATACCTTACAGCTTCATTCTCATCCTCAAAAACCTGCAAATGCCATTGGAATGTGTGAATCATATGCAACCTTAGGTGAAGCCCGAGCTCAGAAGTCCTAGGAAATGAAACTTTCTATGCAACCAACAATTCATGGATTGAAGTCAATAGAAAAAGAAACAAAAATGCTTACAAGCACTCCATCCCTAATATCCTCCACAAGCATCTGGAACTTTGTACCGTTTCTTGGCTGTTTCGTTTGGTTCCACTTCGATCCTTTGGAAAACAATTTCCCAAGCTCCGTTTCAACTTCACTGTCACATATAACCCACCAATATGTCACCAAACCTAGGGACTAATTCAGTCCACAAGTAACAACAATTATGACCAATGAAGAGAAAAGGCGCACACACAGAGAAGAGCAGAGGAGGGAGACCTGCGATTTCTTCGGGTTTTCATGGTGCACAACAGGTTTTCCCTTTGTGTTAGTACATACACGGGCTTGGAAGTTTCTCTCCAAGGGTTGGCCTCCAGCACTGAACAAGAATAGAGAAAGGGCAAAGCAATGATCAAGTAGATCAGAGACCAACACTCAACTCAACTGTATAACCACAAGTCTCAAACTCGATCAAAACCTGTACCCATAACTCTGTTTTTGCAACTCTTCATTTGCATATATAAATTTTGGAAATGATAATTGGTAGAACACAAACAAACAGAGCATAGGTCATGTTTGAATCCAGTTAAGTTTCTATAACACTTTTATATCATATAACATTCATCCAACAAAATTGAATCAGGAATTTCAGAGGACATGAATAAGGGCAAAAACCAGGAACAAACAAATAAATAAAAATAACTATGTCAATTAATTTATTGATCACTCGTCAAAAACAGAGAGCAGGGAGAGTGCATCTGTGCAAGGAGGATAGCTCAAAATCTCAAACTCAACCAAAGCTCTCAAAGGAAATTGAAAATTCCGTACCATCGTAGCTGCTGGAATCGAAGGTCTGCTGGAGGTGGCGCCGCATGTCGTAAGCACGAGACGACACGCGTTTCACGAACTCATCGGAAGTGGAGGGAATATTACCATCCAGATGAAGCGCTCTCTCCACCTGCTCACTTCCGTCGTCATCGGCGTCGGCGTCGGCGTCCTCTGGGGCAGCGCCACCGCCACCGCTAGACCGGCAAGAAACTTCTCTCACGAGCCTCCTTCTAGAATAAGACGAAGTCTCGGGAGAGCACGGCACTCCAAAGACGGAGGAGGAGATGTGGAGATTCCGATTGTGTAAGCTGCCGAGTGAACAAGAAGAGAGAGGGAGCCGGCGGCGCCGTGGACGGAGAGGGTTGGTGACTGCGGAAGGCAAGACTTTTACCGATGAGAGAGAATCCATGGCGGGCTTGACCTTGGGGGTAAAATTAAAAAAATTTGAAAATAAATAGGGTGCAAATTGCAATTACGTTTGGGTCTCTCCAATCTGTGTGTTGCTTTGGTGGGTGGTGGTTGGAATCGCTGAATGAGCCTGCGGATATTTCTTTTCCCCAGTCATGGAGCTCTGTCTGTGGTGGTGGGGCCGGGAGAATTGGGCCTGTGAAACGGACGGGTCTTTTAACTCCGACCCATCATTTTTTATGCCTTTTTATTATTTTTTTAAAGGGAATTATTTTTATTACTAATTTTTTAAATATAAATGATAGTCTAAATTACAAGAGGATGAGTTTCTATTCATTTAAAATTTAATCTCAATGGACACTCCAAAAAATGCATGTTGCATTCAAGTGCAATTTACATGTTTCATGAAGAATCACTCTCAAACATTTTAAATGCACTTAAATTTTTAATAAAAATTTCAACGTATTTATAATAAATACGATTTTAACATAATCGAGTATAATGTGATGAGTAAAAATGCATGTTTAGCTTAGCTATGCTTGTGGATTGGCTAGGGGCTACAAGTGTTTTTAGATAATAAAAAACAACTCTAGCAACATTTGGGAGAAAACCTAAAACTCTATGAGTTATGAAAGAATTTGTTTAGATTTAGTACTCTTCAATGAACATTTTCAAGTACTTCTCATAAATCATTTGGATCTTTGGTGAAGGTACCAATATACTTACAACAAAAATACATTAAATGTTTGTTTTAAAGTTCTTTGAATTCCTCCACATAACAATTGTTTATGCATCTGGTAAAATGACAATCAACCCTAAATCTAGTATATAATTTATAATTTGAATCAACTCGTAGCACTATGCTTGCTATCATAGCATGTCTATTCTCTAAATTCACATTTATTTTTAGTCCATCACGCACACACGTAAATCGCAATTATTTGTTTAAGAATTTGACTAAATCTGAGATTAATCGCTAAATAAACATGAATTCTAAATCGATCTCATAAACTAAATGTAATTGAAACGAGTCCAGGAGTTTTGGGTGGGTGAGTAGAGAAGTGCATGATCGTCATGCAAGTGCCACTCACAAAACTGCTTGGTCTTGACACAAGCATACTCTGGACGAAGCACCGGGAAGTCAATAGTACTCCACCTGCCGTCTTGGGTGGATGCAGAACAATTGTACGACGGAGCATCTTCCAACCACCCCCCGCAGATACCAAACTCAACCAATTTGAAAAGCGACATGCGTTTTCTTCTGAAGTCCTTGGACGGGTGGCTAAGTGTCCAAGGGTTCGACGACGCTGAATGACAATAAAACTCTATATCATCCAGTGAGTGCTGCTGCATAAAGGCTTCCCCGAAGTGGTTTTCTATGACGAATTTGTATTCAGTGGCTCCAAGGCATCTCCATGAGGCTCCTACAGAGACTGGGAATATCAAGACTAGTATTGCCGATGAGAAAATCATCAACCATACCAAACCCTTAATATTATTACTATTCTCCATCTTTCTCATCGTCCGGATATTCTTGGAATATTACGAAAACTATGGTACGGGAATCGAGTCACGATGGATCGGTCGATCTTGACCATTGCAGTTGGTGATGCATGCTTCGTTTATTAATATACAAGTCATGCACGCTCTGCTCATTAACTAATTTGCTTAGTGTAACATATTAATTAAAACATTCACTAGTTACTAATCCATTGTTACGAACAACTTTGATTTAAACAGTCATTCAATACTGTCGTTTATTTCATAAACTATACGGTTTTTAAAATAAAGTAGCCGTTATTGACACCCCAAAAAAGTCATTTTGTTTTGAAAATTGAATGAATTAGCAAGTCAGCAGAATAATGATTTTTCTTCAAATTGTTAAAAGATATCTGCCGCACAAGATTAGTTGAGTTGAGGCCTCCCTCCCGCAGCCATTGAGTGTTTAAGACTTGAACATTCCACTAAAAATTTACAAAACGAGGACAAGTATAGATAAAATAGGGGAAATATGATTCATGACTCTCTGGACAATAGAGCATATGTATAGATACAACAATCACTAGAGAGAATCTCTTATACCATAGATGGTATTCGTATCAGATATCCATTAATGATGAGAAAACTTAAAATATAGAATAAACAGGATTGCAACGATAAGAGCTCCGATGACTGAGCCGATGATCCATTTATGCTTGGTCATCCTCCGTGACATGGCAGTTAAAACTCTTTTACTCTTGTCAATGGCGTCATCTACCCCATGAAGCTGCAAATGACAAAAGGAAAAACACAAAGCCCTTAGATTAACAAATTCACTAATGCTGATGCCTTGTTCAGATCACATGTCAGAACTTCTTTCTTTTTCTTTCAAAGGAGGCCTATCGCCTGGCATGATATTAGGTCGAGACCCCAACTTTATATCTTGGGTTTTTGGTGCACTGCCACTGGAGTTATGAGCCCCACTTTATTTGTAAGGTTTTTGGTTCCTCAACAAGAAAGTGTAGGAATGACTCCAGCATTGGAATATGTGAATGGCATGTAAGGGAAACTCACTGAATTCAACTTCAGGGAAGCGAAAAGAAGTCTATGGATCTTCTTTTTTTTTTTTTTTTTTTTTTTTTTTTTTTTTTTTTTTTTTTTAAGAAAAGTTTAGGGGGAGGGGAGGCTACCCCATGAACCTTAAGTTAAGTGGAGACATTATTAAAAAGTTAAACTTACTTTTTGATGGGAATGCAGGAGAGTTTCCCGTTGTTGATGCAAATCTTGGAGAATGGAAACACCAAGCTCTTCAGTCTCCAGTATGGTTCTCCTACTCTCCGTGATTCTATCACTTGATTGATTTAATCTCTCAACAGACATTGTCATTCTCTCTCTTTGATCAGAAGAAACCTGTTTTGTTGTCCACATAAATCACCAAGAAAAGTTATTCTATTCTCCCAAAGGAAAAGAAAACTAAAGACAAACATTACATCTAACTTGTAAATAGTCCATTGAGGACAAATGACAATGGCCTTGTGGTTGCCCTTGTCATAAATCAAGAGGAAAATTATGGGGGAAATAAAAAGGGCACCCCGGATAGTTGGGAATTCAGATATTTGCATTACAGCACGTCATAAATGCATACAATTCCTCAAATCAAATTTCATACTTCGGCACAAATGTTATGTTAAGCTAGAATTGAAGTTTAATGATCCATACAGAGTCCACACTTACCGCATGGACATCAGCCATTCCGGACTCCAACAGCTCTTCGCGAGCAGCCTGATTAGCATCAGGTGATGTAATTCTTTTGATTTCCCTTTTCAAGTTATTGAGATCGGATTTATATTCCCTTAGCTTAGCAAGAAGCACCGCCTTTACACTCGGCTGCAAGCTTCTGGCTTCAAGGTCCATTTTCCGAATCTGAAAAAACAAATCACACCACTCATTCGTATAAACAAGGAAAGTACAAGAGACCAGAAGCTCTCCAGCAAAGGAAAACGAAGTGAAAACTTTTGTTCTGCATATTATTATTACCAAAGCATCAGCATCGTCCAAGCCAACTTTAATCTCAGAAAACCTCTGCTTCTTCTGCTCTGCAAGTCACATTGACCCACAACAACAACCCATTTCATAAAAAAATCACAACCAAACCAAATCGTACAAATACATGGATGCATTAAAGATCCTGACTTTCTAACAACCACTTGAACAACAAACAAAAAATGAAAACCCATAAAGCCCCCCAAAAGAATTCCCTATCAGCCATAATCTTCCAAGTCGATCACTGTTACTAATTGATGAAATCTCATAAATTAAGAACATTGGGGCATAATATCGCAAAAAACCCACAATCGGAGACATGGCAGTACGGATAGTTATTAAATTAGCAGAAAATGAAACAATAGAATAATACCATGGTCAGGAAGAAGGGCGGCGGAGTTAGATTTTCGTGAGAGATTTGCGGAGAGCTCGCAGTATTGACGCTCGTAGCCTTCGAACACCTCACTCATCTCGATTGATACGTGGCACACTATCCCCACTGGTTCAATTGAGAATTTTCGAATCGAGAAGACAACGATCAGAAGAGTCTGAGAGGGGATTTTGGGTTGTTTTGTTGGTTCTCCAACCTCAAATTTTCAGATTTTGTTGGTCTTCTTGTAGCTCACAGTTGACGGAAATCGAGATTCGACTTCGAGAGCTCGTCCGTAATTTCGGTATTTCGGAGGCTCAATTGAAAAAAGGAAAATGAACAGTCGTCGAAAAAACGTCCCGGTAGATTTTATAGTTACCATGTCATACATTTTTGTATTTTCCTTGTACGACACTGCGTTTCGATCATCTTGTTTCTTTATAGAACTGAACAGACCCTCTATAAATTGTAATTTTGTATAATTATTATCATAGAGATTTTTTATTTAAACCCCACATTTTTCTTAGTTCACTCCAGTACTTAAATCATTAAGCTGTAAGTTTTTTTATTGTGTAAAAAGACAAAAAAAGTAATCCAACTTAATACTTAACCCTAGTACATCTATACACACACCCACACACCCCACTACTCTTCATATTAAATTTTAGAAAAATACAAATTCATCTACATCGTATTGCCAGAGAAATAGAACATTGACGAGCATGCCCCTTTAAAATATGGGTGGGAGCTGATGAAAAGACTTGTTGATTGTTTGGCTGTAATGATCTTATTCTCTTCCTTTTGTTGATTGCTTTTGTTTTTATTTTTTATTTTTTATACCTGATATTTTGGTAAAGCTGTTATCTTTCTCTAGAAACTATTAAAGTTCAGATTTGGGGTTCCATTTGTTTGTGTTTTATTTCTGCTGGGACCAATAATATTATTGTAACTTCTGGAATTCTAGTATGCATCTAAAATCATAATCTTGCTGCTGCTACTTCAATAGTTGGGTAATTTTTCTTGTTGATTTTCCACTCTGATAAAAGCTTCAATGTATTCTCCATTGATGACCAATCAGATAGCCTACTCCTAGTGCAAAGTGTAGCAACCTCAAGTACCAGTTTTATCTCCTCTCACACGGAACGTTCTTACTGACTTCATTATCATTCTCATTGTAAATACCTCATTGTCATTATTAAATACTCAAGAGAGAAAATGATAAAATGTCTAGCAATTAGCATTAGAGCTTGAAGAACGTATTTTCTCCTCTAAGAGTAGCTTGTGGGGTTTAAATAAAAAATTTCTTTTATTTCTTATTTTTTCAACTTAAGGTGCATTTAAGGGTAGTTTGAGAAGATAGTGAGGTTTTCTTAGAAATTGTGAAAATTTAAATTAAAGTTGAGGTGAACTTAGAACATTGGGTGAACTAAGAAAAATGTGGGTTTTAAATAGAAAATCTCATTCCTTTTATAAATACAGAAATTTTCACTTTCCTTTTATTTTTCTGATAAAACAATACCATCTAGGCTCCAAGGTCAGTACCCTGTAAATTAAATTTGTGACAAAATCAAAGATTATTGTGCACAACGAAAACAGCTGAAGAATTCAAACTCTGGAAAAGTTGCTGAAAGGGGTAGAAGAGGGGAAGGAGGGATTATGGGGATTAATCAACAAACCGCAGTAAAAGGGCACATTTCCTAAACAAAGTTAACCTCTAACGTAAAATCCAAGCAACCTGAGTAGGCTCAATACAAGTTCCTCTGTGTAAAATGAAAATTCTCCAAATGGTAGAACCTACCAAACTCACAGTACAATTTAGTCTAAAACCATAAAATGAAAGGATTACTGCTGGCATTACAGTGTCGCCTCAGAATAGAACCAAAAGAAATGAAGCGAAGGCAGGAAACTGCCTCCTTGAACCTACAACCTCATGCCATTATCTTTGCAGACCTCACGTAGAGGCTGTCCACAACCTTGCCGATGTTAGATATGGTTTCCAACGTTGCAGGGTAGATTGCATCCGTCTTGGGATCGTCAAAAATGATGAGGCATCCAGCACCCTGATCTAAAGTCCCTGCAAACTTCTTGTCCAGAATCATCTGAGACAGTTTCTTTTCCACATGATCGATTGGCAGTTCAATGAGTTCTGCAATATGAGCAATCTCCACCCTTGAGAAAGGCTCAATCAACCTGCAGAGATTCTGTTCCAACAGAGTGTCATACAGGGATGAAAGGTGCCTGTGGACAATGGGATCTTCCTCCAGCTGGGCCTTAAAATCCCGAAGAGCAGTTTCAAAGAGCTTTAAAGAGCGCTTCGAGTGAGCATCAGCAACTGCTTTCATAGCATCCAGCTCGGGCCCCACATACTGTAGTCCTGCTTTTGATGAAATTATACCTGCCACATCATCAGCCTGGCTCACCATGATTTTGCACAGCAACATATACTTGAGGCTAAATACAGCCCGAGGATCTTCAAGAGCATTGAAGGCTTCAAATGCTTCAAAGAAATAACTATAAGCAGTCTTGTAGTCCTTTTCTTCGGCATGAAGAATCCCACTCTGCAAATCGATAGTTCCCTGCTGAGCTGGAGGCACATATATGGAATTGGCTGCTGTTCTTGCAGCTGTGAGTGAAGCCTTGGCTTTAGGGAGATTTCTCAAAGAGAAATGGAGCTTGCTCTCCAACAAATCTATGTCCACAAGGAGAAGCTTGTCATCTAGCCTTCTCACTTCCTTGATCAAGCCTGATAGGAGACTTAGTGCTTCTGAATACTCCTTGCTTTCCATCAAAAGAGATGCAAGCCTGGCCTCCACTCGCTGTCGAAGGAAAGTTCGCTTCTCAGCACGGGTCCACTGCACCATTTCTTTGCAAAGGGAAATCTGAAGATCAGATGTGCCTGGTACTTTAGCTACTGCATCAATAATACTACGAACAATTTTTGCAGTTTTCGCCTTGGGAATCAAGTTAAAGAAAGGCCTCAACTGGGTGAGAAGGTTACGAAGATCCTCTGCCCGATTTTCTTGTCTAAGAAGATCCGTCAGATTTGTGATAGCTTGTTCCTTTATCCGTAGAGCTTCAGAAGAAGAAGATGGGTTTTCAAGAATGCGATAAAGAATCGAAATGGCTTCAGATGGGGCTTTGGCCTCTAAAGCCTGAGCAATCGAATCAGTAGTTGCTGGGAGATATGATGAAGACATTGTCAATGCTTTGAACTATCCAAGTCCTGCAGAAAGAGAACAGACCAAAATATTAAAATCAAATAATAAAATTGCCTCAGCATCTAAATACAAAGATAAAAGACGCATCACTTTGGATCCCAAGCAGTTGCAAGGCCTCCTAAAATCTGAGATTTGACCTGCGAATATTCTTATAATATAAAACTGCAAAGGAAGATGTTACTTAAACCTTCTACTGCACTAACTTCTAAAATGATTCCCAAGTCTCTAATATAGACAAAAATGGACAAATAACAAATTTTACTCCCTCCCAAAAGCATTTACCAACATTATGAGCCATCTCCAACGAAGTAACTGATTTGGTACTTTCAGAGAACATTTAATCAGCTTCACCCCAAAATTCATCTAGCTGACCCCAGTTAGGAGAACCCATGAAATTCTGTTCATGCAAGTGAGATCTACATAGCTAGTCTATAACTAAATTCTTCTTCATCTGTTCATTTTTCTCTGTCACTATTTCACATCAAAACTAATGAAAATACAGAGTTAACAGTACAAATATAAATGACAAAGCATATTTAAACCATGTATGTATGTATGATATATCTTTATCAGCATCAAAAACTGAATTTTGCTTACCATTTTATACTCTACAATATAATTTAATTGGCTAACAAAAAATGGCACTCTGATTTTAAGGTTCAACTTTGTTTAAAGTACCTCATATAATAAAAACAAAATTCAAACCAATAAAAGAAACTTAGACTCGAACACCCATGAATAAACAGCAACAAGAAATTCAAACAAAATCAAGGAGATGAATGTTTGAAAATACTAAAAATCCAGCAATACATCAACATTTGAGCAAAATCGTATGAAAATACAGTAAACACATACTACCCACAGATATAGATGTACAATATAGAAAGTCGAAGGCAAGAAAGCCCTGAAATTCAAGCAGAAAGCAACACATAAACTGAAATAATTTCAAATTGAGAAAAGAAAAAAAACCCTAAACTGAAGCATATCCCTAGTTTGAAAAAAGAAAAAAATAAACCTAAATTTAAAGAATTGAAGTAAATGAGATCGCAGGAAGGAGAGGGATGGATAGATACCCGGTTGACCTAGGTAATTGGACGCGCTTGAAGAAAGAGTGAAGAAGATTCACGGAGGACGAGAGGAGGAGGGTCGGTGGTGATGCAGAGGGAGAGGCCGATTTGTGAAGTCCCAAGTCTTAAGTAAAGGCTCAGCTTAGCTGTGACGGTCCCTTTATTTTCTCTCTTTTTCTTTTTTTTCTTTTTTTCTTTTTCTGCGGCGTTCCGATTCGCGGTGTAAATTCCTTGATGGACTATCGCTGCACGGGAACAAAACCCCCTCTCCACCAAAAATAATTGCTCTCTTTAAAAATATCAACAGTTTTTTATTCTTTTCTTGTTTCTAAAGAAAAGCCAGTCCTTGGGCTGGGCTTGCGAATATGAGCTTTGATCTTGGGCTGGGCTGGGCTTTGTTTTCTTCTCTTTAGAAGACTGTGTGTGCTTTATTTATTATTCTTTTAGACTATTTTTTTTAATTTTTAAAAATAAATATTATTATTATTATGCCAATAATGTAGTAAGAAAGTTTTATTAGGCGTGCTTTATTTAATAGATGGGCTTTAATTTATCTTCTACTCATAAACAATGAAAGGATACATGCCCACAATAAGATATATTTTTTTAACTTTGAAACATCATCGAATAAACTAAACAAGCAAAATCCAAACCATAGGAGGGTCTGTAATTACTAATAAGCAGAAGAAAATTTTACCGTTGTTGAAGCTAAACTGAAAACCTCATTAACTTTTCTTTTTAATACAAGCGATAATCTACTTTAAATTAATCTAAATTTAATAAAATAATGAGTCGACACAACATGGTAATTAAGATCATGTTCTTGCATTCCTTGATCCCACACGAGCCAGAAAACCAGCTTTAATTTGAGCAACTGATCGCTCAGAACCACACTCCTCGCATTTAAGAGGGAGGAGACGATTCTTTTTTGAAAGCATAGTGTCCGGACTTTTACACCCATTGCAATTGACATATTCCTTCGAAATTATTGGGTGCAAATCTTCCCTTGACAACCAACCTTTGTTGCCCATCAAGTGATCCACTTGTCCCCAGTTCAGCCAGCAAGAAAGTCATGACATGATTCGGCTGCCTATGCATCATCTTGCACTCATCATCAAATTCACAAAAACAGTTTTGTTTGTGCCCTCACCAAGTACTTGTGGAGGCCTCAAAACTATCCTACGCCTGTCTCCAGCCAGCTCCAAGTTATTCTCGCGATCACGAAGAATGTTAAACACCCTATCAAGAAGCTCCTCATATGCGTTCCCCTCCCAAGGATGGGATGGAGCCCCAGAATCATAGACGGTAGCTTGTATTACAACCTTATTCTTTTTTCTTCTTTTTAGTAGGATCAAAGGGAGCAATATTTGATACCGCCTCGTCCTTCACCTCATTCTGATTATCATATGCCATGGCGTATGATACTAAAGAAAGCTCTCTCCCTTTGGAAGTCTCGAAAAATAAACTTTACTCAATAACTCTACTTTCTTTAATGAATTACATAAGGAGTATTTATAATATTCTAATCCTAAAGTGAAAAGGAATTTAAACTTAAATTCCGAATCCAAATAAATTAGGAAACATAAATCAAATCTTACTCAAGTCTGAAAAAATAAAAATCCTACTTAAATATGGGAAACTAAAAAATCCTGCTACTCCAAAACTTAAAAAACATGAAATTAGAAAATTGATCACGTGCTATATATACTGACCGTAGAGCCGAAGTCTCAAAAGTTCGGACGATGGCGGGAATTTTGACTGGTAGTTGGCCCGTTTATGGCTACCGGTCACCGAAATCCCCAAAATCACCCTCGGATTCAAAAATACAAAACACCCTCGTTTTTACCACTATCATGAAGAAAAAAAATCCTCCAATCCACCCAAACATCGCGAAACGGAAGCTTCCTTTCTTCCGTGAGAAATAAGGAAGAAACACGCAGGGCCATTTCCGGCATTAAAAAAATTCCGAAGCAGCGGACAGGTAGTCCAGTCCTGTCGGTTTAAGCTGCTAAACAGAGCAAAGCCAAGCCCCCCCCACCCCCAAAAGTACAAAGCTCAATCATTTGAATGCTAGCGGTAGGATCCAAACAGTGATCCAAAGCTCAGAACTTTCTAGGGTTTACTGAAACCGATCAGCAGCTCAAGAAATGCTCGTTTCGGCTCTGTTGACGTCGCTCGGAATAAACTCCGGCCTCTGTGTCCTGTTCTTCACGCTCTACTCTATCCTGCGAAAACAGCCCAGCAACTATGAGGTTTACATGCCGAGAGTGCTCGCCGAAGGAGAATCCAACACGTCGAGTATTTTCAACCTCGAACGGCTGATTCCGTCACCCGATTGGGTCAAGACGGCCTGGCATCTCACCGAGGACGATTTGTTGTCGTCCTCAGGATTGGACGCCGTCGTTTTTATGCGGCTTATCAATTTCAGCCTGAGAGTGTTTTTGTTTGCTGGAGTGATTGGGGTCTTCGTTCTGCTTCCGATCAACTGCTCCGGAAATCAGCTTGAGTACGTTGACTTTACCGATCTGTCGAACAACTCTCTGGACGTGTTTACCATTTCAAATGTGAACAATGGCTCAAGCAAGTGAGTTTTTGCTCCAATTACTATGAAGTTATTTCAAGCTGTTGATAGAGTTAGCAATTTGGAGCTCATGTTGTTAATTTAATTTCGAATTATAATATCCCTAGATTCTAATAATTCAATAATTAAGTTCCTAAAGTCTGAATTTTAATGAGAAAGATTTACCTAATCTTTGACTTGTGCTAATAAAGACAGGTTTTTCTTTCTTGCATCCCTCATCAGTTAGTTTTCCTTCTATATTATATAGCCATGTTAGGTGCAAAAGTTAACTTATTTATGCTGACCTTTTTTACAGGTTATGGATTCACTTTGTTGCTGTGTACCTTGTCACCATCTTTGTCTGCTGTCTACTTTATTATGTAAGTAAAAGCTTGGTGTGTTAAAAACTTTGCTACCTATGCTTGGGAGATTCTGATGACGAAGTCACAATTACCAGTTTATGGTGATCTTTGGATACTGAATAATACTTCATTCTGCAGGAGTATAAATATATTTCTCAGAGAAGGATCGACTATTTTCTTTCATCCAAACCTCAGCCACAACAGTTCACCATCTTAGTTCGTAGCATTCCTGTTTCTGCTGGGAGTGGTGTCAGTGAAAAGTTGACAGCTTCTTTAGGGAGTATCACCCTTCAACATATCTGTCGCATATTGTTGTTCGTCGAACAAACAAGCTTCAAAGTCTCATTGTAAGCATTTTGTATGATTTCTATTTTCTGCTTTGATGTTTCTAAGTTTTCTGTTTCTCTCAAGGATCCATAGAGTTAAGATACTGAGAAAGATCATGGTTGGATCTTATATTAAATTGCAGTTCATGCTTCAACATATTTTTCTATGCTATACTTACATTTCTAACAGTAATATGTTTTCCTTATTCTTTAGAATGATGCGAAAAAATTATATACTAGGCTCATTCACTTGCAATCAGATCCCAACCAGCAAAAGTATAAACATTCCAGTTGTTTTGGGTTGTTTGGACGCAAGGTTAATCTTGTGGATCATTATGAAAAGAAGCTTGAAGACATAGAGGAGAATGTGAGATTGGAGCAATCAGAGGTTTCATTAGCAGGAGAAGTATGTCGTGAACTCTATCTTTCTCTCTCCCTCTCCCACCCCATCTCCCCTCTCTTCCTCATTCCAGAAAAATTGTTATTTTCATCCATTATAGTTTTAATTTTATGGTGTGATTCTTAAATTTCAAGTCAAGTGTTAAGTGCAGGTCTTGGTTTATGTATGTATTGTTTTTTTGTCAAATGTATCTAATACAGTAGATTCATCAGTGGTCAAACAAAAAAGTCATTTGGATATGACTAGGTGAAGCATATCATTAAAGCATATTTAGGCATACAACTATGATAAATTGGGCGACAGGATTTAGAAATCTATATTCTGTTTCTGTGATTGACCTACTCCTAATCCACCCTTGACTCGGGGACTGCAGGTAGGGGGTAAGAAATTCTGGTGAAATTGTGATAAGTTCTGGCTCCAGGCTCCAGGCTCCATGCGGTTACAATCCGTTACCTGCTTGTATTGTTCTGTCATGCTCTTACTGTACAACTTAGGATAATAAGACTCCCTTGTTTACCTGTTATAACTATCTTTTCCAAATCATCCTCCCATCTAGTAAGTCTTTCATCACTGTCACATTTTAAGTGTGAATAAGTGGCAATTGGGGTGAACTCCATGTAAATTGGTCAGTTATGATGGTTCTGAGGGCATGTTATTAATTTGCATTCATTTTTCTAATGTTTAAGGAAGTCCGATCTGCTTTTGTATCCTTCAAGTCTCGATATGGTGCCGCAGTTGCTCTCCACTTGCAACAATCAACCAATCCTACACACTGGGTCACAGAGCAAGCTCCAGAACCTCATGATGTTTACTGGCCCTTCTTTTCGTCATCATTCCTCCGAAGATGGATATCTAAGCTGGTGGTTATACTTGCATGCATTCTCCTAACAGTCTTATTCCTCATTCCTGTTGTAGTTGTCCAAGGTCTTACTAACCTGAACCAATTGGAAGTTTGGTTTCCCTTTCTCACTAGCATTCTAACCATGTGAGTAAATATCATAAACCCCTCTCTCTCTCTCTCTCTCTCTGTCAACACACATTATGAATTTAAGCAGCCACTTGCTAGTGACTGCACTTTCATTTTTCACTTCAATCATTCTGGTTAAGTAAAGTGTCTTTGGTTTTCTCTTTTTCCTGATGAATGTCCAGATGTAAATGCACCAAATTTCAGTCCATTAAATGAATACTTCTGCAACATTTGTGGAATACTTGATCTTAGACAAAATGATGAGAAAGCTATATCTACCATAAATATTGTAGAAACTCTGAGGACACTTATCTTTAGCGATCTTTTAAATGACCTTGTGGTTTTATGCAGTTCAAAAAGTTAAATTGTGGTAACTTTTTTACAGTTTTTATCTTTTGGATTGGTTGATGATGTAAAGTTCTAACTTTGTGTGTCTTCCTGCAGCACATTTGTTAGTCAAGTCATTACAGGCTACCTCCCCAGTCTTATCCTTCTGTTGTTTCTGAAAATTGTGCCCCCTGTCATGGAGTTCCTTTCATCCATTCAAGGATATATTTCTAACAGTGATATACAAAAGAGTGCGTGTTCAAAAGTACTATGGTTCACAATATGGAACATTTTTTTTGCTACTGTATTTTCTGGCACAGTTTTGTATAAGGTTTCTATCTTTCTTGACCCCAAGAACATCCCTTCAAGGCTAGGTGTTGCTGTTCCAGCACAGGTGAGAAAATATGTCCTCCATGATATGATTGCACAAAAGTCTTGTCCAATGAATTAATAAACTTTGGAGAATCGGAAACTACATGCATGTCATTGTTATGTGTTCTCAACTTATCTAACCTGTAGGCTTTTGTCAATGCATTGTTGAGTGCCAAAATGGTAATATAACTTCCTGCTACTCTGATTGATTTCATAGGGTAATTTGGTACTTTTTTTTATATTACCCATCTATATCTGCAAGTAAAAATATTTTTCCCAGAAATTGTAATTGAATCCTTCTGAGAAGTGATGAGCTAAAATCTTCGACATGTGGTGCTTTTGTTTGGGGTTTGAATATGGGGTATCATGATAAGCTACAAATTATGTTTGGTATTCAAGTTTTAAGTTCTTTCAGTATGTCTGAGCCTTTGGATCATATTAGAATTTTATCCATCCATCTGGCACACTGTTGCATGTAATAGATCACAGCTGCACATTTCAGGCACATGGCTACAATCAATATTCTCAGACATATTTAGTGTCAGGCACATCTCAGACTGGAAATGTGTTTTAGCAAGATAAATTTGAAACTGAATTAAGTTTCCCTTCAGTTTAGGCATGCAATAAAAATGATGAGTGTACACTTTTACTACCTTATCATTATCATCAGGTTCACTATTTTCATGTTAATAACATCATTTACTATGGGTGTGATGCAGGCTTCTTTTTTCATTGCTTATGTAGTCACATCAGGATGGACGAGTACTTCATCAGAGCTCTTTCGCATATTTCCTTTACTCTGGAGTCTAATAAAAAGACCTTTTACTGACAGTAGAGATACTGAACTTGAAGTTCCAGGAATTCCTTATCATAGTCACACCCCAAGAATTCTTTTCTTTGTACTTCTCGGGATCACATACTTCTTCCTAGCTCCACTAATTCTGCCTTTCCTCTTGGTTTACCTCTGTCTTGGATACATCATCTATCGCAATCAGGTCAGCAGACTTAACATGTTGATAATTTTTAATTTAAAAATTATCATATGGAAGTATCATTTGTTGAGTGAGATCAGAATTTGTTGGAAGAATGATTAAAGATTGCATTTAGAAGTTATTGTTTGTGATTTCTTTTAACTAGTTAGAGGATTTGATTTGAATGTAGTGTATTGATACTCAGCAAAATTCACTGTGCAGTTCATAAATGTATATGCACCTCAGTATGAAACTGCAGGGAAGTTTTGGCCGATCGTGCACAATTCGATGATATTTTCTCTGGTACTTATGCATGCTATTGCAGTTGGAATATTTACATTGAAGAAGCTCTCTCTAGCATCAACCTTAGTTTTTCCTCTTCCAGTATTAACACTTCTGTTTAATGAGTACTGCCGGAAACGCTTCCTGCCCAATTTCGTTGCTTACCCTGCTGAGGTATGTTTAAAATCCACATCATTGTTACTCTTTGACACTAAGACTCCCACCTATAAATCTTTTGCCCTGGTGTTCACCTGGTTTATTTTTTGTTTCAGATTTTGATCAGAAAGGACAGGCAAGATGAGAACGATCCTACAATGCCTGAATTTTTGGATGGATTGATCAGCTTCTATCAGGACCCAGCCTTGATGCCTATCCACTATTCTGGGAACAGTGACAGACTTAACAGCCCTCTTTTATCTTCTGTTCATCAAGCAGAGGTTTGAGGTACATTTTTATGTGATATCTTATTCTTTTCCCTGTACAATAGAAGTGTCCTCAAAAGATCACTCTTCCATCCCGATTGATGTGCTTATTCTCCTTGTGTATGCATGCATATCCATCTGTTAATGGGCCTGTACAACCAACCATATGAGCTATTTATAGTTGTGTTCTTGAGATCAATTTTCATAAACTTGTCCCAACTGATTTTCCTTCAATCTGGAACTATCAGCATGCCATGTAGTCTCTACTAAAGAACGAGCAAAGTAATTAACTAAATGATTGTCAACTTCTTAAAGGTATTTTCTAAGATTTGAAGTGCTGCAATATCCAATGTATGTTCATCATCAGTGTCTGCCTCTTTAGTTTCGAAGATAGTCAAGGGAAGAAGGTCAATGGTCTAGATTTTCATGTCAAGGATCTTCTCAGTCTTCTTCTCATGAGTAGTATGAGCTAAAATTTAGGAAAAAAGAAAAATTGCTCTATCAACTTTAAGATAGATAAATATATCTGATTCTTCCCCTTTATACAGCAGATTTTCAAAAGCTTCTCCTTTTCATTTGCCACATTGCATGAGAGAGAGAGAGAGAGAGATGTTTCAGAATGATTCTAATTTGCGTTTTACTATTATACAGTGATGGATTGGATTCTTTTCAAATTGATTTGAAAAGTATGCATATGAATTTCATTGTTCCAAGTTATATTTGAATGAAGCTGGTTCTGTAACCTGTTCTGCAAATACAGATCAGCTGTGGCCCAAATCTGTCCTTATGACTTCAGCCATCTTTGTAAACATCATATACAACATTAAACATTAAATATTAAACATTTAATTAAAGAATATAATTAGTTTTCTAATTTGCTCTTAATTATACTGGTGACTTATGATTCCAATAACATATTCATTTCTGCTCACATGCATATATATACTACTAAACTCCATAATTGACACCACTGAATTGGTCTTCATGCCGCCCACTGATTGGTGTTTCATGATTATCTTTGACTGCAATATGTTCGTTAATCATTGTTTAATTAATTTGTTTTTGAATGGAATGCTCACTTTAACAAATTCGAACTCTTATTAGCCAAAAGTAATAACTTTATCATTCCCGATGATTTCTTTATTTATCAGAATAATTTTTTATGATGTCAAAGACATACATCAAAGCAAAGCAATGGATGGAGATGAAAGTGAGTCTTGAGTTCCTATTTCATCTCGAGAACTTATAGTATTCATCTGTATTGGAGTGCTGGTAAAAACCCATCTCGTGAAAACTAGTATTATATTTCTAAGTTTAATAAGAATCCAAATTTTTAACCACTAGCTAAGAGAATCTTGTGTGACTCTAGGATTTCGCAATAATGAGGGCATAAATTATAAATATAGCAGGCACGAAAACAATGGATGTGTTTGGACCCGTAGCATAGCGCGCGCGTGATAGCAAGCAATTTTTTTTTTTTTTTTTTTTTTTTTTTTTAATTTATGAATGCTAGCACAATTGTAAACTCCACGGTAAATTAAACACATCAACGTCGATAGACAAGTTCTACCTTACCACGTCAGGTAAATTCACTCCCCCTCTCCCCTCCTCCCGAACAAAGTAATGTTGCATCTTATATCTCTCATCTACGTTTTATGAAATACAAAAATTAATATAAAAGATAAAAATTAATCATATGATAATGGTTTGTGTACAATTGCATTGCTTAATTCCTTGGAGGGATTAACTTTTTCCATGAGACAAATAAAATGGATAGTCAACATGTCACCTAGGTTGTTATAGTACAATTTTGCTTACTTCCTTTGCATATTCCCTTGGAGATGCAAATTATAAATATAACAAGCACGAAAACAATGGATGAGAGAGGACCCTTAGCATAGCGGCGGCACAATGCTAGCACAATTGTTGATGATTGTAAACTCCACGGTAAATTAGACACATATCAATGTCTATGATAGGGGCGGCATGATGCTAGCATAATTGTTGATGATTGTAAATTCCAAGATAAATTAGACACATATCAACATCTATGATAGCGTCACGACAAGTCCTACCAAGTAACCAATGGAAATTCAAACTTCAAAGGCATTAGTAGTTTCGGTTAATCATGTTTTTCTCTGGGCATAAGAGCCATATTCAACAGTAAAAAAGCACAAACGACAGGTTCGATCAGATTGATTCAACCATATATTCTTGTTGCTTTAATTGCCTTCCATTGTTGCAGTGGGAGGATTTGATCTTTTGTCCCCATTCTGTTTTACCCTGTTTCTTGGTTGTATCCAATTTGGATTTGCATTTTCCTCTTCTTGGTTTCGTTTTCTTCCTTTTGTTTTCCATTTTATCATCATGCACATCCAGAATATGCCCGGCCACAGGGACACCCTCGAGACATGGACAGCTTATGAGGGAATTTGTAGAAATATGCACATGTTTCCAAAACCAGTTTTGTTTTGGGTTAATCCATTCTCTGCTAAAAACATAACTCTCAAGGATATGATAGTTGGAATTCCAGCCCAAAATAAAAAGGAAATGAATTGGAAAAGATGGGGTCTTTTCACTTGGCAATAATGAAGAAAGTAAAGGACGGAAAAAATAAATAAAAGAAGCTAAAGATGAGAGAAAGCCACAACGGCTTTTTCCAGGGTTTGATGGTGACTGGAAGTCTTGGGATTTTGCCAATGGGTTCCCACCACACTGGTGGTGGCTTCCCCCTCTTCCATGGCACCCCAGTTCGAACCCGTTGGACTTCAATGTAACCAAAAAAAGAGTCTTGGGATTTTGCACCAAATTATCATGAACTGCCCGGATTTAAAATGTTGGGCTCAACTTTCTTTTTTCGTCTAGGTAAGGTAGGTAATTGTACACAGTACACAGTACACTCAAAAGATTATTTGTCAATATCCATATTAAGCAAACTAAAGCAATGGACATTATATGTTCCGAAAAAAAAGAACAAAAGAAAGGAAAGAGAAACAGTGGACATAATGGATGGAAATGATGTGGTCCAAATCTTGAAAACAAGTTAAATATGTAGAGGCTCCACACTAATCATATTGTCCCATCACCACATTCCAACAATGTTTATCCTTAAAATTCAAAGAACCCCACCTTCCCAAGTGCATGAATGCCCCCTTCTCGTCAATTTGCCACTAATCATGTTCACAAAAGATGGGGCAAAAGGAGGGCCGGAAGTAGTAACAAAAGTGAAATACAAAAGGAAAAATATCAAAAGACTGAATTTATATATATATATATAATATTGGAAAGGATTCTAAATTCGAATTTTTATTGTGTCAATAAAAAAACAAATTTAATATAGAAATTAAACCCTATGTGATGAACAACCTTCAACCTTCACGAAGGGGTGCTGCCGGTTTCAAATGCTGACTTCTCCCACCAAACTTGTGTATTTTATTCACTGGTTTGTTCTCCATTACTTTTTCAACCTTAATTAATATTTTCAGGTCCCATAAAATGGTTCCAAAAGATCCAAAATGTCCGTATTCAAAGACAATGATGCATTAAAATAAAAGGGGGGGGATGGATAAAAAGGCAGTCAAAATATTATGAATTGTAAATTTGTAGTGTGGAATGAACAAGTACAAGATATGAATTAGTAAAAGTCTAAAAGATGAGAGTGCCTAATCACTATCAGAAGCAATTAAATTTTATTTAAAAGACCAAGCCTTTCCCTCCTCATTTTGACCCGCAAGCATTTTCAAGGAACAAGTCCAAGAAAGAACCTACTTGTTTTTGACAGATGGTCAATGGACCAGAAAGGGTGTTTTGTTTTGAATAAGTTGGTTCCTCTAGTTTTACTCTTACCCAAATGCATTGATTAGGCGTTTTACCTTTCTTTAAGGCATCAGTCCACTTTTCCCTTCAAACTATACTCACCAGAATCAAACCTTCTTCAGAGCTCGACATAAAGAACCTTGGGATTTTGGAACTAAAACCCAACTCTCTCTCTCTCTGCAATAACTACAGCTTCTGCTGAGGCATCTTCCCACTGATATCACAAACAGAACCCATCCCTCTCTCTGTCTCTCTCTGTCTCTCTCTCACATGCTCAAAACCTCTCTTGCTTTCTCATTCTTGTTTTTTCACTCAATCAAGTTATGGAAGAGACCGAAGAATCCAATGGTAACAAGAAATGCCACGCCAAAACCAGAAGCCTAAGGGGCGGAGCCAACCCTCAGAAGCATCACCATCAGCATCAACTAATACAGTACTCAAACCAGTTTGGTTTCTGCAACCAGAATCAGTACCAGAGATATTACTACCCAGCCCTTCTTCCACTCCCTCCTCCAATACCTCTGCAACTAGCTTTAACTCCACCTCTGCCGCAAAACTACAACTTCAGATCAAAAACCCATTTGCAGAAACCTTCATGCAGGCTCAATAATGCTCCTTTTGCCGCCTCTTCAGAAACCCAAGTGTCCACCGCCACAATTTCACCATGTAAGTATCAAAGCCCTCTGCTTTTTGCTATTTCCCCTTTCTTTGCATGTTTGTTCTTTGGAAGTGCAACTATGTATGCAATGATTTCTATTTTTTTTTTTCTGTTTTTGTGAGGATATGTTTCTTTATTCATTGAGGTTATCAGGAGGACACACTCACCAAAAGAGTAGGCTGAAAAATGGATATGATTTTTCTTTTTCTTTTTCCAAGTTTTGTTTTTTGCTTTCAGTTTTACACATTTGGTTCTTGTCCATTCAATGGCGACTTTCTGATATAGAACTGGATAGATATAGTTGTCTGCAATGAGAAGAAAATTGCTAAAATTGATGTTTGTTGCCAGTTCTACCATCTACTGTTGATTTAGGCTTAAAATTCCTCAATTTCTGACAATCTTATGAGTAACCTTGTTCTCTGTTAAAAATCAGCAGCTTCAGAGGGGTTCCAAGAGCAAACCAGTTCACCTTTCAAGGGAGAAGATGTAAGGAAGTTGACATGTGCAAGAACAGGAAAAGCAATAGTGACTGCAAGGAGACCAGACTCTGGTGGTGTAGAAGGAACTGTTATCTCTCTCTTAGCTAACCATTTTGTTGTCCAATTTGATTCATCAGAACGAATTTTCCATTATAATGTTGACATCTCGCCTAATCCCTCCAAGGAAGTTGCTCGAATGATCAAACAAAAACTGGTAGAGGATAACTCAGCTTTGCTCTCTGGTGCTATTCCAGCTTATGATGGCCGCAAGAATCTTTACAGCCCGGTTGAATTCAAAAGTGATAGACTTGAATTCTATATAAGCCTCCCCATCCCCACAAGCAAGCCAAGCTTGCCATTTGGAGTATTCAGTGGTTTCCAGGAGAAGCATCAACAACTTAAACTATTTCGTATAAATATCAAACTGGTGTCAAAGATTGATGGGAGGGAATTGAGTAGTTACCTGAGCAAGGAAGGGGATGACTGGAAGCCTCTTCCTCAGGATTATCTCCATGCCTTGGATGTCGTTTTGAGGGAGGCCCCATTGGAGAAGTGTATACCTGTGGGAAGATCACTTTATTCAAGTTCAATGGGAGGAACTAAAGATATTGGAGGAGGAGCTGTGGGATTGAGAGGGTTCTTTCAAAGCCTTCGACCAACCCAACAAGGACTAGCTCTCAATGTAGATTTCTCTGTGACTGCTTTCCATGAAAGCGTTGGAGTGATCTCATACTTGCAGAAGCGTCTTGAGTTTCTTCGAGACCTTTCTCAAAGGAAGACAAGGGGTTTAACTGAAAAAGAAAGGAAAGAAGTGGAGAGGGCTTTAAAGAACATCAGGGTCTTTGTTTGCCACAGAGAAACTGTTCAGAGATACCGGGTTTTTGGCTTAACCGAGGAAGCCACTGAAAATCTTTGGTTTGCAGATAGGGATGGGAAGAATTTGAGGCTGGTGACTTACTTCAAGGATCACTATAACTATGATATACAATTCAGGAATTTGCCATGTTTGCAGATTAGTAGGAGTAAACCATGTTATCTTCCAATGGAGCTATGTATGATCTGTGAAGGCCAGAAGTTTCTTGGGAAGCTGTCAGATGATCAGACTGCAAGGATACTTAAAATGGGCTGCCAACGACCAAAAGAACGAAAAGCCATTATAGATGGAGTCATGAGAGGTCCTGTTGGACCAACAAGGTAAATTTTCAACTTCTAAAAAAGTTCTGATGGAAATTTGTTGTGAATTGCCTTGAAGGTTGAGTAATACTATCGTAGTTTCTGTTCTTGAAAGTATCACAATTTGCTCTGTAATTAACTTTAGATGTTCATTTGTTTCTGTTTCTGTACAGTGGCATTCAGGAAAGAGAATTCAAACTCCATGTTTCAAGAGAAATGACGCGATTGAAAGGAAGAGTTCTTCAACCTCCAAAGCTAAAGCTTGGAGATGGTGGACATGTAAGAGACCTAATTCCCTCTCGTCATGATCGCCAGTGGAATCTTCTGGGCAGCCATGTGTTTGAAGGTACTCGAATCGAGAGGTGGGCGTTGATTAGTTTTGGTGGAACCCCTGATCAGAAGAACAGCATTCCAAAATTCGTACACCAGCTATCTCAAAGATGTGAACAGTTGGGCATCTTTCTCAATAAAAACACAATTATTAGTCCCCAATTTGAACCATCCCAAGTCCTTAACAATGTGTCTCTTTTAGAATCTAAGCTTAAACGAATCCAAAGAGCTGCATCAAACAATCTCCAGCTGCTTATATGTGTAATGGAAAGAAAGCACAAAGGCTATGCAGACCTCAAGCGAATTGCGGATACAAGTGTTGGGGTTTTAAGCCAATGCTGCTTGTACTCAAACCTTGACAAGTTGGGTTCACAGTTTTTGGCAAATCTGGCTCTCAAGATCAATGCAAAAGTTGGGGGATGCACAGTTTCTTTGTACAATTCCTTGCCATCTCAAATCCCTCGGCTACTTCAAACTGATGAGCCCGTGATCTTTATGGGTGCAGATGTGACTCATCCGCACCCACTCGATGATTTTAGTCCTTCTGTTGCTGCTGTGGTTGGTAGCATGAATTGGCCAGCAGCAAACAAGTATGTTTCAAGAATGAGGTCTCAGACACATAGACAAGAAATCATCCAGGATCTTGGTACAATGACAGAAGAATTGTTGGATGAGTTTTACCAGGAAGTCGGCAAGCTCCCAAAGAGAATAGTTTTCTTTAGAGACGGGGTAAGTGAAACGCAATTTTATAAAGTGCTTCAAGAGGAGTTGCAAGCCATTAAAGGTGCATGCTCAAAATTTCCTGGTTATGCACCTCCTATAACATTTGCGGTGGTTCAGAAGAGGCATCACACAAGGTTGTTTCCTTTCAAAATTGATCCATCTTCCAGGCAGAACCAGTTACTGGACGAAAACATTCCCCCAGGAACTGTTGTGGATACTGTGATCACTCATCCAAAAGAGTTTGACTTCTATCTTTGTAGCCATTGGGGTGTTAAGGGAACAAGCAGGCCAACCCATTACCACATATTGTGGGATGAAAACCAGTTCACTTCAGATGAACTACAGAAACTGGTTAACATTCTGTGCTACACATATGTAAGGTGCACCAAGCCAGTTTCTCTGGTGCCTCCGGCTTATTATGCTCACTTGGCTGCATATAGAGGTAGGCTTTACCTTGAGAGATCAGAGTCCACAGCTTACACCAGAAGCGGTTGCACACTCTCCCGAGCTGGCCCCCCAAAGGAAATGGAACTACCAAAACTTAGTGAGAATGTAAGGAAACTCATGTTTTACTGCTAAATTTTAATTCCTTTAACCTCCTTGCATGGCAGTTAATTCATTGGTTTATATAGGAAGGCCACATAGATCATGTTACTCCAATGTAACAGAACACAAGCTGATCAATTGCCTATGCTACTTCCCACTTATGATTAATTTGCAGGCCCTCATTTGACACTGTCAAAATTTTATGAAACATAACTCATGCACCCAACAAACACATTATATTTAAACAATATAACTCAACTAAAACAATTATTACATTTTGTATCATTAATTAGTTTATTGCTGGGGAGACAGAAAAGATGAAAGGGAGGATCTACTGGCACTCTTCACCTGTGACATTGACTTTTTCGGTGTAATTATATGTAGACATAGCTATTTACCATGCATGCAAGTATGCAAGGGCAAGAAGAATAGAAGGGGAGAAGCAAAATACTTGAACAAAAGAAAAGATGCATTTTTTATGTGGCCCCCAATAGATGGTACGCACTCACCTCACCTCACCACTCACTGAAAATCTGAAACGATGCCAGCCCAATTGAGCGAATAATACAGAGACAGACAGAGCCTAGCTCAGACACAGAGCCCAATTGAGCGAATAATACAGAGACAGACAGAGCCTAGCTCAGACACAGAGAGAGAGAGGGAGAGAGAGAGAGGGAGAGAGAGAGATGTAGAGGAGGGAGAGAGAAAACAAAAGCCTATAAAGGATGGGATTTGAAGCAAAGGCAGTCCAAGTCTGACTTTGGACTTCCCCTTTTGTCTCTTCAGCTTTGCAAGGCCTTTTTCCCACCATTAATTTCTCCATTGCTTTTTTCCCCTCCCTTTGTGTCTCTCTCTTGCATCAGTCCTCCTTCAGAGACAAATACTTTAAAGTACTGCACGGCCACGAGAAGATACAGAAAGACTGAGACACAACGTGGGTTTTGGCAGGGTGTGGTAGGGGCCAATGTACCTCTACTCTCTCTACCTCTCTAGAGTCCATAGATAGATGGAAGATGTCATATGTATCACTTGTCCCCACTTTTCAACTTAACCAAGTTCTCTGTTGGCGTGCACAAAATAAGCATCTTTGAGTCATTGTAGTGTAGTGCTGTAGAAAATCCATACTTTTCTGAGCCAAAAATACTTTTTTTAAGTGTCTAGTGAAAACATGTGAGATTAAATCCTGGAAAATAAATCACAAACAAATACGAAAAACAGATGAAAGATGTTGCTTAAAGTTGTTATCTTCGTGATGGGATATGTCTACAGGCGAAAAAGATCTAGCCTTTGGGTAATAGAGTGTAGGATTACTGATGTCGGTGATGCAACCTTTTTTATTTTGATTCTCTCCTTTTACCCAAAGTTGCAGGCTATTGACTCGTGAGGTGACAAGAAAAGGCATCTCCGTTTATTTTTTTGGGCACAAACCAGACGAATTTTTTCAGGCGGCATCCAGAGCCAGCTCAAGTCTCTGACCGTTTTAAATGGAACGAATACTTTTTTCACCACTGATGTGATTGCTTAAAGATTGTGAAAACTGTACCCCCAATAACCAAAAACTTCTGAATGTGATACTGGTTTTGTGTGTTCCTAATTTTCTATTCATTATGGCGTTAATCCTCAACTCAAGCGCGGCCCACTGTAGATATCCACTGTAGATATCCACACTCTATCTATAGATCATTTGAAGGTACATAAACCCTTTGGATTGCAAAGTTGGGGTGTTTGTGCTGTTGATATGGGTTGGGCCAACTTTGAAAATTGCTAGATACCGTGTGTAATGTAATGGAGTAATAAATGACATGTGAATTGAAGCCCAAGGAAAATTCTCTCCTCATTGAAACATGCCATGGTTTGATAAGGTAGCGTAAGCATCATCTTTTTTACATTAGTTGATGGTCAAGCATTTCTAACAGTCTTCGATTTATTTGCAAGTCATAAGACACAGAAGTATTAAGTTGTTGATGTCAAAAAATTCGCTCTGGGGCACGTTTCTCTGCTGGAAGCTGGAGTAATTCTCGGATCCCTTCGCATACCTGAAAGCAACGTGTAAGATTGTTGTTTTCATAACCCAGAAACCTAAAAGAGTAATATACTTGTTCAACTACATCAAGATACATCACTTTCTGTAGCATAGTTGCGTAATCTACAAAGAATTTGTATACTCAAAAGCTCAGAAAGAGGGAGAAAAAAAAAGGCAGAAGTTATCTAATGTCTGCGCCTTCTAGTTTCTATCTTGGAAGCAAATAATATTTGAGTTATTAGGAACACCTATAGTTGTTAAGATTTTATCTAGTTACGGTAGTTGTTTAATTAAATAAACTGATTATCCTATTCTATAAAAAGTTATGTTGCACGTTGTTATGTTCTACCAAGTCTTTAGGAGTCTCCCAATAGTGGAGCAGTTTGTTAGTAGTGTCAGTAATGGATTAAGTTAGTGGAGTCATGTCCTTGAATTTAGCATAGTCTGGAGATGTAATGTTCTATTTAAGTTCAACATTATCAATATACAATTAAGCTTTCCAGCACCTCTCCTCACCGGTGTTTGAATTGGAGTTAAACTCTACAACAGTAGTATGAAGGCAGAGAAAATATCCTTCCAAAATAAGATAATTTGATGAGTGTTAAACAATTTCCACTTCTGCAACCCTTGTCAACATTTAAAAAAATGCAATAATCAAATAGAAAGCATCAATGGAAGTGAACATACCAGCTTTATCTGGGCTTTGATCGATGCAATAAGGTTAGTATACTCTTCAATTTGCCTACAGAGAGGAATTTGATACATTAAGTTTGAGCAATACTTGAAAATAGAAGATTGAAGGTACCAAAACAGGGCAGAGGGGGAATTTGAACAAATCTTGTAGGATAACTCCCAAAAATCTAGTAGATTTCAACGAGTTTGATTATGTTTCTATCCTCTATAAGGCATCCTACTATAATAAAATCTGCCAAGAAAACCGACTTCGAAAAATTATAAACAAAAGCTTGTACCTGGCTATCTTTTCTTCTCTTTGAGATATGTAATTTAAAGCTTCAGACCAGGTGAACTCCACATGAAATCCTAGTCCAATGTCTACAAAAATGCGTCGTGTATCCGGCCTGCAGACATGCAGAAGAAAGAACAGGTAAGACACCATTGATATCAAAGATGAAACAAAACCAGGATTAATAGCAATTCCAACACAACTGTAAACAGAAAATTGTAACATGTAACAACTCTAATACAAAAGTCCATTGCATGATTCTGTAATTAGCCCCATGTACCAGTGACTAAGAGCAACAAAGTGAACAATACATAAGAGTACCATAAAAGAAGTTCAATGAAGAGTGAGAGCACACCAAAGGGGAAAAAATCTGAAGACTTACACATCAGCTTGCATATAGACTTCAGAGCCAAGGTTAACCAAAGTCCTAAGACTGGTTACACTGTTTTTCTCCAAATTCTCAATGTTGTTCCGCAAATCCGAGCTAACAAAAGTCAAGTAAACACCTTTAACAAGAAAAGATCATCAAACGGGGTTGCAAAATTCACCGCATTCGATATTCCAATTGATCCATTAGGTCAAATTAATCAAAATTAAAAAGGGGAATATAAGGAAAAGCGAAAAGGATACAAAACTTTTTGTTGCTCAAACACCTTGTCCCTGCAAAACAAGAAACAGAAAAAGGCTATCAAAATAAGCTACAACTTCAAGGTACCAGTTCTTCAAGAAATTTGAAAAGCAACTAAGAAACCCTAACGGAGCATGAGAGCAAACTCAAGCTTATGCATTTACTGCTCTGCTCGAGCTGGGTAATGCTCACAAAACAAAACCCTAGGAAAACGGCTTTCAGGAAAGCAGAGGTCGGAAGTGTATTAAAACGGTACCGTTGAGCAATGGCGCGAACAAGGTCTGGTTTGAGGCGTCCATCCACGAATTCCTCGTATTTCTGTATTTTGTGTTGAAGGTGACTCTCCATGAGTCCCGGGTCAAAATTCACGAATATTTCCGCGATTGTGTTTTTCTTTTTCTTCTTATTTATTTTATATTTCCGTTTTTGTCTTAATCTCAGCCGTCGGTGGCATCCACCCAACGGATGATTAACTTTACTTCCTTTTTCCAACGACGTCGTATTACATCTTAAAAAACGCTAGAAGGCATTTCTCGTGGACCCAATTTTCAAAATTATTTTTTTTCGTTCGGACCAATTTGAATGGGCTTACTGGCTTACCGGGGCAATGGCCCAATTATGTATTCTGGGGAGAGAGAGAGAGAGAGAGAGAGAGAGAGAGAGAGAGAGAGAGAGAGAGAGGGCAAATTTAAAGGAAATAAAAAAGTCAATAAATAAATTTTGATAAGTGGCGTGACTACATGTATTAATGACACTAGTTGAGTTGGGCATAGTGTACTAGAAAAAAACATATAGGCTATTAATTGAACTATGGATTTGTAAATTCATTTTTGAAGAAAATTGACACTTGTACATCAGTTCTTTGCAATTACCAGACCTTCAGATACCTCTCTCATTCTTCATCCTCCCTTCTATCTCCCTCAAGAAGTCAAAGTTTGCACTCATATGAAGCATATGTCAACTACCTGAAATGCACTTAGAGGTTACCGCCTGCCATGAACCCTTGTCTTGAAAGTTCTACCAAGGCACAAGTTTGCACTGTTTGATCAGGTGGTACCACGAACCGGCAATGAAATCCTAATTTTTCATATAGCAGCTCCCATCTTCAAAATTATTGAATAAAAAAGGTTGTGCTGGTGGTACATATGGTGTCATTGAATACCAACTGATTCAGAAGAAAAGTTTATGGTTTCCAAAATTGAATGAGACTCGCTGTCTAAAGATGTTTCCATCTTAAAAGATCTGCAGCTGAAGTAGAAAACAGCACTCATCATGGAGTCGATGAGCACCACGAACGAATACATGATCACCAAAAGAGGCCCTTCCCATATGCGAGAAGACCCATCTCCGTAGCTCAACGTCTTCACTCTGTGCTCAAACAGCCCCTCAACAAATGCCATTCCGATTGTTGATCCAAGAAATATCAAAAGACCCACCTGAGTCTGGCCCTTGATTAAAACCCCAGACTGAACCAATGCCTCTGGTCCTGAGACATCCTCCAACACAGAGATCACAATAGCAATGTTGCAAATAATAATAGCATTGGCAAAAATAACCGAGAAGATGAGGCCAACCACCATTGCAGCATATACAATATGAGGAGGTGACAACCCAAATATGGAACATGTATTGCACACAGCAAGAAGAAGAATCAAAAACAAGATGAGGCAACCCACAACCACCATACACATCCACACATACGTCGAAAGAAGCCGTCTCCATATTTTGCACATAATTAAGTAAAACTGGGATACATCAAACTTCTTCAGGGAGTAACTACAATACACAGAGTAAACCACGGCGGCTTTCGACAACAAAGACAATGTGATGTACAGAGGAAAGCACATAGTGGATGAGATAGCCATCTCAGCAAACCTCTGGCAAGAATGACTGATAAAATCCCTCAAAGGGAGGCCACTGGACTTGGCAATTAACAACATCCTAATGGTTAGTCTCTTTACAAGTGACTGATCAACTAGCAAATTCGACAAAAGCAAGGCAGACAAAGGGCAAATTAGCAAGGCGGCAATGGCCAAAAAGCCCCACGAATTGTACCGGAGAATTCTCACAGTTTCCCTCAAAATCTCCAGAGCATTCATTGAATGGAACCTATGATCGTTACCAGGAGGTTCTAACTCAAATCTCAACAAATGGGTTTCTTCGGATCCCTCTTTCTTTGAATGATCCAATCTCATTCTTGGGGAATTGTCAGTATAAGCTTCCATTTCTCTTTGTTTCTTGAATCAATCTCTCATACCAATTCAACAAATTATGACACCTATATATATTATATGTATATACGTGATGAGAATGAAAGATCTAACAGAGCTAGATTTAACTCTAGAGTGATAGCTGAGAAGGCAGATTTACATGGAAAAGCTTTAACAGCAGTATAGGTGATGTACAAAAGCGAGAATCAGATCTGGGCAGTAACGAAATTGAGACGGTGCAGTACCTTCAAAGCTGGAACCCACATTGGGGACGATGATCCAGAGGCGTTTCGCGAAGCTTCTGCGTGGGATTGGAGGAAGAAGAAGAAGGCGTTGAGAGAAGCTCTGACTCCCATGGAGATATGGAAGGTCTCTTTCTTTGTGTCTGTTTGTGAAATGTGCGAGGCGTGTGGCTTTTGGGCTTCTTCTGCGCGTCGGTGTGTTTAACTTGGTCGGGCTTCTATATCGGACGGTGTGGAGCTGCCAGCTTCACTACCTGACGTCTCTAAAACGGTGACTTGTCCATTAATTTAGTTTAATTTTTTTTCACACAAAAGTAGTTTATTTAGTTTAATATTTGTAATTAAGTAATATCTTATTTAATTATTTTAATTAATTTCTTAAATTACTTAATAAATCGTAATTAATTATGTTTAATTCTTGTAAATTATTTTGTGGACTTTAAAATTAGTTTTATTTTTTGAAATTATTTTAAAAATAGTTTATGGCCTGTTTGATAACAATTTCAATTTTTGTTTTTTGTTTTAATTTTTTGTGCTAGAGTATAGAAGAAAAAAAGGGGAAATGGAAGTGAGAATAAGAGTGGATATGAGATTGAGAGGGAATGTGAGATGGGAAGATCCGGAGATTGGGGGAAGAGTAACAAAAGTGAAAACAAAAATTAAAAATTGAAATATATTTGAAATTCTTTTCACTTTCAAGTTTTTGTTTTCACTTTTGTTACTCCTCCCTCCCATCCTCCCTTCTCATCCTTTCTCTCCATCTCAATTTCATTTTCCTCTATACTCTAGCACAAAAAATGAAAACTAAAAACTAAAATTGAAATGGTTATCAAACGAGCCCTTAAATTATTTAAAAATCCTAGAAAATTATTTTAGTATTCCAAAAATGGATTACAAACCCTAAATCTAAGTCTCAAACCAAAAAAAACCAGCTTCCGAATTTATTTGAACTTGTTCCGAAACCGTTAGCAAGCCTCAAACTCGTTTCACTCAATAATACGAGCTTGTTAATAAATGCAGCCTATAGCTGAACTGATACCATATGTAGTTGCACTCGCATAGTTTAAGTAGGTATTACAACCCTAATCAAGTGAGCACGGTAACTTAAAATTTCTGGGATTAAATTTTCAGAGAGCTCAAAGAGACAGTTTAACACTTCGTGTTAGAAAGATGAAGAGTAAATGTTTGGAGACCCTACCCTATGCCTGTTCTCAAACACCAAGGAAGACAAATGCGTTTTGTGTTCAAAGTTCATGTATCACCTTCACCAGTTACCGTTGGAGTAGGAAGGAACTGATTCTACTATCTTTGATCAGGCTCCATGGCTTTCAACGTTTCTGAGGTGTAGCAAAGTTTGCAACAAACGTAAAAAGGCCAACACTAGTTTGCATAATTTCCTCAGGCAACGTACGTTTCATTCACGACTGAGATTGGAACAAATTCTAATACGACCATGCCTTGTTCCTTGACTCAACTAAGATTGAAACAAATACAGAAAGAACCACTAACAATTGTGTTACCAAACGTAAACAAATAAAACAAAACTTCTTCTGATATGTGTGTAGGACAAGATCAACTGATATTAGTGAAAAAATCTGATCATGAACATAATAATAAACAAATTTAAGCTAAATCCTATACAGGCAACTATCCAATCAAGAAGGTTCAACCATGACTTAGAGAGACTCAGGCAAGAGCAAGTAATGTAAGTAGCTCGTGATGAGATTCCTTGGCTCATACTATTGATGTATGTTTACTGAAAATAGAATGTTAACACATGCGAAGTATATAAACATTCAGATGCTTGTCATGTAGAATCTGTAAATGGGATGCAAGACATCAATGTACCAATCTTGAAACTCTAGCTTAAGCTAAGAAGGAACTTACTTCTTGTAAATATAAATAATTATTTATATTTTAACTAGTCTTTATTTTATGAATAATTAGTATTTAAGTATTTTAATAATTTCATAAATTTCTTATTCTTAATAAATACTAATTAATTATATTTACTTATCTTAAATAATTTTTCGGACTTTAAAATTATTTTCAATTTCATAAATTACTTAATAAATACTAATTATTTATATTTACTTATCTCAAATTTAACAACCAACCAATGTTTCTTCAAATTGGAAAACATGTTCAATATTTACTTTCAGTTTGGTTTAAGACTTTCTGCACAGAGTTCAGTTTCTTCTAACTTCTCAGTTTTATCAAGCTAATACATAAACAGGTAATTACTAGCATCATATCATGCTTTTTGTCAACCTTCACATCCACGAAGATCTAAAAGCCTTCAATGATAATGTGTACTTTATAGATATTAATTTGCTAGTTTCAACATATCTAAAGTATATATTAATCAGTCATTGTATAATATTTTAATGTACTTTCTAAAATATATATTATTTTTATTCAATAATATGTGAGAATTATTTGTATAATACGTGAATTTTGTTATGTTTTATTGAAAATTTTGTAAAAAAATACGTGAATTAAACATGAGAAATACATACGTACATGTACAATACGAGTATTTGACCTTTTTTTTAAAACGTGCATTTTACCGAGCCTTTAACACATGTATAGAACACAGATATATTGTTGAAAAATACATATGTACATGTATAATAGAGTATTAAACGTGCGTTGAGGCCCAAAAAATCCACGCTTTGCCCCAAATAAATTCTCGGCCCAATGCGATACCTTACCGAGAAGAAACCCGATTTGGGCACGCAAAAGTTCATGCGCTTGCACACATGCCACGCCAAACAAATAAGCAACACGCCACGCTACAAACTTAAGTGGGCCCAAGCCACGCTAATGCCTGGGGCTTGCTCAGCGGGTTATGGTATGGATGGTTACGAGTATTCACGAAGCCCATTGATGATCCAATGAGTGGAAGTTTTGGGCGAATTGGGAGCACCAAAACTCAAGCCCATTCCTTGAGTCCAAACATATGAGAAAGCATAAGAGAAAACCCAATAGCTCATCACCTTAAGAAAAGGCCCAAACATCTTTAAAAAATGTCCAATAGCCATAGCCCATAAAAAATCCCACATCAGCCAAAGCTTCCAGCAGTCTGACGAAATCAAAGGTAACTCACAGGCCGCTGGAAACAAAATACCAATAGTCCAGCCTAGCATCGTGGAAAACATCAAGCATCTCTGTTAAAACCATATCAAAGCCAAACCAGCAAAACCAAGCAAACCCATGTGCTGATCACCTTTTTGACCAAGCACCCTCACCCATTCTTTCCTCTTCAAGCTTTGGTGAGAAAACAAGAAACAAAAGTGGGTGGCTCCTCACCCACATGAAGAAGTCCAGCTGCCTGAGGGCCTTGGAACTCCAAAAAGCTTCATGCCTACATGCTCAGGCTAGAGAAGTTTCACCAAACAAGACTAAATGGAGGAAAGTGAAGAAAAGAGGGAGGAAAGCTTGACAAAATTAAGATTCTCAGCGCCTATAAAAGGAGCAAGTTCCTACCCAGCAAAAACAACTCATCTTGGTTGTTGCAAGCCTCCCACCAACCAGGAGAATTCATCGAAGGCAAGCATCTCCTTTGGCCCCTTCAATTTCATGCTTTGTTCTTCCATCTTCCTCTTTTTTCTCTTTCAAAACCCACATCCAGAGAGAGCAAGTATCATCTCTCATCTCTGGAACCCTTCAACTTCAAGACTTGTTCTTCCATTGCTTTCCATTTTATCTTCTGTCAAATCGCCCAGAAGCTTGACGAAGCTTTCATCAAGCTGCTGGAAATATGCTAAAGCCACCCATGCTTTCATCTTCTACCTTTCTTTCCACAACACACATCTATAGAGCAAGCTTCATCTCTCAAAGCCTTTGTTCCTCATAGGAAACCCAAGCCTTCTCTCTCTCATGCTAAACTTACGAATACTCAGCTCCCATGCCACAAGCTCTCATGCCAAGCCCATGAATTTATTTGTAAACAACTGTTGGTTTCGTTGGTGAAGAAGACTAGGGTGTTTCCTAAGGCTCAGCTACCCTTTCGAAACACTCTTGGGGCCTGATCCTTGAACTCAGACTCAATGGGCAATTTCACACATGTTTATCTTTTCGGTAACCCAAGCCCATTCGTCAAGCTGCTGGAATAAAAAGACCCATACAACGTGAAAGTGCAAAAAAAATTATACGGGTAATAACTCTAGAAAGGTAAAAAATTAAAATAGAACAATAGAGACACGGGTAATGGCATAATAGTAATGAATAATACTATAAACTACTCTCTTTATTCCAACAACAACAAAAAAAACCAGAGTAGTCGCACAGCGCCTAGGTGCCATGTGTTAAAAGGGTATAGCCTCGTGTGTTGAAAGGGTATAGCCGGCTATACTATTTATTATATTAAAAAAATATCCGTCTATTGAAGTGTCAAAATCAGTATAGCAAAGCGGCTATACTATTTAAAAAAATTTTAAAACATTGAGTATAGCTGCTGGGGTACTATGTTTTTATTTGTTTACCTAGCGTTTAGGTGCCACGTGTCAAAATAGGTATAGTCGGGCGGCTATACTATTTAAGAAATAAAAAATTAAGAGAAAAGCATCCTCCTAGTTGCATTAGTTTATACTTTATAGATATTAATTTGCTAGTTTCAACATATCCAAAGCATATATTAATCAGCCACTACATAATATTTTAATATATTTTTTAACTATATAATATTTTAATATATTTTTTAACTATATAATATTTTAATATATTTTTTAACTATATAATATTTTAATATATTTTTTTAACTATATATTA